AAGACGTGTTATGAATTTTCGTCCAGTTCTTGAAAATGGAAAATCAAAACGGGCAGGAGTTTGGTTTTATTTTGGTCACAATTGTGTAGAGTTTTCCTGAGTCTTATATTGATTTTGAGTCAAATTAATCGAGAATCAGTGCAGTGAAATGAGAGTTTTAGCACCCATTACCTTTCATAAAATCGCATCCTACTGTCAGTCGTGAGTGATTTATTAGAACGCACGAATCACTTCTGACACGTTATCTGAGTCTGCATCTCAAACGCAAATGAAAGCTAAAACGCCTCTGCAGCACACCATCAAGTGCCAAATAGACCACAAACAACCCCATTCAAAATTTTATCTCCATGAATCGATCTCGACGCGAAAATCTAGTCCACTCTGCTCAGAATAATGCCCGGCCGGACCACCAAAAAGGGTGACGACTGACATTGACTGAGATGATTGATACAGATACATTAAAAATGGATTTAGCTCAGCTGCTGCCCAACAACAATAACAATGGAATGGAACCAAAATAAAACTATGAGTCACCTTATTATTCATTGCATGATTCATTAATCAAGTAGGATTGAGTGTGATCAGGATTCTGCCTTCCGAAATGCATAATCGGTGGAGAAATCTGGACCAAGAGAGGAACCCTGTTTTATTTTATCATTGTTCATGCCGAAATTTGCATTTCTTCAATTGTTTCATAAAAATGTGCATACATACTTCTTCTCACTGATAAATGTACAGTTTAACGTGGTCACGAAATAACAAGCGATACTAGCAATATGCATGGTCGATAATAAAATATGAATTATCACGTTATTTAGTTAATGAATCGCAAGATTAAAAATCATTCAAACCAAAAAGATTAGCGATTATGGGCATCCTGTATATAAACCCAGTTAAGTTGTCGGTAGAATTTATCAGTTAAAATTGGAGATTGTAAATATTAATATGTATCTACATGCTTTGAAAGTGGAACTCACGAATTGACATAAAGTTGCATATCAGCAAATACATGCATACATAAACATAGCTAAATATGCAGCTTAAACATTCGCATCCTTTCTTCTGGTGTCAATAGGTAGGCACCTGACCTAAGTCAAACAAAATCCTTTGTATTTCTATCAATCCTCTGTCTCTCTCTTCTGGAGAAAATGACTTTGGATCTCTTGAAGATAGCAGACAGAAATGGGAGGTGGTCTGTATCAGTGAGAAGTGAAGGGCTCTGGTACACATATTCAACAAATGAGATTGACTTTCTAGTTTTAGCCCACCAATTGATGGTATCTCAACTACTTTGAGCTGGAGACTTTTGACAAAACGATATTCTTGGTGAAGGAAACCGGATACGATGTGTATTGTGTGTGTTTGCATTCAGCTTTATCCTGATAATGTCCTGAATTCGTGGAAAAATGAAAATCTGTTGCATCCCTTTGATCTGTAACATCCTCTCCAAGACCATATTTAAAAATAGAAATGCAAATTCATATTAATTGTACTCAAACTTTATGCAAAATCTAGTTTACAATTTTATTGCATCCTTTGCCAATCGAACCGCATTTATAATGGGGAAGCCGCCCGTGGACGCAATAATTAATAGTGCTATGCTTTTAATAAAATGGTCTAACCATAACTTACGGTTGGTTTCACTAGGAAAAGCTTATGGGTCTACATTATGGTTGTCAGAAGTCGACCTGACGTTCGTCTACCGGTCTTCTACCTCGACAATTGATTGCAATGTGGTAATGGGCCCTCATTACTCTCACTTGTTTCACTTTCTTGTCAGACGGAACCCTTTGATGAACTTGGTTAAAATTAGATTATTATTTAAGTAGCCAGTGACCCAGAGTTGGGCTGACTTGAAGAATATGAAAGTTGTTGGGTGAGCAAAATCGCCTTTTGTTCTCGCCTTCTCGGTGACTGACTGATTTGTTGCGGAAGGTGACAATTGATTAATCCCTTAAATAACATCTTGGGTCAAGGTTTCCCAAAGAACGGCTGCTTTCAAACCTGGCTGTCATAAACGGAACTTATGAACTTGACGCGAATAAATATTTTTCCACTTGCAGAGGAGCTCAAGTATACAGGATCTATGAGTTTAATAGATATAAAAGAGGACTTACATATGATTGTCATTATGCATGCATGCGTACGTAATTATGTTGAGATATTTAACTTTTTCTTAATATCCATGTGAGATTGATTTTCATAGTTTGCAATGTAATTATGGAAGAAACGTGATTTGTCTAACACCTTAGGAATTAGCTTATCGGTTCCACCCAGCCAGGCAGAATTTCTGTAAATGGAGAAGATGGGTTTAAGGCTAAAGCTCACGTCTGTACAATTGGTTATTTAGTACTAACGTCATGCGATGAGATGAGACGGAGTTTATCCGGATCAAGAGGAACAAATATGCTATATTTGTTCCTTATTCTTGTCCTAGTTTAATGATGTGATGAATGCAGTGTGATTGGAGAAATCTCTTCCTTCCACTACTACAACATTTCAAGGTCTCCTTGCTCCACTTTTATCTTCATCTTATCGAAGTTGGGGAGAATGACATTTTTTGCTGTGTCCAACAACACAGGACACGTTCAATTCTACTTTTTTCTCCAATAGAGCTGATTGCACCCTGTTCTTCCATTTATAGGGCGACTCCCCTTGTTTCTCGCTGCGAGATTATGATTACCACTTCTCTGCGGGGGTGTTTAGAAGATTTTACAACTTGGAAAATGGGAGTTGTTTCACAAAAAGCAAATCCAAATCCAATTTACCAGAGGAAAGGAAAGGGAAAACTCGTAAGGGTCCGTCTCTCGGGAGTGGTGCTAATACACAGAAATGTTATAAAACTGCACGTCTTTTCTGAACCTAGCTGGCTGGCATGGATGGATCATTTTCCTCGTTGGACATTGGAAATAACTTACGCAGTGCATGTACTAAACATCTCAGACTACATAGTGTGATGATAATGCTGCATTGTTCATGACAGAAAAAAACTTGTGAGCTGCATTTTCATATTCCTTATCCAGCCTTCAATTTCCTTTGCTTGTTCCGTCATCCCGAACAAAAACAGAGTATTGACAAATTCACTCCCAAGCCTTGGTTTGGCCCTAAAATATTGACAGTGTATGAAGCCATAAAAGTCCGAAGTGAGCTTTCCCAGTTCCAGTTTCCAGAGATGCAATTGGGGGAGAAATCTTATGCCCGGTACTGCACGGGGTTTGCTCAAGGCACACAAACACAGCAGAGCCAGTCATCCTCGATAAATATGGCTGCAAATGGGGAGGAAACGGGGTCGATATACGATATTATCCAGAAGAAGAAGGGGTGGTTGTGTGTGGGCGACTTCGACCAACTTAGGATATTTTACTATGCAACAATGCAACTCAATATTAAGGGCTACAATATGTGCAACTCAACCTAGCATTCGACTCATATCGAACAGTATGAACACAAATGTAGTCAATATTTCCTCACACCCCGTCGACGTTGATGAAGTAGACAGTTCAGGAACCACCATACGAGAAAAGTGAGATTTGAGGGTGACATGGCCACTGGTGGTAGTTGGAGAAAGTTTGTCTAATTTTATTTGTCACTGATATCGTCTCACATAAAACTGCTCACCCTTTCTCATCGCCCTTGCCCTTGAATGAAGCCCGGATTATATTTGATTATGCAGATCGATAAAGACTACGGAGAGAGGGGGTGCCCATAATTTGCGAAACATGCAAGCACACGTGGCGAATGGCAAACGGGGTGGATTGATTAGACTGATGTTCTGAATATGGCCATTGAGAAATTCGTCTAGTTTCTCAAAATACAACATTGACCAAACTTTTGATTTTGAGCATGAATGAAGATTTTTAAGAAAACAGAAGCTGGCAGGATCTGCCAGCCCTTCACTCCATGAGCTGGATACCATGTACAAGTCCATTGACCAGCACAAGTTACAAACAACAAACTAAACTTTCCGTTTCTTCAAGGGCGAAATTTGTAAAGAAAATAACGAGTGCTATGAAAACAAGAAAAGTCCGATGGAAAAGAAACCGTCCCAAAACAGCATAAACATGAATATCCGGAAGCCGGCTTCTTCTCATGCAAAGTTTTATGACGAAGTTGGGACTTTATTACGGAATAGAAATGTTTGGTGGGGGTCTCTTTTCCATCCCATCTAACCAACGTGACCCTCCCATTCATGCAAAGTACACCCAAGAATTGTTTATTTTTATTGTAATTTCTGGCCCATTCTTGGTAGGAGTGAGCCCTTTCTCAAGACAGTGAAAAATTATTCTAGTGAACGATGGTGATCAGTATTACACTAATTGTTGGTTACCAAAAGTTCAGTTTCACCTCACACGGGTGAAACTGCATGCTGTTTCGGAATTGACCAAACGCAACTGAAAATGTTTAACAAAATACTTCCAATCAGTGCATTATGATTTGTGCTCGGTTGTTGGCGAGGCTTATGTTTGACTGGAGAGTTATATAATATTACTATGCAATACAATGCACGTATGATTTCCTCTTCATGTGAAGGCTTCATTCCATGTTCATCGGAGAAATATGTGCATACAAAAGTTCTGCAGCCTTACCGAAAAAGTCCTCCCATGAGATTGACCCGTCCGAGTCGCAATCGCCGCCGCCGTCCCTTCTTGAGTTAGCCATTTTTATGTTCGGCTAGAGAATTGCTTTGTCATTAACTACTCCAATGTTATGAAATAGGCAACTGTCAGTCTATGAGGAAGGATGGAATGGAAGTAATTTCATCGTCCCTGCATTGGTCCCACTTTCAGTCCCCGTTGATAAGCAAGCAATTTTTGTAAGGAAGCACAACAGTCATTTTTTGTTATCATCACGTAACATGATCATAGCTCCACCCGTTTCTGCCCGAATTTGGCTTCTTATGAAAAATTCATGAGACTTCAATTTAAGTTCAACTTCATATTTTCAGTTTTTATACACTATCCGTATGAAAACACGAAACTGCAAATGTCGTAAACACAAAATTTCTTGATAAACTATTTATTGGTCAAAAAATTAATCATAATAGAATGGCTGGGATAAAAACTACTGATATATATAACACGTGTCACATTTTCAATTTACATAGTCGAATTTCACAATAAAATCAGTACTGCACATATAAATTAGGTTGTAGTATGAAATACAAAAAGTAAATTTCACTAGATGTATTGTATATTCTAGGTTTTACAACTACACCAATAGCGGCTTACACGCAAAAAACACGCCGGTATACAAAAAATCGCAACATTACACAGATTTCGTGTGTTCAACATTGTTCACGAAAGTTATACGCTTAATCGGTACATCGAAAACAATTACAGAGAACAATCCGAGAGGAGAGCTACAAACCAAAGGTTGGCAGATGGTTTCTTATTCACTGATTACAAATTTCCAGTCGTAAAGGGGGTTCTGTCGGGTGCAGCAGGATCCTTTTACAGACAGCACGAGCCAACACTTGCGACTACGGAGACGGATCAGCTTCGACTGAAAGGGAAATCCCCAAACATGCTGTACAAGAATCCTGCAGACATCCCACATAAAGAGCATGCCAGCCAACAGCGTCTGCTATAATAGAGAAACACATTTTAGAGGGGCTTCCAATATTGCATATGACGAGTTACTTTTGCATTGCTGCCACCAGTGAAGCAAACCCAACAAACCTCTCTTGCTTTGATGGTTCTCTTAGCATGTATGCTACTAAATACTAATTCACAATGTACAAAATGCATGGACAGTCTAAAGTTAACTTATACATTAACATTTCTAGTATTATATTATGATGAACATATTATATAATTATAATATGATATGATATTCTCTCCAATAAGACATGACACGTTCCCTGGTGCATCTGGCCATCCGCTGAAGAAGGACTTGAACTGCTATGTAACAAATCATGTTGGTTAGTTGAACATCCCATACATAGTGCAAAGCAAGATCAATAAGTAAGACAAATATTTAACGGTGAAGTTTACCCATAAAACACGTTGTTAAACCCTCCCTTTGTACTGATAATATTTCTTGTACTGGTCGTAGATTGTCTTTAGAATTTCTTTTGATCCGATTGTCAATAGGGAATTTAGTTGAGAAATTCCATGCTCATCACACAGATCCAGAAGTTTATAACAGCCACCGAGCAGTGGTACCTATAAAATGAACACGAACAATGAATATACATATGCACGTGCACTACGTGTACATAAATGTATAGCGATTACATAAATGCTGTAGGCAGACTATGCCAGGCAAGTAATTACCTTAACAGCGGGGTAAACTGCCAATAACTCAAACTGCTTTATGATAACGGTGACAAAGTAAGGTGAAACTCGCGACAGTTCTTTCTGGCCCAACTTCATAGATTGACACAACCTATTTCATGATGAGATTAATATTATTTTAGTGCATGCCAAACCTGTATATTACAATATCCTACTCCAAACGCAAAATGTGTACCATCTTACCTTTCGATACTGTGACCGCAAGTACGAACATTTAGAATTTCTCCGTCAGAGAGTTTATTCTTCTGATCTGCTCGTTGAGTGAGACACTCAATGAGGTATTGGAAGCACTGACATGAAATTGCAAAAATGAAAATGTGATAGATGAAAACCGCCAGAGAGATATTGATAAATATTTAATAAGAAACCGAGCTGCAGCTCACCTGAAGGAAGATGTGAGATCTGAATGCAATAACATCCAATCTATGAACAATTAGAGCGTTCATAAGATCTGTCAGTGCACAAAACACTATTTTGAAGGTGGCCGAGTCTTCAACGGACGCCAATGGCACTGATGTGACGGACATGAGACAAACAGCGAGAGTTTTCAAGTTGACCATCGCCTTGTTTTTGGAGGAGAAGGAAAGTTAATTGATTATTTTATGAATGAAAGTAAAAATTAGGGCAAACACACCGAGACATTGAACGAATTTGAAATTCATTAATCATACAAAGATGCGACTCGTTAAAAATACTTACTCCACGTCGTCGTAGAATCTTTGTTTGTAACCGAATATACGGTAAGATAGCATTGTTTAAGCACAGAGCATCACAAATGTCCCAATCTAGTGTCAACAGTAGCATTTTGTGTAGACATTCTTGTAAAGTGTGGCGACGAATAGGTTTATTCAGTGCCGGAAGTTCTGCGTCCACAAGGTCGGAAAAAATCTGGATGATCATGTTAATCTCTTGGAAATTGTGAGGCGTATTAGCAAGTTCCTTGAAAAATGTAGGGCAAAGTTAGACAACAATTAAAAAACAGTTAATATGGAGTATAATAATGTAAAGTATAAACAACGCACTATTGTCTTTTCCATCAAAGAGTTGCAAATTAACTGAAAATCTGAAGGGCTAGAAGCTTCGAAAATATCTTGTACAAATTTCTTTGGTATTTTTTCCTTTTTATTTGACGGCAACTGGTCACAGTGTTGCAAAATGGTTGAATTAAGACAAAACTTCCAAAGTTTTGTTAGGAATTCAGCAGGCAATTCATCCTGAACTTTTGCTTTAGATTTGCACACAGAATGCATAAATCGTATGACATACACAATGGAAAGATCTTGGGTAGAATGGTTTGTTTTTAGAAATCTCAAGGATTTTTTAATTTTTGTAGCCAACGAGCGCTTATATAGATTCTTCGTGTCTTCATCCATATTGTCAATCGCTAATTGTGCCAACCAGCAGGCTCTGTAAAAATTGGGCGATGAAGAAGCGTCTGCATCTTCCAGTTTTTGAACAACAAACTGGGTCAGCTTATTACACTGGTCGTTTAATTGGGAGACTAATCTCGTTTTCGGGTTTTGTAATTCCTAAAAAGGAAGGTAATGAATGCACTTTACTCATTGTAAGAAATAAGTATAATGATAAAGGAAAATCAGAAATTCTAAGTTATATATATCTAGTAGGCGTGTAACTGCATAGGTGAGTACATGTCTTGCTTACCTTTAATATGTACTCCAATGTCATCAAACTAATACAACCAGTTGGAGAGTCAATCTTTTCAGCGTTGCACAATCTTTCCAAATCTTTTTCAAATTCTTCCATAAATTTTGGTGACATGAAGACATTGCTCAGAATCATATTGCACAAGTCCAGTTGTGCTGTTTGAGAAAATCTATCCACATTACCTATATACCATTGGAATAATGACACCCAATGAATAGAAAATAAAGTTTCATTCCCTTGAGACTGACTTCCAGAAGAAACGACCAATTTTGAAACTTCGTCCAAGCTAGAATTATCACAGTTTTGGTCGGTAAGTGCCACCAAAATTGCACAAGAACACAGAAACACTACGGTTTTCACATCTTTTGGATATGTTTCAATGTATAGACCGCTGAGAAAGTGCAACATTCCCTGAATTAGCTCACTTGAAAATTCTTCACGCATTTTTCGAGAAGTATTTGCAGGCTCGTGCAAGGACTCCGCTATAGCCGAGTTCACTGACGCTAGTAAATCTCCAATGATGCTACCATAATTTAATTTTGAGTTTGGACTTGGATTCTTCAGCGTTTTGTAATCAAAAGCGCATGATGATGACGAGAGCTCCACAAGTAAAATGGGTTTAGTTTCAATTGATAGCACATTATTCAGAATGTCCTTTAATGACTTTGGAAGCAGCTTCATTTTCTTAATTCTGCGTATAATTTCGCCAAGAGCTTCTATAATTAAAGCGAAGTGGAATATTGGATTTTCAGTAGTTGCTCCGCCACTACGATAGCAGATATGAGTTGCTTTCTCGTTTGAATTAGACAAGTCCTGTGCAACAGTGTCGACCGAGCCTCCCACATCTTGAAATTGTTGAACATAAATTGTAGCTAACTCAATTATGCTGTGTGGCTCCATGTGTCGAGAAACAAGGTTCAGAGTCTCGTCAGAAATTTGAACACAATTTTTACTTTGGACGTGGTGAGTCCAAATAAATTCAGCAGATTCCTTTAATGATTGTTTCATCTCTGATGTCACTGTGTTGTCCTTTTCTTGTTCCGTAATAACAAATTTCTGCTCTAACGCTGTCATAAACTCGAGTTTCTGAGCCACCAAATTAACCTATTGCAGACACATCATAATACATAAAAATTTACATAATCTAGCATTACAGTGTTTAAAGTGTTATAAATTCATTGTTGTGACTCACTAATAGTTGTTTCGCGGAAGAATCTTTGCGTTTTAATAACCGATTCGACAAATTAATCCAGGATTCCCCACTCATATACGATTGGAGATACGACAAGTCCGTTGCATTCGTTGAATAATCATTTAAACAGAAGGATGGCTTCTTTCCCTTGTACTTTGCATTATAACACAACATAATTCCATGTAATTGTCCAAATGCATACGCCAAACAGAGATATTGCTTCACTAACACCAACTCCTAAAAAATAAATTATTAAAAATTAATTAATGGAGACCGGTTCACTTTATTTCCTAGCTAATAATGGTATGCAATGAATAAGTAACACTTGTACCAGTTTTTCTCTATTGGATATCAGCAGTCCAAATGGTTTCAAGCATTCCTCGCAAAGTTTTTCCATCATTTCTGAAATTTTTTCCACTGTAGCGTCTGGAACTGTGTAATCAGTAACTTTGATAGTGCACAAAAATTCGGCAAAAATATCGGTCACAATACACAAGAAAGCCTTTGTTTTCTCATCATCTATTACAGGAATAAGAAAATGTTTTTAATAGTCCTATATACAATAATATAAATTGAATGAGGAGAATTTTTGCATACCAATGCCTTCTTTCAGTGGTTTAACGCATTCAATTTCCAAATTGTGTTGTAATGTTTTCCATAGATCAGTAATTTGTCCAACAGTTAATAAATTGATCACAGTACCGACAGCCGTTTTGAATTTGGCACTAATAATTCGTCCTTCGTACTTACTGTCTGGTTCGAGGTTATCACGAATGCAGCACAAAAGTTTTGCAATAAATTTTGGGAATCGTCTTAACTTCTCAAAAGTGTGGACAATAAATTCCATAAAATTATCACAGGATTCTTGAACATTTCCACTTTCTCGAGGGTAAAATAAAGCTATCTTTAGTACGTTTTCCATGAGGGACTCAAAAATTGTGGGAGCCACTTTTACAGCCAACGTGACGACATTAAAAAATTTAGATGTAACTCGAGTTGTATCTTTTAAAACAACTGAAATCGCATTTTTCACCCAGGCTGGAAAATCTTCAGTGATCAGTACAATATTTACGTTTTTATCCAAAATCGATTGAAAAAGGTCAGCAAGACAATGAAGTCTGGAGTCGGGGGACGCGGTAGGCGAGCCAATGACGATTGCACAGGCTTCAACACTTTTCAAGACATCATCGTCGACAGCAGATTTAGTCCTTTTCCTCGTTTCTTCTTCCTCAAGGTCGGCAGAAGGTCCTAAAGTTAGAATTATAATTTATAATAACATTTCATTTTACAACACTTGAAAAATAAACAGTATTAGCCTCGGTTACATTTATCTACCAACTTACCATCTTCCAGCTGACGTTTTCCAGTGGGCGACGGCTTAATTGTTTTACTTCCCATCTCTACGTCAGCCAATTTAATAACCATTGTCAGTATGCAGTGATCATGTGAGGGAATAACGTTATTTTATTACAGAGCAATAATAACCTGCTCTGCAAAACAAAGGAAGGAGCAGTAAGTTAATTAAAATTGATCCTAAAGACATTTACGCAAAAAAAATGAACTGCAATTTAATTTAATATAATTTAATTGTACCTGTATATTTAAGATTTTTGAAATATGAAATCACAATCTACTTTTTTGGAAACCTTTTCCCGTTGCACGTGTTGCCTCTCGTCTACTGTAAAATTTGAAGCTCGGTTTCGCGGTTCCACTGCTTTTGTGGGAACGACAAATTAATTAAATCAACTAGAATTATTTAAGAACAGTCATCATCAAAAAATAAATTCGCTTGCATTTAGCTCGTAATTTTAGAGCATTGTTTTATTTTTTAGTTCTTGAATCACACGAGGAAGGAAATCGTCTACATCATCTAGATCGTTTTGCTCTGTAAGTGACTTGACTAATTTGATGAATTAGCACAAAGTAGGTTTTACAATTTGTAATTACTATTAAAGCACTGTAATTTGCTAATTGTAGATAGCGAAAGGAATGCAGAGGACACGCACCTTCACGGTCGAACGGGGAGGAGAGACACGCGTTTACAACCAAGGAGCAATTCAACATAATGCGGCCGTAGTTGAGTACACACGGACCTGTACGGCCGTTTTTTCTGGTCTCTGCGCCGGAATATTAGGGCTGACGAGTTTGTACGGTTTTGGATTCTATTTCCTTGCGATATTTGGAATGTGGCTTATCCTCGTTGCAAAAGCAGGGGCGGACTATCAGCGCTTTTTCACGTCTAGGAAAGCACTCCTCACGAACGGGTTCTTTGGTGCGCTCTTTACCTACATCTTATCGTGGACTTTTGCTTACGGAGTAGTTCATGTATACTGAAGAGTTACATTGTAATCCATTTTGTATAATGTTTGAAATAATTTTTGTTTTTATTGAAGTGTTTTATATGCATAGCATAGAAATCTTTTTGCCAAATGTTTGTTTTTGTATATCTCTGTTTCCATTATATACACTGTAAGCAATGAATGAATGAAGCCTGTCTCTACCAAAGAATTAATTAAATATCTAATATTATTATTCCAGTCGTTTTGTATAATAAATCATGTTTAAATGAAGTTCTAATCATAAAAAAATATTTCATTTATTTCTGGTAGCAAAACAAACGAACAAAAACACTGCTACAGTTATTTCAGACTACATGTTTTTGATGGTGATTAATAGTTTATTTAAAAGTAATAAATCAACCACACACAAACAAATTACAAACCTTTTTCACGTTTTCTATAATATCAAGTATTTTATCAATCTCGAGGTGCTGCACAAATTTCATCTGTCCAAGTCTTAAATTATGTAAGTGTACCAGTACCACCCATTTCATATTTATTTTGGTAGTAAATTGAGAGACGTAAAAATAGTTACATATACGTACGGCGGGTGTGTATTTTTTGTTAAATTTTGTCCAGCAGTAGAATATATTATGTTGTATAATAATTTTTACGAAAGAAATTATAAATAATAATTACACTAGAACAGAGGAGGATGTGTCTCACTAATGGTTATGTATATATACAATACTTTACTGCATGTACATTTTAAACCTATCCCCCAGTTTCATTGTTGAAGAGGACACGGGAGCTCTGAAATCGGGAATTATTTCTCGAAGTCCACTACCACCACGCTGTTCAACAGAGCCAGATCTATTATTCCCATGATTTTGTATGAAGTTGATTTTTCTTTGGATATCCGGATTCAAGGCGTGCGATTGCTGCGACTGGTGGTGAGACATATTGTAATAATCAATGGCAGGATTTGTTGGGTCATACATATTGTTGACAGCGGTTCGCCTAAACGCAAATGGGGGAGATGGAGGTGGAACCACCCACTGTTGCTGCTGCTGTTGTTGTTGTGATCGTGGATGTTGCAATCGCATTCGTTGCGTCTCCTCTTGGTCTGCATACATACTCATTCCCATTGCAGGAATGGAACGTTGGTTGTGATTAAGAGATGCCCTGGACTGCGTATCATTGCGGAGGCGAACGTCCCCAGGATGATGCCTATTCTGTTGTAGTCTTTGAGGCTCATAGTTAAAGTTGCTCATCATCAAAGGCATGATATTGTTCTGACGAGGTTGTTGATATTGTTGTTGTGGTCTCTGTTGGCGAGGAGGACTAATAGTAGTAAGTACTGTGTGCCATGAGTTGTTTGAAGAAGGGTTGCTTTTCAAAGTAAAGGTGATAAATTAATGAAAACTTCAACCTGTAAAAGATGATTGTAACAATATATATATGAATAGCTTACTTATTAAAGGACCGGTTGTTTCTAATCTGTTGTGCCTTCTGGATTTTCTCTTGTACGACTAAACGATGAATCTGTTTGTCTACCGGATTACTAACGGTAACGAAACCAGTACGAGTTCTTCTAATTCCTGATGTGACTGAGAGTAAGGGCTGAAAGTTAAAATTTGTTAAACTACAAATTTCACACTCGTATTGCTAAACAAATACTACATACAATTAATTAATTCAAGAAATATTAAATAAAAATGAACTTACCATTAAGGACTCAAGTCCTGGTCGTCTAGTTTCAGGACGGAATACAACTTTTCGTTTAGCAAGTTGTAAACGAGCACGTTGAACACGTTTCCGAGCTAATTTCTGAACAGCCCTCCGATTAGAACGCTTGTTTAATCTACCAATGGATCTCATGTCATTATTATTACGACGTTGTCTTTGTTGTACACCAGCTACATTCAATCGTAAACGCTGCTGAGCTTGTCTGACCAAAAACTGACTCTGCGAACTTCCTCGAATGTTCCGATTTCTGTAGCGACTTCCGATCAACGGCTGAATTTGATTTATAATTTGGCGACCTCCAGTGATTCTATTGCGATATCCACCTCTTCCTCTTCTCCCTCCACCGGCACGTGGGACTCTTCCCTGATTCTACGAATAGAAGTAAATTATTATACCTTGAAGTTATAGTTTCTATATTGCATTCGACTAAAATTTGTTAAAGTCTTTCTTACTCCAACTATGATATTGCCAGCTCCTGCAATGACATTGTTAAAATATCTGCTTCGACTTCCTCTTCCACCACCAAAGCCACTTTGGCGATTCTTGTAAACTTTAATTCCAGTTCGTACTGGTCGATTATTCTTTACAGCAGCACGACCTTCTTTTCGATTTCGTTTTTGTGTCACGACCTTACCCCCACGCCCACGCCCGATTTTAAAACTCCCTTGCTTCTTTTTCACTTTTATGTAGTCATCTGTTAATCAGAGAAAATACGTCGTACTTATTGTGCCGTTAGGATATCATGAATTCATAAAGCTCACGAACACAAAAATAATCTAAGTAAAAGTACTAAATATATGAACTAATTCAATATTAGTATTGTATTACATACCCAAGGATAATTCTGCTCCATTTTCAGCCATTTTATGATCGGCTGTTGTATTGAATTTTGTTCAACCTTATTCTGAAATCAAAAAACATGCGAATGCTAAAAGGTTTTGAAAACTTTAACTTTCAAATATTAATTTGTAAGTAATTCATAAACGTTTAACTCTAAGTCTGTCAGTTCCTAATTATTAGTTGAATTAATAATCGTATACAACAAGTCAATCAATTTCAATAACCTTAACTCAATAATAATCAGAAAACCAAGTTAAAATTCAACAATATCAAATATTCAACACCAATAAAACTCACGTATTTGTTTTGTTGGCTAATTTTAGGCGAGCTAAGACAGTCGTTAACCAGTTATCATAGTCCCAACTATTGGATCCAGGGTTTTCTTATCATGAACACCGAACTTCAACAAACGTACAGGAACAACAATACGAAAAGTAAGAGCAGTAATTGATGATAAGAAATTACAACAATCGAAAGAAACAGAAATCCAAGAAACACCCAACTAGCTAACCAGCACAGCCACAGCAATGAATTCCAATCGTATCCGGCTACTCCGGCTGAATTTGTGCAGCCAGCAAGCTAAAATGATGTTACCCGACACCATGCAACAAATGCTAAATGCCTGCCTCGACCTCGTCTCATGCATGGAACAAGATGTAGGTCTCATGTTTCCAGATATTACGAAGAAATATTACGAAGAAATTATCATACTCATACATCCGTCTAGGTGTCAATCGATCACAAATTTAATTAATATGAAATTTTCAAAAGACACTATCTGCCAATCTCAGGTTTGGGGGAGGTATTTACACCCAAAGAGGAGAACAATTCATCGATCGATTCGATTATTAGTCTTAAATTGTATCTCGACCAGGCCTTGGATGAGTTCGAATAATCGGTCCAGTGGTTGACCGACGAGGGTAAAAATAGCACTAAATTTTTGAATCGTTTATACATGACAAGTGCACTGTGCACATCATCGTCAGATTTACGGATGGATATGATTCATATTCTATGAATTCCGTTTCTACATTTCAAGAAATATCTTTTGCTGCATGAAGGCAATATGGAACGCATCTGGTTATCGGATCGGAAAAGTCCATCCATCCATGGAAAAGCCATAATAAGGGAAAATTTATCCTATTGTTGGTTCAAACTGGAATCTCAATTTGACCACTCAAAAACTGAGAGGCTAACGTGGTTCGAGGTGAATCTGGCTGAGAGAGTCGCCCTCTTGTTCCCACGAGTGAATTTACCTTGTGGGAAGTTTGAACAGCGCACTTGCTGCCTTTTTCCAAATCCGTCCATGCTGCTGCTCGCCTCTTCCTCCATCCACCACCGGTTCTCGCTCCTGCTCCCTGCAAAAATCTCTCTTTCACTTTTTGGTCGTCACACCCCTCGGAATATCGGGAATTAGACCTCTCCCACCATGGTAAGCTCTCACCCCGTCCTTATAATCTTTAAAAACATCCCTAAAAGCTCTATCTCGTCTCTATCTGTCTGTATGTATGGTCAACATTTTGCAAGTTTGAAACTATACAATCCTCAATAATTCTGGACTTAACATTATCCAGCTATTGTTTAGTTTTGTTTGGTTGTTGTAAAACTTCTGATAAGTAATTATTTTTAAGAAACCCAAATGGTATTTTATTGGTTATTATTTGTGTACATTTACATAATGTATTATTTCAGGCCAGGGGACCGAAGAAGCATTTGAAGCGTTTAAACGCACCCAAGGCATGGATGTTGGACAAGTTGGGAGGAGTTTACGCTCCTCGTCCATCCACTGGACCTCACAAGTTGCGAGAATCACTCCCACTCGTCATTTTTCTGAGGAATCGTCTGAAGTATGCCCTCACTGGTGCTGAGGTCACCAAAATTTTAATGCAGCGTTTGGTTAAAGTTGATGGAAAGGTTAGATGCGACCCCACTTACCCTGCTGGATTCATGGGTAAGCGATAGTTACCAATGTACTACTGCAATAACAAACGACAACATTTAAATAACAAATATGATTTTCAAACGACGCAGATGTGATCCAGATTGAGAAGACGGGGGAGAATTTCCGACTAATTTATGACGTGAAGGGAAGATTTACCATTCACAGGATCACAAACGAGGAAGCCAAGGTGAGATATCCACGACATTTACGACAATATTAACTAGTATATATGCGCGATATTGCATAATGCTGACAACATTTTTTTTCTTCAGTACAAGCTCTGCAAGGTCAAGAGGGTCTGCGTTGGCCCAAAAGGCGTTCCATTTTTGGTAACAAACGACGGAAGAACCATCCGCTATCCTGACCCATTGGTTAAAGTTCATGATACCATCCAAGTGGACATTGCAACTGGAAAGATCATCGATTTCATTAAGATGGATCCAGGTACCTACTACGTGCCATTTTTCTGTTTCTCTGTCTTGAACTCTAGATGATGAACAATTATTTCAGGCATAATCCAATGATCGATACATGATTATTATTTCGAAATTTCTGATTTCTAAATTAGATTTTATTAATTTTATATACATCTGCATTGAACTTCAATATAACCGAGTTGTTTTTTTTGCAGGAAATCTGTGCATGATTACTGGAGGTCGTAACTTGGGGCGAGTGGGTACTGTCGTGAGCCGTGAGCGTCATCCAGGGTCCTTCGATATCGTTCATATTAAGGATGCAGTCGGCCACATCTTCGCCACCAGGTAATTTTACATATTTTTAATGTTTAAATTTAATTGCCTGGCCCCTTTCGAAGTCCGTTTGGTTTATTTTTTTATAATCTCGCGGGTCAAAATGTGGGCAATATAAATGAATTACTTCTCTCACGGTCGCACACTTGACATTTTAGTGCATGATGTGCATTACCAAGAGAGTGGACAACTTTATTGAGATAAATTATGGCAACTGTGCATTCATATATTTGTATATATGGTGCAATACAATGAGCCGTATATTTCCTTCCAGGTTGAACTACGTTTTCATCATCGGGAAAGGAAACAAGCCCTACGTGTCACTACCCAAGGGCAAGGGAGTTAAGCTAACCATCTCTGAAGAAAGAAATAAGCGTATTGCTGCGAAAGCTGCAGCTGGCGTTTAATTTTATGAATTTTCCATAAATCCAAATAAAAATAGATTTTAAAATCTAATAAATGTTTTCCACCCGTAATTGTTTCTGCATTCATTCTATGCATTTAAGCGTGCAGCCCAAATCCGACTACAAAATAAGCAAATAATTCATGATGGGCAACAATTGGCTCGTTTGGTCTTTGTTTCGTAGTTATTCAACACTCATAAACAATTTAATTTTTGAGGATAGTCTCCATAAAATAAATACATCGCAAATCCTTACGTTATAAAGGTAATGTACACATATTTTCAGTAAGTACACAAACAATCGACATTCACGATAAACAAAGTCTCGAGTATGATATACTTCAACCGCATATAGGATAAGTTGCATATTATGGTAGGAGGAGGAGGAGTGTATTATGGATGTAAACGGTAGATTGCAGTAGTATTATTAATTTAATTGGATACACGGGATTAAGTTGTAGTATTTTGATTTTTTTTAGTAATAATAAGGAGGTGGTTGATGCATAATCGGTTGAAGAATAGCACATATTTATTTTAGGTAAATGGTGTTATCTTCAAACATCAACGACCATTTTCTTGTGAATATCTGTATTTCCAACCACGCTACAAAACTCCTGAAATGAAATTTTGCCATCTTCATCCTGCAAAAAAAGAAATATTTATATGTGTTTAGCACGAAGTATTTACGTACATAATGTAAATGAGTTGCATAATAAATTTTATGTACTAACCTTGTCAGCAAACAGAATTGTCTTATCAACTATTTGTTGCAGTTGTGTGTCTTTCAAATTGTTGCCGACCATCATTTTCAAAACCTACGAAAACCCCATGCAAAAAAGTTTGTTTACTGCCACAATTTCCACATTATGAAAACAAGCTAATATCCAGCATCCATACAAAAAACTAGGCTTTTACTTTATTTGGAATATTAATCATTTTATGAACTACGAACTACCTGAAATAGTTCTCCGTTTGAAATATAGCCGTCATTATCCATGTCGTAAATGCGAAAAGCAAATCGGAGTTTAGATTCTTTGTCGCCTTTTACACTAAATTGCGAGACTCCTTGGATGAATTCTGTAATAAATATCAATGAGAGAAATTCATAAGTGCTCTTGTCCAAAACTCAAAATTCACGGTGTACAACAACAGGACAAAACATCAACGCCCGTGTATGAATTATTTTTACCCTTAAAATCAACTTCTCCATTCCCATCAGCATCAAAAATATCAATTACACGCTGAACTAATGGATTTTGTTGTAGTTCCGGCAAACTCATAAACTCATCAATGGATAAAGATCCAGAGTTGTCCAGATCTAACTTTCTGAATCGTTTCCCCAACCTCTTGATCTCATCAGGGTCGACTGTCAGTGAAACAAAGGGAATGTTAGCCAAGAGTGCACGTTTGGGAGAAAGCAATGAAAAGTTGAAAGAGACAGATATAGAAAGGGACGTACAAGCCGATTCATTACATGACTTACAATGACTACACATTTCACCCTGCAGAGACACTTCATTACCCTGCAAGTGAGATAAAATACAACAATTTGAAAATAGATTCGTCTCTCAGAATTTAAATTTGTTCATGTAGCGTATTAGTTAGTAGTGCAAGCATTTTTGCCGAATCCAAAAAAATAATACTTTGGTCAATTTTAATATAATGTTTGTATAATCAATCATGTTCATTCCAATTCCAATTCCAGTAGGGCTAAATAACAAACCCGACGCCCTTTGAAGAAGGGTGGTGGTGAAGGTGACACTTTGGATTTAGTGTTGGTTCCTTTATTTGGTGGTAGTTCAGAAATTAGTGGTTTCTTGGCATTTGAAGATTTTGAGGCCAATCCTGAATTCGACATGTGACTATTCCTGTTGTGACTGCTTGGAGCTTTGCCCTCAAATTGGCGTGGGTCAAACATTTGGCTCTTCCTATCCATCGACGACTTTCTCCGATATGGAGTAGGAATGGTTGGTTGTTGAGGCAAGGGTGGAACAGGTGAGGAGGGTGCACCTTTCCTAGCAGAGGGATGGTCAGTCTCGTGGCTATTTTTCTTCATGTTGGTTGGTCGGTCAGGCGGTCGAACAAAATTGTTAGGTTTTATAATAGGCAGAATCGTTCACTGACTAAAACTCTAAATGTATACTAATACAAGCTTAATTCAAAAATAATTGATTATTGCAAAATTTAGAGAAATTTGAGTTTGAGGTAGAGTGAAAGGTCATGAAAGTTTACAACTTTCTTCATCCTGGAAAATACAATGTCGCCAAAGATACAAACGATTTAGATATCGTATAGATTCTAGAACTATGTATGTAAAACGCTAATCCACTACGGCGAACAGAATAAGCAATGCTCGGCGTGGTTATATGATCGATAGTGGTGTTTAAAGACTTACCATTTTTAGTGTCTTTTTGTTTTATTACGATGATTGCTCAGAGAAAAGATATTATTAAGTCGAGTTTCGACAAATCTCGTGTGAAAATGATGTTTGAGAAACAGTTATTGGCAAAATGTGCTTATATTGCAATGAATCCTTGAATTCCAGAGATTCCGTGAAGGACTTGAAGAATGAGTTGTTGTTCTAATCCTTTGATGATTTAATATATGACAACCGCCTGAAACAGTAATAATTAGAATGCTTATTAGTTATCTGCTCGTTTTAGTTGAGTGTTCTGTGTTTTAATTACAGTAAGACCAAAATTAAGCTCTGATAATCGTCTAAGACGATTGCGAATTATCAGAACTAGATAAGCATGAATAAGTAGATCTCAAGACCTGTATGTATATTTAAATATTAAATATCTCGCCTTCAGTTATTCTGGATTTACGATTTAGCAATTTACAAGATTCTTTAAAACATAAAACTAGAAACACGTAGATAGAAATGATCTTAGGTATTCGTTCTTGCGAAAACTAATTATTTGGTTTTGTTACAAAGATGAAAGTTACATTGAAACAAACCACACACGGCAGGTAAGCCTGTGAACTTGAAACTTCTGTGTGCTGTATTGTATTAATTTCAATCGCGACACGACTGTACATACCACAGATAAGTTTTGGGCAGGGACAAATTGCACGATGACGATTATTTCGCTTATTATTGCTACACACTCTTGCTGTAATATTCAAATAATTACTTAAATAATAGCTGCTCCAAGCATAAGTTCAGTTTAAACTTCATGTAAAGCACCGACCCACCGACCGACACCTTCACCATTGGTTTACAGTTTTGCACAAGTAAAACAAGTACATAATATACTGAACTGATCGTGTACCAATACTACCAAAAGAGATTACCAATATGCTGCTAATAAAAACTAACAAACAACACGAGTCAACCTGTTATTAAAAGAGCAACCATTCTGCATGGATATTTGATATTGTATTCACTAATTACTATTGTCTTACTTGACTTAATATTCCAGCAGCCTCAGTAGCAGCAGATCGCCAGCCACGAAGTCCATCAGTCAGTAATAGTCTTGGTAAAGTAGAAGATCATACTACAAGTTTAAGTTTGTCCTCCGAAACTGTGTTATTAAACCTTGACTTTCCTTCTCAATTCATTTACGAAACTGAAAAGTCGACTATTGAAGGCAATTATTAGAGGATATTATAGCCCAAACTTGAAGGGCAACCCAACCCCGGTTAATTCTTACAATGAAGGCTAAATGTCCAAGTGCGTTGACTTTTTCCGGATTTGCTTGCTTTCTTCTTCACGTTTAATATGAATTTCTAATGGAAACACGATGATGAGGAAAAGGAAAAGAAGGCGTATCACATGTAAAAGTGACAGTGACGAAGAAAGAAAGCACGGGATAAAAACCCTGCCTAACCAGAAAGCCAATGTAAGAAAACCTTACACACGCTCTAATCTCGAGGAAATTCAGTTAAATCCCAGAAGGAAGTGCCATTTTTTAAGTAAATCGCACTGGCAAGTAATGAATTAGAGAAGAAGGAGAGAAGAACGGTGTTTGGTTATTTGCTTGGCATATAGCATGCTTGCTTTCCTACTAGGTTAGATTGAGACTTTGGAATAATAGTAAACTTTAGCAAGGAAGAAGAAGTAACAAGTATTATTATAATAGCGTAAAATATGGTGTTGGTTGGTGTGGTTGGGCTAGGTTGAGAAGATGTATGCAGTGAAATATTCTGTCGGGGTGTTCTCGGCTTTCTCGGAGTTTTCAGTTTGGGTTGGGTTCGGTTTACTATAAGTTTCTTACCTCCGAGGGGCCTCCGAACACGAGGTCAACTTTTTTATGCAACTTTCCTTCCCATTCTTCTTGGGTCCATCGGTAAAGAATGAGATATTTTAAAGATTGGAAAAGTGAAAGTGAAAGTTGACGTTGGCCAAGCTCAAATCACATTTTGACCTAAAATTTTCAACGCCTCTACATAAATTCCTGATTGTCCCATCATTCCAATGTATTGCGGTTTGTTGGGTAGTTAGTGAGTTGTTCTTCCTCCGATTCGATTCACATCACACACATCCCGCCGTAGTACAAGCAGCCTTTCCAAACGGCAGAGAAAGTACCAGCTTCAGTTTTTCCTTAGCTCACTGGCTTTTGGCGCATATAGCGCATACTTATATTGATCCAGGGAAATCCTTATCTTTGCTCTGGTTTAACTTTCTCCACTTGCAGACAAGTTACATACACAACACTGCGAGAAAGCAGCCGTGCCTGATATGTTTCATTCATACTATAGCTTCCTCCTCTGTTGGTTATTACTTGACTCGACACTCGACCACACGGCTCGACTGACTCGCGTCTTGTACTTGGTTAGCTTTCTAGTGAAAGCCACTTTGCTGCCTCGCTTTCTCCTCGTCGCCTAATGAATAAGAACATTGAGAATTCCGCTTCTAAAGCCGACGACGGCACACTCGACTCAAGTTCTGATCGAGTGGCCGCACGTTTTGTAAAATTTAATGGATTTTACCCCGCATGGTACATATAAATATGTGTCAGTATATATCCAATTCTATATGGCACACCCTCTTTCTCCAGCTATGGATGGATGGATGGATGGCAATCAGTATCAAACAAACAGGGGAAGAATACGGATAAGAGAACAAGAAAATTATGCGTAAATAAGAGAACGATACATGTTTCATAGTTTCGAAAATGAACGTTTAACTAAAATTCTCTATTATGTATATTTATCGGTGTGCATGCATTATGCATAATTACATCATGTATATATCACTTTCATGTACAGGGTGTTAATAAAGTTCGATCCCATTTTTCCTGTAAAAAAGTGAAGGCTAGTATAAAAAAAAACTACCCGTGATACTTACAAAAAATGTTCGACATATTTACCTTAGTATTTGGTCTTGTTACCATTTACTTTAACCATGCCCTCAACTCTTTGTTTAAGGCTCTGTGCTAATTTTTCCAATGTGCCTCTGGAAATCGAATTCCATACATCTTGAACTTTTTTTTACTAGCTCTTCCCTCGTCCGGGGTTGTGGCTCTTTGTATACATTTTCCTTAAGTATGGACCACTGGTTCTTCAGGGGATTCAAATCTGGGCCGTTAGCGGCCCACACCCCCTTGCTCCAGACCGTTGAAACTTGCGTCTTGATGAGACTCAAACTCGCTTTTGCTGTATGGGCTATAGCACCATCCTGCATGAAAACTATTTTTCTTTCATTCGGAAATATTTCCTTGTTCCCCATGCTATCGAAATAGATAGGTAATATTTTTTCCATATAATGCTTTGCATTGACTGATTGGCCTTTTGGTATGATATGTAGAGGGGTCACGCAACGTGCACAAAATCCACCCGCTACCATAACTTTAAGCCCGAATTTTGGGATCGCTCTTGATGGTACATCCGATTTGTTTTCTGTCCTGTAACGAACATTTTGTTGGTTCAATTTTGGATATAGTTCAATAATAGATTCGTCAGTCCAAAGGATGTGACTGCGCAATTCTTCACCAAGTCTTTTTTCACTCAAATGGGCACTTTTCTGAAGGAGTTCTTCAAATTTCAGACGGTCATCGATATATTTTTGTGACATGAGAGGTTTTTTTGGTTAGTTTGTAAGCTGTGTGACCCCACTTCGTAGTTTTCACAAATTTTTGCACGGTCACACAGTTAATTTGCTTCTTCTTCTCTTTATAGCGTTTTGAGTCATTTAACTCCCTTGCTCAATTACGTAATGAACTACCGGTTTTCTTGCAAAGTCTGTTTTTAATCATTCTTTTTGTGGTAGGTGACACCTTTCTGGGTCGCCCTGGTCGCTTTTTGTCGTGGACAAAATTTTTATTCTTCCATTTCCAAACAGTTCTGCGGCTGCAGCCCAATTTTTGCACAATTTCTGTAGGTTTAAGCCCCTGCTGATGCAATGTTTGTATCTCAACTCTAAGATGCTCATGACTTACACGTTTAGTTGTTCCTCCCATGGTAAAAATTTGAAATAAATAACTTCACTGGTTCAAAAGTTCCAGCTGAATTTGTAACAACCACGCTCCAAAAAATGCATGGGATCGGACTTTATTAACACCCTTTACAAAGTATTTAGCTCATATGCTATGCTATACTTTCACCAGTTTTACCAAGCTTCATATGTTATCACAATCACAGATTGTTGAACCCCAAGAGTTAACCAACAGTTAAATTTCATAATTGACAAACTTAATGAATAATAAATAATCTATACTTACTTACTACATGCTTACTACTGTTCAAAGTCTGTAAACGAAACCAATAGAATGAACTTGACTTATGCACCATATTATTATTATGATGATCACGTCGTTCTTGTGTGAATGAATGCTTATATGAATGTCAATCTTTCTACCTTGATGGCACGAGACCTGGCACGCTGTGTTTGCGTTGATAACAAAAATTGATCATATGATCTGAACCTGAACGTATAATCATCAGTAAGAATATGATGGACAATAAACATCAAACCGCATGATGAAATTATAGTTGGGAAAATTGTACCCATTATTGACTGTTCATTCAAATTGTGCAGTACAGCTACTGAATACACACAAGCAATAAGCATAGATAAAATAAGCTATTTTTGAGTTAACGTCTTTTGTATCATCATGCCTCCAAAAAAGGTAAGAACTAATATCTGCACATAACACATAAGTAAATAGACTAGACTTCAAACTTTAGTAGATAAAATTAGGAAAGTGGCTGCCGGTCCCCTTGACAAATCCTTTACTTGTTGCTCTCACTTCTGAAGGTCTGTCCTCCCGAACATTTTTCTGTCCGTGAACGCAAAAGTGGGCTGTGAGGAGAGGGAGAAAGGTGGTGAAAGCACTTGGAAGGTGGTGGGCATGGTGAGAAACATGAGACTCGTCCCGTCCTGTCTTGCTCTGCTGCTGTCCAGTCAAAAAATGCTTTCACTTTATTATTCGCTCCATGCCTTCCATTTCCATCACTCCATTCCATCGCTTTACTATTATAGACAATTAATTGCTGGCTTCATTTTTAGAGAGAAACTGCATAAAACACCGTGTGCAGTCATCGTAAAGAATTCATAAGTAAAAGTTCCATCACCACGCTGCTTCTGGGCAAACTCCAGTCACAATAATAATAATAAATACTCCACGTCTGTCTAACCAGTTCTAGTATTTACCAAGTCGTTCGACCTTGAAAGACATTGGCCTTCGCTTTTGGCTGCATCATCTTCATCAAGCACGATTTCTTATAAAGTTCTCTGATCCTCTGTGAATATGGAATAACAAAAGCAACAAAAAATCCGGCTCATTTTTAAAAGTCTTGATCGCTTAAAGGAGCGTTTCATTCAATCCCAATAGATCCTCAGTCTCGTGACACCACATTTTATTAATAGAAAAACCCATTAGAGGAGAGGATTTACTGAATTAGGTTGCATATTAGTGTGGACGATAATAACGTGTTGTTCACCAACCAATTCGCATAGAATCTTTCCCCTCATCTCCTCAAATCATATCATCATCATCATAATAATAAAATTTGTGATTGCGTTGAATGTGTTTTTGGAGCTCAAATCTATTCAGCTGCGGGGACGAGTTTCAGTTGTAAGTACAAAAAGTATGGTGTATTGTACAATTTGATTTATAAGGTTAAAAAAAGACTATTTTACATTGCAAATTGGGAAAATTTTTGAGTGAAAGTTTTTACTATGAAGAGGTAGGTGTAGGTCTGCCTGTTCTAAATTTTTGTGCAATCTGTCTGCAGTCTGCACAAATCTGAGCAACCTTTCTACAGATCTTCCTCTAATATGTCGAATCTGTAATCTATATAGTATAATCTATTTTTGAACAGAGAATGACAAATTCGGAAGAGGTCCACCTTCGCAGCCGGGAAAAATCAAGTGGAAGTTCGGGATTTGGTGCTTCTTCAAATGGTGAAAGTTCCTCAAAATTGAATACTAAGGATAAAATGAAGAGGGTGCCGGGAGGAGGTCGTCCCAGGAACAGGAAGGTCGTAATTGGTGGTCTTTTAGTCCTCGCCCTGTTGGCCTGGATGTTTCTGTTCAACGGGTCCAGCACCCCGATGCACTCGGTCGGATGGTTGGATGAGAACGTGTACCTTCGATTCGGACTTAACAAAGAGGTTTATGCAGTCGTACTGGATGCAGGGTCGACGGGGACAAGAGTGCTTGCATTCGCATTTCATCAGTCCGTGCATGGTATAGCACTCTCTTGAAATACTAAAAATGACACCAAAATCCAATATTGTATAAAATGACTATTCACTATTATTATACGTTTCTTATTTAATTTGATATTTAGACAATAATTTGAAGCTGAAGGATGAACTATTTCACGAGGTTAAACCAGGTCTATCCTCATACTCGGATGATCCACAAGCAGGTGCTGACAGTGTGAAGCAGTTATTATCCAGAGCAAAAATATTCATTCCTCAGGAACATTGGGCTAAAACTCCAGTTTCCCTGAAGGCGACGGCAGGACTTCGTTTACTTCCAAAAGCAAAGGCTGACGCAATTTTAGAAGCGGTGAGACCTACCATCAGTATATAATATGACGTCATTTGTTAGTATAAAGTTGCAAAAAATGAGTGATTTGATTAACTTGGAATAATATTATTTTTGAAGGTGTCAAATGTGATCAAAAGTATTGGATTCCATGCAACAGAGGATTCAGTGGGAATCATGGATGGTGTCGACGAAGGTATCTTCTCGTGGTTTACGGTCAACTTTTTATTGGGTAGGTTGATGTGGTTCAAATGCTATATATTATTGAGATTCACTGTTTACAAGAAATGTAGACTTTAACAATTTGTTTCATTGGATTTGCTAGATCGGATAGGAGGACCAGTTTCAAAAACTGTCGCAGCGTTGGACTTGGGTGGTGGTAGCACCCAAATAACTGTTGCTTCCTCTCCAGGTACAATTGAATTCCTTCCCTCAGAAGACATTCAAAACATTAGCCTCTTTCATCAACAAGTGCCATTATATACACACAGGTAAGAACTGCACATATGCATACATATAATAATGACAAATATATTGACATATTTCATCTTGTGCATTGTGTCGTTATAATTTATAATTACTTCTTGCAGCTACTTGGGCCTTGGCCTTCAAGCTGTTCGAAAAGCGGTATTATCTGCAAATCAGACAAATCCAGAATCAACTGTATTGGAAAGCGTTTGTGTAAACCCTGTGGTTTCAAGGGAATGGACTTATGGAGGCGTCACTTACACGATGAAGTACTTACTGATTAATTATATATATGCTAATCCACCACATCATGTTCTTTAAATGTAAATTTTGTCATCAGGGGTGTCCAAACTGGAAAATTTGAAAAAGTTCAGTATAATGGTTTTGCTCGCAAAGAAGCAGTCGCGGACTGGGATGAATGTTACAAAGTGATTGTCAAGATTATTGAAGAAAAAGGCGTTATCAAACCAAAAGACTTAAATCGGCAAATCGTTGTTATTTCGTATTTCTTTGAAAGAGCGGCAGAAGCAGGTTTAGTCGGTGAGCTGTTGACATGCTTTATAAATTTGCCACCATTCACAAAAAAATGCATACATATACTAATAAGCCCTTTTTAAATCACTTGTCTAGACCCACTGGAAGGTGGGAAGCTTACCTTACAGCATTACTTGGATGCAGGGAAACTTGCTTGTCGAACTGTGAATGCGGACCTACCACTTGCCTGCTTGGACTTGACTTTTATGGGCGCAATACTTCATAATGGATACGGACTAGCAAAATCTACGCCACTTTTAGTACTAAAAAAATTACATGGGCACGAATTAAGTTGGGCGCTAGGTGCGGCGTACCACATTCTTCAAAATGGAGGGTAATAATTAATAATCATAAATAATAGTCAATTACAGTCCAACACACATACACAACATAACTTGCGTCCAGTTTAAATTTTTGTGTGAATCCTATTCCTCTAAATATCTAAATGTAGCCATTTGTCTGGTCCCCACATTGTGAAAAGTATATAACCGATAGACTATAACAGACTATATCAACTTATGATATGATCTGCATTGCATGATGATAAGTATAGACTATAGCAAAAGGCAAGACTGTGATATTCTTGCACATTTTGATAATATTTCTCTCGCGTTTGCAAGAAATATGTAAAATTCATTCCCCATTTATTACTATAATAATAATGCCTTGTCGTCGAGTTTATTGCTCCAAAACCATGCATCTGGTTCCTCTCTTTGTACTGATTTATGCTAATAATAACGTTTCAGCGTTAATTTTATTTTTGGACTTGTAGACAATTAAATACGTCGTAATCAATAAATAAACTTCGCTCAATTGCATTTTAAAAATTGGTGCGAACTGCTATTGCAATAGCAATATTAAATGAATTATTTACTGCATATATAATAATTTCACTCCATGGCAGGATTTATTTTTCCTTTTGCGAGTTTAAATACAACAAACGAAAACATATCATAAAATCAAAGAAAGTGTCATTCATGTCTACTTAAAAATTTTTCCTTGATTAAATTTTCTGCCTTCCTTGTCAGTACCCTCCCACGAAAAGTAGTCTTGGACCATTTTCTTCGTTTCTGGAGAGTTGGGGTCCAACTTTTTCCAGGTGTAAACTTCATAATCAACTTGCCAGTCTGGGCTAAGAGTGAAAGCCAAGTCCTGACCACGCCAGACCCAAAGGCCAGATATGGTGCTGTTGTTGTCTTCACCAAACAGGCAAGCGGATGCAAACGCGTTCTTACGCATCTTGTCCAAACGTTGATACATGCCTATAAAAGTATTTGAGTTAAAACCAATTAGTTCAGTAACAATTATAAGCAAGATTGACAATATATTATTATATTATGAATACCTGAGATAAGATTGCAGCTCATGAATACCTTGGTGAGCTCGGTGTTGAAATTATACTCTCCAATCCAAATGGAGTAATTCTCTGGATCAAACTTTTCCCAAAAGTAAGGGACGGACTTATCAACATCGTTGTTGGAGTAGAATCGCTTAAAGTCGTCCATATTGAAGGTTCCTTTAGGAAGAGCGTCCAAGGGATCCTTGGACTTTGGTTCCTCAGCCAAAGCAGCCTCTGCTGCGTCCATCTCTTCTTCTGGTTCAGGTTCCTCCTTCTTCGGGGCCGCTTTGGGCTTTTCCTCCTTCTTCTTATCTTTTTTGTCGTCCTTCTTGGCGGCGGGTTGTTGAGAACCACCTGTTGAGGTGAAAATTATTATTAATTTACTTACATCACTCATGCATACCACAACTCATATCATACACAAATTGACTATATATTGTATATATTTGCTTCTAGCTTATTGTTCTTACCAGTCACTTCCTTGAGCTTGCTAGGGTCAAACTTGACAGGGACATGCAATGAAAAAAAATATGTACTTAATAAAATTCTGTTTGTTGAAAATTTTTTTAGGTTCATTGAACTTTTGCATACACATGTACCAGAGTGTAAACACTCAACTCCAAATTTTCTCAGGCTCCATCAAAAATTTGAATATTTTTTATAAACACAAATTATTTTTACTGTTTATAATTCAAATAATTGTTGTAAAATGTTCTCAAAGTTATCCAGTAGTGAACCACCACAGAAAAAAGTGCGTTTGACAATACACCACCCACCACCAGGCAGTTCAATTAGGATTTTTTTGGAAACTGAAGGAGAACTCACCGAAATTCAAGGTAAGGTTTAACATTAACCCATGAGTAATGTGCAGTATTTATTTATTAAACTAAAAATGATCCACAGAATGCTCGCCAGTCAATTCGCAAGAGGCCAACACCCCCACCACCCGCTTCCCATGGAAAACAAATAGTGTCAATCTCCCCCCTCCTGAACAAGTAAAGATTTGGGTTCCTCCCACAAAATCAACCATGCCAGAGTACATCTTCAAACACGTAAAAGAATACCTCAACTGGGATGGAGAAGACCGAGACATGAAAACTTCTGCTGCGATGCAAATCCTCCTTCATTCTGGGACAACTTTGCAGGTTACAAAGGAAGGGAGGAAGTTGGCGGAAAGAACTAAGAAATTCAGGAACAATAATCCGAATGCCAGAAAATCTGAAGTAGAAAAGACAGAAGTTGTGGATGTCAAATTTGCAAATGGGAGAATTGTATGGGGAGTAAATGATGGGGCTGGAATGTGCCAATTTGGTAACTGTTGGAAAAATAAAAAACGTGATGGAAAGTGCGACGAACACGACGAATGCCGCACGACACATTTTCTACTCAAAGATGCGGATAACCCTACACCCACCTACATTCTCTTATCAACCCAACCCCATTCCCCCAAATTCATTCATACTTTGGATGGCTGTCTCCAATCGATGCGGAACTCACCAAACAATTGGCCTGCTTTCGTCAAGTATGAGAATAACGAAAGAATAAAAAAACGTGTTGCAAGGGCTGAAGACGTAGCAATAAATGACCATGATGATGATGAGAATCAAGAATTGAATCCAAACTGGAAATTGGTGACAAAACATCCCTGGATTTCCCAAGACTCGGAGTATTCAAATATATTCAAACAGACGGTCAACATTATCCTTTCCATTATGGCGACAATTAATGCTAATGCAGCGGACCAGTTAAACATAGTCGGAGATAAGCTCTACATAGACAAAGTGGACTGGAGCGTGGTCAACGCAATTTTAGGAAGTTGGGGATTCCAGATTGGACTAGGGGACCCTTCGAAATATGGGACCATGGTGGAATCTCCGTTGCTGAAAAAAGCAGATCTTAAGTGGAGGGGCGGAGATCAATGGATCTATTGGAAGTTTGGCACAGTTGGGAGGATTTATGTGGGGACTGTAAAACAGGAGAACTCAAGAGGACCAATGCCTAAATCATACATTCATCCGCGTCATGGTCCTAACGCGAAGGGAATCCCGATCTTCCAGGGTTCAGGTGATGATGACTTCAACATGAAAGAGACAGCAAAGATGGAAGGGGTGGGGCAATTGGGAGTCATCCTTTGTCAAATGCTAGGAGGAACGATTGATGAGAACCCCATCCTCATCGATTTCACCAAGTATGAGCATTTCTCGGAATGGGAGCAGCATCACTTGGCAAACTTGAAGGCGCTTGTGGGATTCTGGTCATCTCAACAACTGGAGTTTACCCCACCGGAAACCCTGGATATTTCTGCCATCAACTGGAATCCAGTGAAGAAGTATTTGCGAGCTCCAGACATTAAGTGAACTGTTTCTATTATATTTTTGTCAAATGTACTTGTTTGAACAAATTAATTGTTGGTGTGGAAGTAAATATTAAATTTATGAATATTCTCATTGTGGAGTAAATAGAAACGTTTAAATAAAGGACTTCAAGCAGCATCCAACTCATAAATTTATCTAAAGTATTATAGAGTATAATTACCTTGACAGGGGTTGTGCAGTATGAAAATTGATAGCTATATTTCTTCAAAGCTTCTTGGACCTTGGTCTGATTCAGGATCGTGTCAAACCACCGATTGACATTGACGAAAGGAGTCTTGGTTTCACCATCTAACAAATTCTTGTACAAATCCACAAGTGTCGTAAATGCAGAAATATCAGCCAAAGTTACAGATTCGCCAACCAAGTACGTCCTCGTGGATAGGTACTCATTCAAGGAAGTGAGGCACCGTTCCGTTTCATACTTGGCCTTTGCAACTTGCTATAATATTATTACACAAACATACATTAGCCATCAAAATTTAAGTGAATCCAAGTGAAAATACGCAATTAAAGATATGCACTAATTGAATTTCCTATAATTGATTAACTCACATCCTTATTGAAAGGCATAATAGACAGAGAGGGGAACAACCATCCACAAATAGCTGGAAGCAGTTCGGTCTGTGAAAACAAAATCCATTGCAAAACTTGTGCCCTGTCCGCGTCTCCTTTGCCCCTCAGCGCATCATCCGCAACAAAATACGCGATGGCGTCACTCTCACTAATACGTGTCTTTCCATCCTTAGTTTCATAGGCTGGCACCTAAACGTTGGAAAATTAACAATATGAATACATGCAATATGAATGACGACACAAACTCCTTCACTTTCACTAATGTCACGTCAATGAGCGTTATGTGTAGATTTTAGGCTTACTTAACGTAACGAAAATTTTCACCACAAATCAAAACCTGGCAGTTACTTACCTTCCCAACGGGGAACTTTTTTCGGAAGTCATCAGACTTGTTGGTCTCTCCAAATACGAACTTTGAGTCAACATCAACCTTGACGCCAGAATAGCCGCTGGCGATGAGTACCTTCAGAGCTACAACATAAATAAATATGCCATTAATTTATCCTGGGAAGTTTTTTTTAGATATGCTTATTTTGTGCACTACAAAGCCCTGGAATTCTTTAACTTACCTCTGAAGTTTCCACCATACGTGTAAAGAACCTAGTAAGATAAGCAGATGGATAATTTAAAGGTGCGCTACTAGACCTTAACCTTCACCAATCGCCACCACAATGCGGCACGTGACGAGGAACTTACCCCAGATTTGTCCATGGCTGCGGAAATTGAATTGGTGTCGAGTTTGTCGACGAGGGTTTGATGTTGGCGACAGAGTGCTTCGGAACAACCGGACGGCGAGGTCTCCCAGAGTGAAAGAGCGAGCTTTTGGCAGCGGATCCAATTCAATGGCTCTCCAACAACCACGAAATCTCATTCTCGCCATTGCAATGCACGCGGCTGCAGCTCAGCTCCATCCAGAGGCAGACTTGCGCAAGCACACGATGTCACACTCCGAGGGCAGAGGGTACGGCCATCCTCGAAATTTATCCCAAAGCGGGATCAATTTTCTCAAAAAGTTGATTCTTCGAAAAGTTACAATTTGTTTTGTGAGATTGATTCAGAATTTTTGAGACAGTTAGTGAAATAAACACCCTCTGAATTTTCGATAAACAGCATTCCCCATTAAGTCTATCAGATTTAATAATAAGTAAGTTTATGCTTGATAAAATTCTGATGAGCAAATTTCATAATTTCATATGAAAATGTTTCATCTCTTTAAGAGATTCTCTTACTAAATTTGTAGTTCTTCGGAAAAGACATTCATAATTTTAATTTTGGAAATGGATTTTTTTTTGTACAATGAAGCCTGAACGGATGAATGAGAGCTTCTCATTGTTATCATGTTAGCCGAGTGAACTGACTTTTTTTCAACTGGTAATTAAATTATCATTAATCATCTATCTTCATATTTATTACGTGACGTAAAGTACGTCTCATAATTTTGCTAGATATAATGAAGAATTACTTCTTTACTCATTCGTACTTACAGGAAAGGAAAGGAAAGAAGAAGACATTCACAATTTTTGACATTAATATGACTCGTGCAAGCTGGACATTTACCATAGTCGTCGGCATTACTTTCGCCTTAGGATTCTTTGCAGGGTACAAAACCAAAGAGTTGAGAATACAATGGCTCAAAAGGAAGAGAGATCGTCTGGCAGATAAATTAGTGGAGACACAGAGACTAATTGAACAACATCAAAAGAACTACTAAATTAAACGATGCATTTAATAATAATTTACTGTCGAGTACTTAGTTTAGAAGCTAAAATGTTTGAGAAAATTGTATTGTATTCGTGTACTGTAGTGTAGTAACATAAACTAGTTTGGACAATATTTCTTGATACACATATCATCACTCCCTGAAGAAGATAGCAGCTTCTGTCGAAAGCTTGGAACAATAAAACTTAAAAATGTCATCCATGATACCCTAAACTCATTACAAAGATCATAAATCTTGGTGATGCATAAACATCATGCATACATTGTTTAATGAGGAGATAGAGAACGCGTGGGGGGTACTTTTCCATGTACATAATCATGTGATGTGACGATAGAACGTCTTCTCTTGACGATGCGGTAATTTGCTTGGCGGATAACGATAACCCATGCTTCATTTGCAAAATATCATCGTGGTCGTGGTATACGCTCATCGCCAGAGGATATGAGGACAAGCAGAAATAATTTCATTTTGGCAATACTTCTACTGCTGTGTACTTATTTGGTTCAACTTTGAAGTAACTTGTTTATTACAAAAAAATGATTGCAAGGTACAATAATTAATTCCTAAATCTAGATGAAACTACTAAATTATTGTGTATTGGTATAAACATAACAGGTAATAGCAACACTTGCACACATTATACACAAATAAAAACTTAAATAAATTTTAGAGATGGTCTCTAAATAAATATTCATCAACAAAAATTAAAATCAAGAATAATTATTATGTAGATTAAAAGGTTACTAAAGTTTATCATAAGTTGTGTAAACTAATTTGTAATAAACATTTGCTTTTGGTAGAGCAATTTTTGACGTACTTGCAATTTCATAATAACGTGATCTATCTACCAGCATATTATAGTAATACAATCTCACCTATTGTTTCTGAAATCAAAGTTAGTAATATTTCATATGAGATAGTAGTGCATAAAGTAAAATGAGAATCAGTATTATTTTGTGTCGTGTCGAGAAGAGAAGGACGATTATTATTAATCAATAATGGCCTTCACAACGTATATTATGTATCATACACCTATCTAATTAAACAAAACAAAGAGTAGGAAAGTATTTGGTCTACTAACTTGAATCAAATCTTATCTATAGCATGGTTGTTTTTGAACTAAGTTACATGTCCATTTATACTTCGCCTGGTTTAGGTATTCAACTACTAACGTCGACCTCCACCAAATCCTCCAAATTGCTGTCCCCCGTACCCTTGCCAAGTTCCACCTCCGCCGCCTCCACGATTCATGGCATTAGTGTTGTGCTGCTGTTGTTGTTGCATGTTCATATTATTTCCCATGCTGTCCCATGATCTACCAAAACCTTGGTCTGGAACTTGTTGATGTTGAACCCTGTCCAGAAGAAATATGTTAGTTTTTACAAAATTAAAATGTCTTCAATATAAATATGACTTGTTATACCATGGATCAATATATTGCTGTTGTTGTTGCTGCTGTTGCTGTCCTCCAAAGCTGTTAAATCCTATTGAAAAATGGATAGTTTTAATGACTTATAATCACTTTCCCTTGTAAATTTTAACTTTGTTTTATCAAGATAAGCAATAGTAGGGATGCATATTGTGCTACCATTTCCAGTGTTCCATACAGACTGTTGCTGTTGGGGTGGGGCTTGTTGTTGCCAAACCGGAGGTTGAGGTCGAGAATTGTTTGAGTTCATGGACTTTGGAGAACTCCAGCGAGGCGCAGCAGATCCACCTCCACGACCTTGAAGTGATCTTGGTGGTGCTCGTTGCCCGTTCCCCATATGCGGTCCAGAAGCTCGTTGCCACGATCCTCCTCCTCCGCCGCCACCACCACCTCGTGCAATTGCAGGCCCACCTCGTGGAGGGCCTCCACGTGGTCCACCTCCTCGAGCAGGGCCACCAAATCTGGCATTTCCATTCATACCAGAAGGAGGTCCTCTCATTGGGGGAGGTCCCATGCCTTAAATATAATACCACATATTATAACTTTAACTTATAATGAACATGTTTTATTTAGCGTCATACCTCGACCTCGGAAAGGTGGTCCACGCATCGGGGGTCCACCGCGCATTGGTGGCCTAGGAGGCCCACGCATCTTTATATAAAACAGATAAAAATCTGGTGAGGGTATATTCCCAAATTTCAAAAACCATTATCCTAGGCTAATTTTCGAAAAAGAGAAAAAAATAATCAGATAGGGGCGAAGACATTTGAATTATTCATCATCAGAATCCGATGAACTATGCACTCATCATTTAACAACAAATAATGTTAAACATACTACTCTTGCAAAGTTTGACAAGAAAATACAATTACCATCATTCCTCCACCGCGTCCACCACGAGGAGGTCCACCACGCATAAAGCCACCTCCCCCACGACCTCCTAAAATTGTATTATGATTATTATTTATGAAGTCATACATCACGACACATTCTAAAATTACGAATAGCTACGTACTTTGCATAAATCCACGACCACGTCCAAAATATCCACCACGCTGATTTCCCTTACCGGATCCGGATCGACCATAACCAGCATCTATGCCCTCTTTATTGTAAATGGTTACAAGTTTTTCGGCTTCAGCTTTTACAACTTCAGGGAATTCCACTTCAGAAAACAGCTCACCAACTTCAGGGAGTTGGAAACTTGCTGTGATATTGAGAAAGCATTTTTAAAATACATACCATCATCAACGATTTGGAAATAAAATCAAACGAGTTGAACAAAAGAAAACCGAATTACAATTATAATTTGACCGCGTATAATCAAAACAAAAATAGACTCATTGCGCTGAGTGTTCATTATATTTCTTTAGTCAAATTTGTTTAACGAAAAAGAAAGAAAATAAATTAACAGCCCTTGATTGAAATACGTTTCTTATGAATGTATAATCAGCAACTGAAGTGTATGAGTAAAGGTTGTTTACTAACAACCAAACTAATGCATGTTGTGATGAATTTCCACCAATTTCAGCAAAATCTTACATTTCATATCCATGATTGTTGATTTTGGAACACTTTTCCCTTGTTCCTGTTCTTTAGTTTTGATACGTTTCTGGTATTCTTCGTCTTTGGGTAAGATTACTACTGCTTTTCGCCTGTACCCATCAAACCCTCCGCACTTTCGGCGCTGCACACTGGGCAGTACATTGCTCTAGATAATCAACGAAAATTTCCTTGTGTTAGCTCGTTTGCCCGTTATCGCCCATTTCAGCTAAACATATATTCCCATAGATGGATGAGTATGAATAATATTCCACTGCATAGAAAGCACAATTATCAAATTATTTTGCCCATTTCACATCTTAACAGCTACATTTTTGGTCCTTTCAACAAAGGATAGCTGAATGACTTTGATGACTACAATAAAGTAAATATTCTTCTTTCTCCATCACTCTAAACTTGTATGATAGATAAATTCCAATTCCATTACATCTTAATTTCTGCATCCAATCCAATTAATTATTAATCATATCACACCAGTGACACTGTTGTGTCACATTGCAAATCGAGAATAATACAAAGTCTACATACAAACTAGATTTTCTAACAATATCAAATATTATAGTGTCATTTAACGCCAGGTCGGCCCTTCTCCACAACCATTTTGTCTTAATGTTTTTACAACTCTCATTTCCAGTTCAATAATTTTCATTAGTTAGCATTGCATTGCCACTTGCTTTCATAACTTGAATTATTGTTTATTATTATTAATATTATTAATATATTCACTTTCACTGTTCTGTGCTTTTGCTTCTTTTCGTTTGCAATTTTATGCAGTAATTCAAGAGCAACTTTTCATTGATGATCATAGTCAAAGTTTTTATCAACGAGCACTGTACGAGTTCAAACTCAACTAAATCCCCAATAATTTTTGTACTGCTGCGTTTAAAATGTATTGTAAAATTTACCCCGAAATACATTGTTTTCTACTGTGCGACGAAGTGCGAAACAACACATTTTAGTACCAGAACATGTGTCGCTTATATATTGGATTAACTTTTATACGATGAAAAATTACAATAGTCAACCATGTTGCATAAACACGATAAAGTTATTTTCAATTGTCTATGGTTATCCCAGATCAGTCTACATATTGTATGTTAACACTGTTTCGTTGTCAATTGTCGCCACGGTGGTCCGCAGCCAACGGACATTAATTGTTGAATTTTACAGGAATATCACTTCCGTGGGGTGTCACCAATCTATCAATACACTCTTTTACAATTTTTTTCTCCAGGGCCACTTATTCCATAAGGGCCACTTCCTTAGTAGTGGAGCTAACATATTGTTGCCCTTCATTATTCCCCATCATCATTTTATATTCACTTCGATGAAATTGGTAGTAGGCTGACCGCCGCCGTGGATGGTGATAGCAAAATGCATAGCAAAATGCAAGTATTTCCGTTCCTCAATTGCTGCCCATCAGCTTGAGTCTGTTTGCCAGGTGTTTACTTGAAGAACACAAAACGCTTTGCAAGATAAGTTATCACTCCTTTAGCATTATAATTCTTTCGAATCATTCATAACGCAAGTTTTTTTACTGCTGCCAGAATTACGTAATGTTTCTGATGATGATTCTATACATCCATAATATTTGTAAGTGAAAACAGAAAATTGACGAACTAAATTGAATTAGTTGTGAATCTTTTAAATAGCTGCAATGGCAGCATACATTTATAAGAAATATAATTTTGCATTTATATAACTTTTATCCCGTCTCACCTGTCAGCATCAAAGTCCTTTGACAAAATAATACTCAAAAAACAGAAGCTTACCTGGTCTAGAATGTAATTCCTACGACGAGACGGAGCCAGATCAACAAGTTTTTCAACGAATTTTCCGGCTCGATTCATAAACCCTTCGTATGCCTTTGGTCCTTTGGGTGCAGTTATAACAGACGGGTCTTTAACAGATCGCTCAACAACTCTGTAAATTTTTATACAAATTTAAAAAAAGTCACAAGGGGTTTGACGGGATATTTGGTCGATATATCCTGAGAAGTTCTTTCTATGAAATTTTAATTATGGATTAATGAAACTCACGTGGATGTTCCTAGAATAATGTAGTTTTTTTCGGCATTGTTTTTGACGTACTCCTTGGCCCACGTGGTTTTCCCACTGCAAGCTAATCCAACAAGCATGATGAGCTGAAATAATGCATGGTCATATTAATATCATATTGTATTTATTATTGTATTATTATATTGAAATTCTAACTTCGCATTCATCTTTCTTCTCTGGTCTCTTGGGTCCTCTTACTCTGGACGCTGATGGCTCAACTTTTCCAACGAATGTGTATCCATCCAAGGGTGGGAAGGCTGCTTCTGAGGCACCAAAGTTAACCGAAAACTTGACATTTCTCACCAAAATGTGAGGAAACCAAACTTTTCCTTCAATTTCAGCTTTCGGAATTTGTACAACGTCCCCAATAATGGTTCCATTCTTGGTGAATTTCATTTCCACAAATTCAGTACCAATATCCTTAAAAAGAAATATACTTCAATTTAGCAACAAAAGAAATATCAGTAGCACACAAGGGAGGGATTAACAAATATAAATTGTGTGTCAGATAGGGGCGAAGACATTTTTTGTTAATCGTCATTAATATCGGATGAACTATGCACTCATCATATAACTTAACTTACAGTAATAAGAATAATAGAAACAAGGTAATCGTCAAAATGTGAATGAAACTTACAATGTAAACGCCAAGAACATCTCCTTCCGCTAGATTTTCACCAAAATCGGCAACTTCACCTCCCTTATAAATTTTTCCCTTGGATTCGTATCCATACGAGAATTTTTCTTGGCCTAAATATAAGACGAACAATCAGAAGTTAGGCAATAGGTAAGGTTAGTTGATAATAGCAGATATAAAGTGCAAAGCACAAACCAGTGAACAAAATATAAATAAAGTTACCTAGTTGAAGATCTGTTAATAAATCTGACCAGCCTGCACGGAGAATATGTTTGAATTCGAGATCGCCAAAATCTGCTCGAACGTCAATTGCCTTTACAAACTTGACTTCGTAAAAGACCTTTCCAGACGAAAATCCGTAAGTTCCTTTAGCTCCACCATATGCAAATGGAAATTCATCAGACACGATTGGCTCCGCTTCCAAAAAGTTATCTTTTGAGATTTTCAAGTTAAGATCGGACTTATCTGTAACAAGATAGCAATAATCGTTTATTATATATTTTCAGCACATGAACAAGTTTCTTGATATACAAGTAATTAAGATGCTTCGAATCGGACCAAAAAAATGCAAACACTTACACCAATCTAGGAGCACAGCGTCTTCATCAAAGGCTGGTTCGTCTTCGGGTACAATTTTTGGGGTATGTACATGTTCCGTTTTTACTTTTTTCGTTGCTCCCTGTTTCTGCTCAGTATCATCAAGTTTTCGCTTTGCAGACCCAGTTTCGCTTGTTTCAGTATCCATTTTATCAGAGGTTTTGTCCTCAGTTGTAGAAGCAACCGGTGTTGCCTTGGCTGGTGATTCAACTTTAGTTACTATCACTGGTGTTACTACACTAACACTTGGCGATGAACTTGACGATTCTGGTGTTCCCACTACTGGAGCCGTCGCGACAACGGGGGTTGGAGTTTCTGCCGTTGAAACTTTTACAGGTGACACAACAGCAGGTTTTGTCGGTGATGTGGTAGTAACAACAGTGGGAGCTTTCACTGGCGACAAGTTGGGTACTGGTGCCATATTTACAACGCAAGGTTTTACTTCAGCAGCCGGAATTGAAGAGGTTGAAGTTGGAGCAAGAGGAGCTGGAGTTGGCGTCTCGGTGAGAAGTTTAACTGGACTGGAAGCCTTAACTGGACTAGCTCTCGGAGAACTCATTTCCTCAGCATCTATAAATTTACATAACAATACACATTAATCTTTGGTATAGCTTTCAAGGATATCTTATAATCTGTAATGCTCCGGAAATAGATAATCAGATAGGGGCGAAGACATTTAATTCAATCTTCACAAACAAAATTCAGATGAACTATGCACACATCATTTAATGAGAAACAGATTTGGTATTAATTATAATAAAGTGTGACAACAAGATGTAAATCATACCTTCTAGATCATCATCGTCTTTGGAAGCCGAATTTCCGTTGCCCAGATTTCCCAGTGGCGTTCCTCCCAGAGCAGAAATGAGCCGGTCAACCAGGACAGCTTTGACGCCTTTGGGATCTAATCCTCTCAGTTGGAGCTCCGCTTTGAGCTCCACCACCTTCATCTTATGCACATCATCCACGGTGAGGTTCATCTTTTCCTGTGTGCTGCAAATATAATATTTAAATCATTAGTAGTTATGTCCCACTCCAAGCAGTCCATTCATAATGGAGAGAGATATTTAGTCTAAATCAGATAGGGGCGAAGACATTTAATTAATTCTTCATTAACAAAATTCAGATGAACTATGCACACATCATTTTAATTTAAATCTCATGCACAAGTTTGAATAGCGTGCTTCTGATAACTAGCAACGCAATTACACTATACATGAACGTAAGATATGTAAAATTACAGACTGACACATTTAGTATTTACCTGGAATTTAGTCGTGCTTCTTATTCTTGTCTGAATAATACTGTCTTTTTGCTTTACACGAGTATTTCTTTTTGCCCGTCAAATTGATAAAAATTATTAAAAGTCCATAAACTAATATAATTAATTAATGGAGAGATAAAACGTAAAATGTTAAAATATTTAGTGATGGAGGAGCATTGGCTGACTGGCTGTTACACTGCTTACTGACGACTCAGCCACCACCGAGCAGGCGTTATGCGGTTCAATAGCCGGCTAACTCACCGCACAATCAAAGGGTGGCGCTCGGAGCAAATTTCCACCATCAAAACCAAGACCAAGACTAAATGCAATATTATGCTAAATGTGCTCGAATACATTTACGTACTTGATTAGGTTTTATTATTATTCCATTATTTTTTTGCACATAATATGAACTATGTTTGACTTATTTATTATACTCACAGCCTCAGCTTTGACTTGGGAATAAAAACTTCAAATATGTATAGAAATTAGTACGTACGTACATAACTACTACAAATACAGTAAAGGAATATAAATAATATGGTAAAGTATCAGTTACTGGTACTAATGGCTAATTAAAACTTGACAGCAATTTTATACAAAAACACGTCATTCACAACTTGCTTTTATCTGCATAGTAATACATTCGTTTCTGTTTCTCTCACACAATAGTATGGAATAAATTCGGAAATTACGTGACGCAAAGTTGGGCTGCCTGAAAGTACTGCTTGGAGGGGCGTTACGTAATTTACGAATCTTCCCTACGTCATCAATTCAATTTGGTAACAACTCTTCATAAATACTCAAAAGTAATTTTCACTCACAGTCGACCTAAAACTCAATGTATGTAGTCAAAATCTCTGCGTAATGTCGTCTAAATCCAAACTACCCCACTCATTAGTAGTAATAGTAATAGCATAATTAATCTTAAATCATACAATAATAATAATATAATATTCTTTGGTCCTATGACTAAAACTCCTCTCTTTGCCATCTTCTCGTAAAGGCATGAATTGTAATTGCACATAGTAACTTTATAAAAAGCAATTTTGAACTGAGCTAGCACATCGTAATCATCATAGGAATACATATACAAACAGGAAGTGTATCTTCCAAAGTCACATCATCAGAACTACTATACGAATTGCGTAACATATCATATTATATCAACGAAGCGATATCTTGAAGAGGTGTAAAAGTACTTTGTCAAGGAATGTGAGTGCGAAAGGGTAGTTCAACAGTCTTCTTCGTATAAAGCGAATCAAAATGTTAAATCTGAAAAATTACGAAACTCATTTTGCTGGTAGAATAAAACGACGTACGAGGCAGTTTTGCGATTCTGGCTAAACTAACTAACTAAACTGTAGTTACCTGCATAACAAATGGCACTTAGTTTTATCTAAGAAAAACGTAAAAATATATTGTTGCGTTCCATATATAAAATAGTAGCCTATAACGTAATAACCTAATAACAAACTAGTAACGGGATATATTTGTATATTGCCGAGTAATTTAAATGAACAATTAATTTATAGGGCTAAGATGATATCACCTTATAGCAATATTGCTATAAGGTAATAATGAATATATATAATAACTCGCCACTCGGTGTAAAATTACTATTTAGCGTCTGACTTCCCCTGAATTTGTCCACCATTTCTTCTCAGGAAAATTTATCTTCGTGTATACGTTTCTGGCCTTGTACGATGGGTAGAGTCCAACCTGCAAAGAAAACAAAGAAAATAAAGAAATTGTAAAATAAAAAATAAAATATTTGTAGTGGGTAGTAGGTTTAGTTTTATCGTTTCTTTTACCTTGTTTGTACGATGATTTGTACCTTTAGACATTCCGTTCCAATGATTACCGGCAACGCCTATTTTGTCTCCAGCTTGTAATTCCAGTTCATTCCCATTTTTCGGTTTATGGGAAATTATGGCTTCTTGATCTAATCCAATTCCGCCTCCGTAATAGTAAATGTCATCCAACGATACGAATCGTTCAGAACTATCAACGTGCTTAGTTTGTAAGAGCTCGTAAGCTAAACGACAAACCTTGATGAGAAATAAAAACAATGATCGTACCACAGATTGAATAAATAAATACAATGTTTGTTCACTATTTCAATTATAGACCTGGGATGAAAATGTGCAAACTAGGAAATCACACTCGGACAGAAGAACAACGTCTCGGACTATACCGTTTAGTCCATTGTATCTCTGGGACAGAGCTGCCGATTGTGCTACACCAGTATCGCTGCAAAAAGAAAAAAAATTATATGCATGAGAACGTAAATCACAATCCTCCTATTTAGTCCAAGTGATTACAAATTATTATTTATTTACCCAAGGATTTCCCACTCAGGTTCAGGGTACCTATTAATTGAGTCAAATGAACATATATTCCAACATTCGCATTTTATATTTCATTTTATATAAAAAAAACAAATCTTCATTTGTATTTGTCACTTACGCTCGTTTCGCCTCTGAAATAACCTGCAAGTTTTAAATACAGAATATTGATTAACTTTTAAAACTTGATTCAAATTGGTAATCTGATGATAAGAACTTGAAAAATTACTGATGGGTCGTCTGAAGCAATGAAAACTCTTCGTTTTACAACAGCACCTGCTTTTTCTTTTATTGCGAAATATTCCTCGGCGTGACTCATATATTCCTTGAGAGAATGATACGATGCCTCAGTCCCAATTTTGTCAGTTCGTCTAATATGTAACCTTAATGGAATGAGACAAAAGTTGCATTTCATAATTATTAATCATATTGCATCCAGAATACAGAATCGAATAATTTAAAACCACGATCATTAAAAGCTGGTCATACCCCACAACGGGATTTACAATTCCAGACTTTTCTTTAGCTTCGTCCAGCATGGTCTGGAGGTGAGGTTGAGGACGTAGAATGTACTGTAAATGAGAAAGAATGTCTCGTAGATACATACATCAATCCCCCTCGAATCATTATGTGTCTAAAACTTTGCTGAGCAAGGTTTGCTCACCTTCATAAATTGACCAACCCACCATACATGTGCTTCTCCATGTACCTTTTCCAAACGTTCTGAAATATCGGACGGAATCGAAACGGGTAGAAACGGAGGTCTTGGCTTTAAGAAATCCACAATCGGAAGTTGTAGCACTTGAATATCGGAATGCATACCTGAATTAAAAATCAAATTATTTAATTCAACCTGACTGATAAGAATGTCGAAAATACTCTCCTCAATCTAAATAATGTCATGTTATACCATTCCAATCCCCCCTAGACTCCCCAGCGTTACTTGTACATGTATCGCTAAGTGGCAGGAACACTTTCTCCCACCCTGCCCGGTTGTAACGCCACCCTCGCGATTCCAATATAAGCGTTCTGCTTGTCGCATACGCAACTACGAGGCAATAACATACATGATGAACCTGGCACCCAAATCCACAACCTAAAACAAACAATATATGCATGAAGCGTCAATCTAACGGCGTCGTCTCGTCATTGCATCAATCCCTTCAATGAAATCAAACTAGAAATTTATAACAGACCTTTGTTTAAGCTACAGACAAGTTTTTTGGCAGTTTCACAATTCTTTGGATTTTGTAATGAGCGGATTCGACTTTGAACTATTTTAGCTAATTCCTTTGTTTCTCGTTCACGATAAGATTCGAATCCGTCCCAAATTCGTAGCTTCTGAAGGTTTCCTCGTAAAACTCTGTAACGTATTCATGAGGGTTTACTAATTGGATTCGAATAATACTTTATGGAGTTTATGTAAATGAGGTAACCCACCTATAAATATCTGTTACTTGTTCAAAATCGATTTCTTCTAAATGTTCTGACTTGGAGCGGATATTGTACCACAATTCCTTTAAATTTAATTCTATTTGTCGCCTCGTGTCTTCATATGTAGCACTTGGATCTTCAGGATGAGCTTGAACTAGATCGTCGTGTGGATCTCGTCCTACTAAGCTGTTCAACTCTACTGAAGGATTATTGCTCTCAATTATGCGCTTCATCTCTGCGTTGTTCTTCTTCAACATTTGAATTTCTTGAAGGGCAGCATCAATTCTTTCCAGAATTTCTGTCGCTTCACCTGGCGAACTTAGCTCATTAGTGGCGTGACCGTTTGCCGATTGATTTACAGGTAGCACTGACATCAACCCCACGATCAGGAACCACAGTGCGATAATTAGAACGAACCCTTTGACGAAAAGTGACTTCATGGTGGGTCGTCCGCAAACCGTATCAATCACACTAGTTCCTCCAGTTCGTGTCCCCATTGCAGTGATTATTGAAATAAGAATAATTGAGGATATCCTCTGCTACTAATGAACGAAAAGTATATGAATATAGAATTATTTATTTTTTACGATTTTGAATTTCGAGAAATATAGCGTCACTTACTTGTAATGCTTCACTCTGCTATTAAGGCAGATCTAATGCTACACATATACAGTCGATAAGCACAAGTGCCATTGCAGCCTTCAAATAAGTGCAGCGGTTTCAAATTATTTAACTTGTCGATAAAAAATATGAGGACAATGAATCTCTAAAAACAATGAAAAAGCACATCACATTTTTTATACGTAAATTCATTTGACACAGCTGATTAATTTAATCAAATTTTATAACTAAAGTCAAAACAAAAACTCACCTCCGAATTCACATTATATTATTACGATGCTTGTTATCCACACCCAGTCTAAAGCGAACATGACTTTTTGTTCGGAAAGAGGAAGGAACAGTTGAAAATTAATATTGTTTCATATTTTGCAACTTATTCCCCTTTTTCAATTGTGTTGCTTTTTTGGGAGTTGAGTTTCCAGTTCAGTTTTTGCCAACACCGCAAAAAGTGGCAGGTTCCGCGGAATTCAGTTCAGTTCGCAGTTCACCAAGAATGTATTCACATTTTATTCACTGACAGTCAGCAGTGTCAACAAAAACTTTTAAATTTCACACATTTTTAGTTCTTCTTAAACCGAATTTATTGACCAATTTCAAATTTGTAAATTACAAATTGTAATTCAACACCACACCACTCAGTTTGTGAGCTGAGGAGTTTAGAAGAATTCTCGACCACCACGACAGAATTATTTATCTGTAGTCATGTCGGCAAAAATAGAATCGTCAACTTTTCAAAATTCCAGCAGCAGGAAATCTGTGGAGGTCGATTCAACTCCATTTTTATCAGATTGGGGGTTCACATTGAAGGATCTCTACAATTTGGGGTTACATTTTTATCGAGGTATGATATAAATTTAGTAATGCTGAAGTTGCGTGGACTGGACATACTGCACTGCCTATGGTGTAAAAATTAAGATTGTTAATATATTGTACATTGTAGATAAGCAAGGGAAGGCAGTGCACTTCTCCTATGAAGAGCGTTTGAAGTTGTCAGCCCTAAATTGTCAGATTTCACATGGAAAATTTAATTCTGAAACAGCTCCGCCAGTTGGAGTTTTGGACGTTATTGGGAAGGATAGAAGGTGAATAATATAAGTTGCATAGTTAATTGAAGAACAGTCACTTGTCAGACTTGGTATCTATTAAATAAGTAATTTTACCCCTCACTTAAACCTGTTCCTAGATTGGCTTGGCAAGGACTAGGAGAAAAGAGCAAATCGGATTGCATGTTCGAATTTATAACATTAGTGCATAATCAGAGTCCATTGTTCAAACCCTTTGTTGAAGCAAACAAACGCGATTTGGAGGAAAAGAGCAGAGTTCGTAAAGAAGTGGAGGAGGCGAAATCACACATGGATGAAGAATATTTAATAGCCCGTGAACTGGAGAGACAAGCAGAGGAAAATCGACATAAAATGGAGGAGCAAAAGAGAAGAATTCAAGATGCTTTAAATCAACAAACGTTTCAACAGTTTATGTCATATGCTGAACAGCAATACCCAGGAAATCCTGACCAGGCAAGTCAAGTTACATACTTATTTATAGTATATGTATTTCGTTTCATAGGTGTGCACATCCCCCTTGACCCCCTCCCTCAAACCTAAATACCCCAAAAAATATAATGACATGATTTCTTCCTTTACAATAAATACAGCAAGGAGTTTTAATTCGTCAACTCCAAGAACAACATTATGAACAGTACATGCGACAATTGTACCAACAACAATCGTATGCGGCGCAAAAGGCGGAAGCCGATGAAAAAGAAATTGATCAATCTGGAGGCGATCATTCACAGAATAATAATCCTAGAATAAATACACAAGTGGATACTGAAGCACAATTGCTGTCCGAAGGGTTGAAAGCAGTACAAATGACTGACAACAATGAAACGGAGATGAATGGACGAAAATCTGCGTCGGACAGTGAGAAAGAAGATGGTAACGAAACTGATGCCGAAGAAGAAGACGGGAATCATACTGGCTCATCCTTAGCTGCAGCTTCAATGTGGACCAGAAAGGATATCAAAGGTTAACTATTAAATATTAAACCAAACCAACTGATCTCTGATCGCATTCTCCCACCACATAATTAAACATAACTAAATTATTTATAAATAATTGATTTCCTCATTTTCATACCAAAGATTTCAAAGAGTCTGTAACTGCTGAAGGTGGAGAAGCCATAATTCGAATTGGGCAAGGAGAATCTGTCACTGTAAGTTGTCGTTATTTCTATTCTGTTTGTATGTATTACGCATTTATTTTTTTAATTCTTCCAAATATTTTCAATTAGCTGACTTTTTCATGTACACCTTGTTTCAGGTTCGTGTTCCTACACACCCTGAAGGGTCTTGTTTGTTTTGGGAGTTTGCCACTGATAATTATGACGTTGGATTTGGACTTTTCTTTGAGTGGACCAACACGGAGGAGTCTGTTTCCGTTCATGTGTCTGATACGACGTCAGAGGACGAAGACGAGGACGATGAAGCTTTTCAGGCTTTACAAGATGATTTAGAAAAAGGACGAGAGTTACTTCCAAAGGGTTCAAAACCAAATACTGACGTGGTGAGTTTTCCTTTATTGTGATGTGATGTGATTATTGTTTTTACTGGTACTTTACTGACAAACTCGCCTATGTTATGTTAGGTATATGTATGCCTAATGTATACATTTTTGAAAATTAAGTGAAATATTTATTTGGTAGATTATTCCCGTGTTTCGTCGCGATGCACACCAAGAAGTTTATGTTGGAAGCCACTTATTTCCTGGGAAGGGTGTCTATCTCCTCAAATTCGATAACAGTTATTCTTTCTGGTAAGGATTATCAAATTTTCCCAAATCGTTTTATTTCGCTAAAAGAGAAAATAAGAATTCTAGAATATGAGGACATAACCTAACCTTGTCTTTCTTATTCTTTTAGGCGATCAAAGACTTTGTACTATCGAGTGTACTATACAAAATAAACTATCCCTTGGTTGGTTAACTCGATTTTTAATTATAAGAACTTCAAACTATTTTAAGTGTAGGAATAATATTTATTTGTACATATACGTATAAATAAGCTCGTACCCGTCAAACAAATTGTCCTATTCTGATATAGACGTGATCGAATTTCGCAAACTTACAATTTCATGCATAAAAAGGAATCTACAACCAGATGATGATAATTTCAATTACTTTAAGCCCAAACCAAAGTTCTTTATGTTTCAGTCAACTACTACTAGCTTAATTAAGGTAATTTATATAAGTCTCATTAATTTGACGAACACTATTTTGTCGAATAAAACCGCTAAATTGACATATGTTGGACGCCTTCCTGAAAGTAAAATACTCTGTTCGACAATTTCAACCCGAACTTGAGACTGTCGCATATGCTGTGAGTAATTCTATCGACGGTCAACTCTTGTTTTGTAGTCTGAGATTAGAGGTCACTTATTAATAGTTACAATTTGTAACAACTGACTTTCTTTTATTTTTTGTGTACATTTTATTTCACCCTATTGTACATACCATTACCCACTACTGGTTTTAAGCGAATAAATATAACAAGTACCTAAAAAACAAGGATAGAATCGTATAAATTTTCTATAATTTTCTATTTTATAGTACGTACTACGTATGTAAATTTTCATGAAATTGTGAGGTACGATGAGACTATGAAGATAGAGCTGCATTTGAGCGAGAGCAACACTTGGTCCCTCTGTGAGGATTTACTACAACGTTCAACAAGCATGTTCACTTTACAACCGGCCAAGGAAATCAGTAATGTTGGAAAGGTGATTGCGGAAAGTGTGACCGTCCACTCCTTTACATTTCTATTAATTTTCTGCTCTTGGTAAGTCTCCAATTTTGAAATTTGTTGTTAAAATTGTTATCCCCGAATGTCCTGCTCAAGTCGTATGTTGCAAAAACTTTATAAAACTCAAACTTTGTTCTGAATTTTCGATTTTTTGTAGACCTTATTCATTTGAATATTTTAATTTTCATTAAATTACCTGTTTCCTTTCTAGTCCTTAAACGAGCAATCCCAACTCCACTCTAAAGATGGGTCGGGAGGACAAGGCGACATGGAAGGGTAAGTATTTCATAATCATAATATTTTCTAGAAGGTTCGCGTTAACTATTTACTTTTTTAGCGAACTACTTCACCAAGTTGGTCCAGTATATGGATGAATACCCCAAATGTTTCATCGTGGGGGCTGACAACGTGGGGTCAAAGCAGATGCAGCAGATCCGCATCAAGCTCAGAGGTACGGCTGTTGTCCTCATGGGAAAGAACACGATGATGCGAAAAGCCATCAGAGGACACATTGAGAACAACCCAGCCTTGGAAAAGTGAGTGTCAGCTTGATTTTCAAATTTAAATTCAAGAGGATTGAGATGAATTCATGTGATGATAAATTTGGCCAGAGTTCTGAAATTAAGGATGCATAAATACATATTGTTCTATCTGATGTTTTGTTGAAATGCCCTATTGGCAAAATAAAAACTCTGTGGATGAGTATTTGAGAGTAATGACGTATTAATTTTTCTTCAGGTTGTTGGCCCATATCCGCGGAAACGTTGGATTCGTGTTCACCTCTGGTGACTTGGGAGATGTGCGAGAAGCTCTGTTGGAAAACAAGGTTCGAGCCCCTGCCAGGGCTGGGGCTATTGCTCCAGGAGATGTCATCATTCCTGCTCAAAACACCGGCTTGGGACCCGAGAAAACTTCCTTCTTCCAAGCTTTGTCGATTCCTACCAAGATTGCAAAGGGTAGCATTGAAATCGTGAATGACGTGCATATTTTGAAGGTATGACACCTGGCAATATGATTGTCAGTAATATTGTTTGTTAATATCACCGCCGCCACCATGTTCTGATGTTCGATACGATCATGATATTTGTATCTTTTTGCTAACTTAGGAAGGAGACAAGGTCGGACCATCCGAAGCAACCTTGTTGAATATGTTGAACATCTCTCCGTTTTCTTACGGTCTCCAGGTACATCTTAAAATACGATGTATAATTAAGATGAAAGGGATTATAATTCAAAAATGTAAATTAATTCCGGTTTATTTTGGATTTATAATAGGTTCAAATGGTGTATGACTCTGGTAGCATCTTTGAGCCAAAGATTTTGGATATCAAGCCCGAAGATTTGCGAGCAAGTTTTATGGCTGGAGTCAGGAACGTTGCGGCTGTTTCTCTTCAGATCGGCTATCCAACTGTTGCATCTGTTCCACACTCTGTTATCAACGGATTTAAGAACTTGTTGGCCGTTGCTGCTGTGACCGACATCACTTTTAAGGAGGCTGAAACTGTGAAGGAATTCATCAAGGTTAGAAATATACCCACTAACTCACTTCCCCACTGTTTTCATGATATCATGTTTGATGTTATCACCGTATTTTACTATGATTGCCAAAAATGTGACATTTATTAGATTTCTTAATTGTTTTCTTAATTGCAGGATCCTAGCAAGTTTGCTGCAGTTGCTGTCGCCGCTGCACCAGCTGCCGGTGGATCTCCGGCCAAGGCTGCTGCTGCCAAAGTGGAAGAGCCTGAAGAAGAAGAGGACGATGACATGTGCATTGGCCTCTTCGACTAAATCAACTTGGCTGATTTATAAACAAGAAATTTGTGTCCTTTATACCATCATTTTTGGATAATAAATTACTTGCCTGAGAATTGATCACCGTGTGGTGTAGCTGCTACTTATTTGCATTCATATGTACATCATCATCGAGCATGTGTTCATGTCATATTCCTGCATTTTGCATTTCCAAACTCGTAGAAAGGTATGCTACCTTGTTTTTAGCATGCTGACTGACTAGTCTTTTCCCCATAATTTAATACTCGGCAGTATTTGTATTATTGTAGTTTCTCAGAGATGATTAATTTTGTCGTCAAATAAGCCTCAAAATAATATCGCGAAGATATCCGATTGGATTTACGTAGTTGAATCATGTCTTGTTAAATATAAGTAAAGTACTATTCAAAATTTCTTTCAACGTCAATTGCAACCACTTTTGCATCATCGTAATGTTCAGGTGAGATGCAGACAATAAATTTAAACCTTTAAAGGAATGTGAATTAATGAGGCAAGTGTGGTTTGGGGATGATTTTGGATTATGCGTCTGTATTTGGTAATGAGAGATTGTAATCCTCGACATGTCATCCATTTCTTTTGATTCGCATGTTGAAGATGTAAACTAATCTCATGTTTCTCTCTCAACACAACCCTGGACAATTTATTTGTAAAAAACCTACAGTGCAGACTCCATATAGCCCGAGTCAGGGACATAGTCCCTGACTCAATAAATCAGAGCCCGCTTCTAATTTTTTTTCCGAATTGACCGACATAATATCACCAACTTCTGTGTTGTGGATGGTTAAAAGTTTGTTAGATATAGTTTCTACCATTTGGTACCAAATTTTTTAATTAGTTACAAATCATGTGCCTTGACCACCATGACCAGTGGGCTTCTTTAACATCCTGAAGTTCTAAGTTGTATGCATGTGCTACCCAGCAGTGGTTTCCATATCAAATTTCAGCTCGATATAACGAGTTGGAAAAATCAGTATGGGTCACCCCATAGGGTCACTCTGGTTGCACTTTGCTCACTTTTAACTTCATATTCTTTAATTAGAAGCCATTAAGTATCATTGTGCCGGATTTCATCTTTTTAAAGCAGTTTCTAAAAATCGGTATGGATCACCCCATAGGGTCTCTCCTGATAAAAATTTTACCAATATCATATCATATTCTGTCATTAAAACCCATAAGCAACCTCTCCACCAAATTTCAGTTGGATATGATGATTTTTAAAAATGGGTATGGGTCACCCCCTAGGGTCACTCAAGATAAAAAATTTTCCAACTTGAAGTCATTTTTATCTCGTAGGAGCCATTAGCAACCTCTGTACCAAATTTCAACTCTCTAGAACAATTTTGAAATTTTGGTGCATAATACCCTACCCACTCCAATGACCCCCACCGGTCAACCACTGGACCGATTTCGCCCATCTTCGAACTCGTTTCCTAACTTTGTCCAATATGCATATGGTAAAAATTTCAAGTCAATCGGTTTAGCCGTTTTGGCTCTATCGTGCCGGACAGACAGACAGACAGACAGACGGACGGATATGACGGTTCCATAAGCCCTGACTCGGGCTAAAAATCATGACGATCTAAAAAAAACATCTCGTGGATTATGATATGTTTTCTACGGACTGAGGTCCACATTTCCCCCCAGAAATGGTCATCTGCGTCAGAGAAGGAACTATATTTGGAATACGAGTCTATATTTTTAGCCCGAGTCAGGGCTTATGGAACCGTCATGTCCGTCCGTCCGTCTGTCTGTCTGTCTGTCCGGCACGATAGAGCCAAAACGGCTGAACCGATTGACTTGAAATTTTTACCATATGCATATTAGACAAAGTTAGGAAACGAGTTCGAAGATGGGCGAAATCGGTCAAGTGGTTGACCGGTGAGGGTCATCGGAGTGGGTGGGGTATTATGCACCAAAATTTGAAAATTGTCATAGAAAGCTGAAATTTGGTGGATAGGTTACTTATGGGTCCTAATGGAAGAATATGAAAAGACATTTGTAAAATTGTTATCTGGAGCGACTCTATGGGGTGACCCATACCGATTTTTAGAAATTGATGTAAAAACAGGAAATTCGGCACCGTGACAGGTAATGTCTTATCATGAAAGGGTATAACGTTAAAAGTGAGCAAATTGCAACCAGAGTGACCCTGGAGGGTGACCCATGTTGAAGGATTTGATGCCAAATAATCGAAAATCTAAGACATTTAACTATCCAGAACACGGAGTTTGGTAATATGTCGGTCAATTCGGAGAAAAATTTAGAACTCTGACTCACTGAGTCTGGGACTATGTCCCTGACTCGGGCTATATGGAGTCTGCACTGTAGGTTTTTCTCATGGTTTACTGCATAGCACGACCACCCGCATCATCACAAGCACAATATTCTTATTGAATTGAAACTGAATTAAATTGATCGTAATTTGTCACGCCTATGCACATGACACCTAAAGGGTATTAATTCATTATTGTCTCCCAAAAAAGGAAATGCCTATGAAATAAATTTGAACCATTTTAGCTGCTAAGTAAAATAATTCAATAAAGTCAAGTGAGACAAACCTGGACTACAGTCATGTATGTAAATGTACATACGGTGCTCGATACACATGTATGCATATTAGTATGTCATACCTTGATTTAAATGCAACTAAGGATTCCTGACCAGGGGTATGCCTTCGAAAAAATCAAAATTTCGAAAAAATTGAGTTTGCTATTGGATATGATAAAGCAACTATCTAAGATCACAAAAACGCTTAAATTATGAAAATCCGATCAAAATTGGATTTTTAAGTGATTTTTGGAATGAACGAAAACAGGGTATTTTTCGTGTTTTTCGCACCTTTGAGTGGGTGTGGCGGGCGCAAATGAGGCCATGGAATGAAATCCTTCTTCACTTTTGCTAGACTCACCTAGGACTACAACATATCCAAAGGGCATCAAGATCGGTGATTCTGTCGGTGAAGGGTTGTCCTCCTAAGGATAAGAAGGCAGCAAAGGTTAAGCATTATCATTCATAGCAATTGGTTAATATAATATAGATAATACAATTTGTTACATTAATTTCACGTAAAACAAGTGCAAACATTGTACAGAACGGTCAATATTAAGAGAAAACGCAGAAAACTTTGTAAATGTCCTTATCCAATGCAATTTTAAATTGCATACTGACTGACTTACTTGATCTGCAATCAAGTTTCATCAAGTTCAGTCCAACTCATTAAGTTCAGTCAGCAATAAAGGTGACAAGGCACGTAATGTGTGTATACAGATATTCATACCTCAATAGATACATATTATGCATATATCTCTGTAGGTATATGTGTATAATATTAAATAGATTGTCGTGAATGAAATTGAGCGAGCTAGGGCGAGTGAATTAGTGGACAAGGTCTATTCGCCCTTAGAAGGAAATTTAGAAGATAATTATTATAAATTAATTCATTTGATTGTCATACCATTTAAATTGTTAGTTCTTAATTTGTGCAAAGTTTATTGCAATGAGGATGGTCAATCATGGAAGGAAAAGGATGATGGCCAACTTGACACCAAATAAACACCAATTGCATAATATTAATTATAGTTGACGGTCAGAGACTGACAGTTCTATTTAATTTTTTACTTAAATGCCTGCAAAAGATTATTTCCGACGTATTGATTTACATATTAATGAAATTTTAATGGGTTCATGTCGCATATTCCTAGGAAAATTAATTTTAAAACTTTAGTTTGTTCAAATGAATTTATGTTCAATATGAAATACAAAGTGTATGACACTTTCCTTCCATTATCATGAATTATTTATGAATTTTATCGTTCGATTCTCCTGCAATTGCTGCAATATACGTACGTCGAAGCATCACATGTTTGACGTGCGTAAAAAAAGTGCCTTTTTGTTACCACCCAAGGTACTAAACATTACTAAACAAGGTGGTGCATATGAAGACAGATAAATGTACGAGTGTGGAAAGATGACAACTCGCTAGTCAGAGTTCAACGCTTTGAATCAGTAATTGATTGATGCATGAATAACCGTATTTTCCTGGTTACACTTCGTAAATAGCATGCATGCATCTCATACATGTCAACACAGCCGTAGGGTTTCTGAACTCTTGATACGTATGTGTTTATAATGCAATAGTGCACAAGATTCAGTTCATGATAAGATGGGTCGATGACTTTACTTGCTGGACGTACAAGGCAAAGGATAAAAAACCACCATTTCAGAGATGTACGGATTGCATATATTTCAGTTTGAAGATGCTGTTCCAGGATTTAAACTGAATCTGAACTCAATCGGATTAAAATAGAAATAAGTAATATGGAAATTTTTTAGAGCTGAGAACACTTTCACTTTGATATGACGCATGTATATGTAGCAAGATAAATCGGGTAATTAGTAATACTAATTTAGTATACCAAATTGCAGAACAGGATTTCTGTTCTACAAGATGTGCATGATATGATTTTGTTGTTGTTGCATTGTTATATTTTTTATTGTACAGAACAGAACACACAATTGTAATTAGTTTCAGTCGGTCTAGCCAGGTATTTTGCTTTTATGTAGAGATACATGTAATGATACAAAATAGTCGAATCAATTGCAAAAGGCCAAAAATAATGGTGTAATGGCCTTATATGTTTTCCACGTGTCCAATTAAAAACAAATTTTTATCGGTAAAACTGGTTCCCTATTTCCTTCAAACAGTTTAGTTGAAAAAAAAACTATGACGTAAAGCAGCTTAAAAATTCACAGTATTACTCTAACATGTTTTCCTAAAGGGTTTCTGCAAAAAAATGATTGCCCGCAATTCGGCAACAGACAGATATTACGCCAATAATTCTTTTCAGGTTAAAATGCAGACTCGCACGCATAAAGAGGATAATGATATTTTTTTGGTATTTCGTCTATTTTTTTCATTTTAATGGCGAGACCCTCAGATTGATGATGTACTGATGTACAGCACAGCAGCATTCGTTCGTACCAATTGACCGACAAGATTGACAGGTTTTACGGATATATCTCTATATGTACAAAAAAGTAGACACAAACTTTTTTGCATCGGTTTCAAGTTCACGGTTCATCTACCTGAATTGCTTGATACCTATTATTTATTAAGGGGTGAAAGCCCTTTATAAGATCGTTATGTCCGTCTGTCCGTCTGTCTGTCCGTAGCTCCGATAACTTTTGAACGAAAAGACATAGACACTTGAAATTTTGAACGTAAACTCCTAACGTCAATAGAGAGGACGAGTTCGAAGATGGGCACTGTAGGTCACACCCATCAAGGTCAAAAGGTCATGAAATGTCATTTAAAGGTCAAATTGCATACATGCATCAATTTGAATTGAAATACGGATAACACACTTCTTTCACCCCTTGGTTACATTCGTTGTGACGGTTTATTACTCGTCAAAATTCACATGATTTTGCATTGATCTTATTTTTCATAGTTAATTATTAAGTATATCCAACTCGTTAGTTTAGTTTTGAAATGTGCTTCATTTTTTTAAACTTGAGCAATTTATGCTTCCATTTTTCCACTATGCCACTTGTTGCATTTGCTGGATTAGACTAAAAAGCAAATTGGTTTACTTACTAACAAAAAGTAAGTTTTGTAAGTCAAGTAAAAAACAAATGTTATATGATTCCAAATATACATTCAACATTCTCTTATATTCTCATATTAGATCACCTTAATGTATAGTTAATGTTTTCTTTAGCTAACATTATGTATGAGATAAAACTTTTATCACAAACAAATTTAAGTATTTGCCTGGGTCTAAGGACTATGTGGATGGACATCGTAAGTACATTTCATCATTGAGATGGAATTATTTATGTAGCAGAAGGAGATGATACATATTATGCATTTCTGCCAACCTTCATTTACTTTCTCAACAAAATGTTTAGTTGGTATTGTTGCATATAACTTGGTTATTCGCAATGTACATACATAAGTTTTGGTTACTTGGCTGGTTCATTCAACAAATCCATCATCCCATCTCCGGCTCCACTGCTGCTTACATAACATACTCGACTTATTCGCAAACAAACAATAAGAAATGGGAAGAAGGGTTTGCTATTTATTCACACACGTTGGGGTTTGAGAGCTTATTCTTTATTATTACCTGTGAGAAGGGTCTGTGGAATGAACGTGGAGATTATTGCATATTATTATTTAACTTTGCCAGCCTTCATCTCATCCTCTCACTCCTCGTCGTCCGTATGTACTACGGAATGAACCAGCTTGCACAAGAAGCCTACTTCTGACATGGCTTGTTTTTTAGACAGTGTGTAATGCATAAGTAAGTAAAGTAAGTGGTAATGCAAAGTAATACACACATACTCACGAAACGGTACACACCTTTTACCTTTCTTCGTCTCTCGTCCATGCCATTCAGCAAATATACATTTTTGATCCATTCCCCACACCTTCACCGTCGTCGTCGTCGTCACCGTGGTCTCAGAAGAGGTTGGCATGGGTGTAAAATTGAGTGCAGTTTTATTAGCTCTCCACAACACCTTGTAACAAGTAACAATGAACGAAGCCTAAATAACTCGAAAAGTGATATATACATACGTGCTCCTCTAAAGGAAGGATAAGGAGCAGAGAAGGATCCTTTCTCAGGAAATTGACAGAAAAGTTCCGTTGAGAAAAGAAAAGTGGTGACAGTTTCCATGCTCCTCGTCGATCGAAGCCATTAACGGTTTGATTGGAGAAGGAACGCTGAAGTGGAATTAATAACTTTGTTAAAGAGAGAGGATGAAGGTTGATTGGAAAAAAGGGAATACATAGAGCTGAATAAAGAGCCATATTATTATAGCGACAGCAGCAGCGGCGAGGTGATTGTGTGGGTGATAAGGTTGTGGATGGATAAATGCCTTTTTTGACTAAACTGGTGGTACATATAATAAAGCAGAACTTAAGCTGTGGATATACAAGAACTATCCAACAACAGCTGAAGGAAGCTTAATGAACCAAATTGATATTGTGGTTTGATGGGGCTTGTTGTCGGTCGGCTCGAAGCATGCTGCCTGTCATAAAAAAGGTTCAAAATCGTTGCTTCGTTCCCAATTCAATTACACACATCACATCATCCAGTTAAAGTTTGTAATACACGAACATAAACCCGAATTGTGAATATATTATAATAATATTATCGTGTTGGTGCAGTTGAAGACGAGGTTATGACGTGACGTGCACTTGTTACGACTCGCAAATCACCGCACACTACTTTCGGTTGGTGCATGGTTCTCCTATACAATTCAATCAAAGCAGTAGTAGTAGTAGGGTTAAAGGCTAATTAAATAACGTGGATGACGGAGGAATAGCTGAGTGTAATATAATATTAATCTTATTGGGGAGATTAAAGTAGAGTCGCTGCAATGCATGGCATCATATCGCTTCATCATCGGTTCACAATCGGCTCTCGGGTCATGCGAGCTACCAACTTATTTACCAGGATGGATTATATTCAAATCAGATTTTTTTAAGAGGAGATTGACATAAGATTCACCATCTCGCTTTGTACGGAAGGAAATATCGCAGCATTGTTTGTACTACTTGTGGAAACCTATTTTAAAAGTTTGAACTGTCTGCACGCCAACGAAGAGTGACACCGAGAGCTCCTGCGGTTTTTCCTAAGTAGGTTGTACAAAGTTATCTATAATACACAAGTGAATTGGAGTATTAATCCCCATCACCGCAACGCCGGTGCACCAGTTCCTTGTGTCTGGAAGAAGCGAGTTGGAATTTTTGACCTAAAAACGTACAAATTCATGAGACCCTAATCTATGTAACTCCATAACATAAAGATGTATGTATGTATTAATAGGCATACCGAACAAAGTTTTTATGGTTTTTTACAAAAAGATGCATGAAATTTGCGCATCTATACAATTTATTTTTAATACCCGGTGTACATTGTAGTACCAATGCCGATTTTTGTAGAATTAGCTGGACTGTATTTTTTCATTTATTTAATAAGCAAATAATTTTATTTATGCCGGACCGTCTACTATTATTCCCTGCAATTTATGCCTCATGATTATATATCTTTACTATGACTATTCGACATTAACTTTCTGTCTACGCACGAAGAATTGTGTGTTTATCATAAAATTTAGTTTACGATTGCCGATTGGTGTAGTGCGGCATGTGTACAAGATCATACACAGGGATAGTCTTTGTGCAATGCAACCTGTTATTAGGAAATATAGCTCATTGTGAGTGTGTGACATCTGAAATCGTGAAACAAGCGGAGATCGGGTATCCAAGCTATAAAAAATATTTTGGTGTTATGCGTCGGCAAATAGAAAGCCGATCATAATAATTCTAGAATTGAAACACCTTCACATTTGACTTTATTTTCTATCCGTGAAGTAGCCGGGTCATAAATAATCATAATATGCGGTGATATTAGCAATGCACGTGCACCCCCATGCATGCCTCGTACATGAACAGGGATGAAAACGCGAGAATTTTAGCGAACAACCACTTGTTGCTTTTATTTTACTGTTCCATTCCATTCCATCAACTACGTTACGCCATTATCTTAAATATTCAGAATATTTAGATTTTATTCAAATACTTATTCCGAATGTGAACTATAATACTGACCATTTTTTCATTGTTTATTTACACCAGATCTGAACTACAGTGGAAGGACCTGGACAGGACTCATGCTGACTTTTATTTCAAATGATGGGGAAAATGACAGAGTCGCATAAACAATTTTACATGCAGAGTGATTGCACAGCAACTCGATACAATTTTCCATGTGTCATGATAGTTTGGAAATGATGTGCAATTTGATACTTCAGTGACGCAAAAGTGTGGCCATGAAAGGTCAGTTGGTCGTGTACAACGGACAAGGTTCATGAAATTCAAACTCCCAACTCGAGAGTCTCCAGTTAAAAAATTCCTACATGTATATTGCACAGTTTCTGTAGTTCGTCAACTGAAATATAAACCTTTAACAATAGATAAATTGGGCAGGTGTTGGTCCTCCTCGTTTGCAGTTGTCTGTTATATCTAATTATTATTGTTGTGGCCAGTTATGTAAATTATTTAATAGTACAACTAAAAGTGTATTCCAGTCAGCAGCTACTCCTTCTTAAAAAGTGAGCTATTACATATACGGACGGAGACATATTTACAGTACATCTTTGGAATAATGATCAAAAATCTCTACAGATGGGAATGTCAGAATTAGAATCACGTTTCAGTTTGGAAGGAAAAGGATTCAAATTAACAGTCACGAAGGAAATCAGAACAAAAAATCACCATGAAATGATATTTCTAACCAAATTTAGCTCCTTAGAATACTAATTTATCTGTAATAATGAAAAAAGAAGAACTGATATTTGCTATGAGTGACGACAACAATGATTATTTGGATGATTCGACGATGAGGCTGCATTGTGGAGGTCCGAACGAGTCGGACGAAGGTTGCTGCATTATTCCTGATGTTTCAACAAATTGTGTTCGGCGAGTAAAGTCCACGCCTAATCTACTTCAGATTCCTAGCCCTTCTAGAAATAGAAAAAAGTCTGACGACTCAGCTCTGGGCAGTGGGACGGAAGAGTCCGAGAGTGACAAGTCTGCGAGTAGTGTGGACAATTCTCCGTCCGACACTCGGTGTAAGTAATTCACACGAATTATTTCACCAAACATCTCTAAATAGGACAATTAGATAATTTGCGACATTTGTGTTTCCAGTGGCTGACAGGATGCCTCCTTTCCACCGGAGTCGTAGCGCAGTGTCCAACAAACTTTCTCCGGACTTGGAGGAGTTGCCCATAGCGGCTTTCAGTCAGGCCCAGTCGAGAGTGGCCCTTCTCCGCCCTCCTTCCGTCGTCGTAAGTGACCACGATCTCTGTCAACATGGGGAACAGACTTATCTCACGTTGGAAGATATGGACGCTGATTTCAACCAATATCACCATCGAAGACGTTTCTCTGATGCGAGCGATTGCAGTTCCCTCAGTTTCTCAGAACTAGACTTTCACATCGGACCCTCTCCAGGGGACGAAGACCTAGACGACACGGGATGCAGCAATAGCAGGGTAAGATGGATTCAGTCACCTCGCTCTGTTTCTCTTACATATGTCAAAATCAGAAGAAAAATGCGGAAATCAATCAATCGGGTTGTGGGGTTGTTAGCCTCCCAGACTTTTAAAGCGCTTTTCACTCCTTTTCATGCGTCAGGAATTAAATGTACGAATTCTTAAGCAAACTTAAAATGTCGCCGTCGTTTCACTAGACGACAATACATAATACGCCTGGTCTTATAGTATGCCATTCCTACCAAGTCAATAACCGATGACCTACCTACGACGTCCTCCAATGACGTCTGTTTTTAAATTGACAGCATTGAATTTCAAATCTTGTCTAGATTACGCTTGAGAATTGCAGTACGTACGAATGAACAGAAGCTCGGAAAATATCTGGGTTGCAGAAATTTACAGTTTTTCTCTTTCACTTGTCGAGGTGATTGACTCTGACAGAAGATTTGCAAAAAATTAAGAATTTCATAGAATCCATCCAATTACTACACGGCCGTTACATGTACATACATAGATACAGATCTGTATGAGATGCATCTATCTATGTACCTCGTAGATTTGATAAATAGTTTAAATAATTTACGTTTCATTGAAAAGTAGTTTTCTCTTGTATGCGCAAACATGATACCATTCACAAATTGAATCTAACGCACAGCACATTATAAAATTAATTGCTTGACACATCATAAATAATTAAGGTTATGTCCTTTATTGAAATTCGCAATATTCAACAAGCAGTACATCCTCGACTAATATTAAGTATTCTGCTTAAAATGAGACTATTATTTTATTTGATGAGTTTTATAACTCATAAATATGACCACATGCATCTGTTCAAATTCTAGTTTTATGCACAGCTCAATAGTGTCCTTGTCCATTTCAAATTTAGCAAATGTGAAAAAATATTGAGGACAATTGTCATATTTTTTTATAATTATCATAATTTTTTATACATTCTGTTGGAATTTTATCTTTCTTACAATGTTGAGCAACTATTTAGAAAGTTGAGTTTCGCCAAACTTGTGCCTACCAGGAATCAAGTCGAAATCGTCCATGACTTTTGAGGGGATAATTATTCCTAATCAAATGGACAGTGTGGACCCTGTAATAACTTCTGAAGCAACGATTGGCCAAGTTCCGCAAAAGGTTTGTGAAGTACGTCACTTATTTAATGAAGGCACACTTATTGATAAGGGTTCGGTCTGATCGCTATTGTTGTTATCTCACAAAACATCAACTAATGTAGATTTGTGAATTTATAACAATTAAATTGCATTTTGGTATCATTGAGTGGCGGTCCTGTTTATGTCTGCATCCATTTACGGCAATTCTGGCAATGCTGCGTGTAAGCACCTTGCATGTCAATTGCGTAGGTGTGTATTGTGCATCGCAATAAAATAAGTTGGAGGCATATGTAAGAAGAAAAATCATGGGTTGATTGATGTGGTTGATTAGTTACCTACAAAGTATTTTGATACATTGGAAGGAAATTCGAATTATTTTCTTACGCTGCGCAAATTATGACATGAGATTGATTATTGCAATGGAGGTGTACAAGACTCTTGCAGCAAGTTTATTCATATTCCATCCGAGGTATAAGGACAAAAAAAGTTAAAAAGATAAATATTACACCATGCAGCGCATCACAACATGACTGCTTCTACATATTTTCTATTTATAACATTGCAATCATCGTCGTAATTGTCTTTGCTGACAGCTCTTGCCGAGCAGACCAGTTTCAAACAATGGGAATCAATTGTTGGAAATTAATTGTGTGATAAAAATGTATCATGCACACGATGTCTGATGGTAATTGCTGTAATTGATTTATTCCGTCAAATAAACTGTGGGCTAAATTTCAATAGCTGCTGTTTTTGCACTATGCTTGCTGTGAGCACTGTGAGAAGATGCACAAACTCATGGCATGACAGGCCCATTATGTAAAACTTAATTAGTTATCCGTCTCACCGACGAATCTCCTTTATTGTGGTTCTCATTTTGGCTTGCATGCGTATAGGATTTGTCACTTTTCATGCGGTTTGTATGCGGATAATTATTTGGTTGCACGATTCAAAGTGCAGGGTCGTCTGGTTTTGTTCAGATGTTGATTTCGAGACATTTCTGAAAACTGTTTAAAACAATGCTCAACGATTTGTATAAAATGACAAAAGAACTGATGGCGTAATCAATGGCGGCAGACATTGTCATCGTTATTCCATTATTTGTCCGTAGCCCAGTTAGTATTCATACGTATGTGCATGTGCATATTTATATATATACTTGTGTCTCTCTAAATATCTCGTGGTTGAATGTATATTGTTCTCCAATGTCCTCTGTCTCAAAGGTTGATTTCCAAATATCAATAATGCATCTCAACCCTGCATGTCTGTGGGATGGATAGATATCATTGTTGCAGAAATCGCCCAATAAGTAGCAAAAGAGCAAATATGGCAAGGGGACACAAACATGTATGAGAACCACGCCAAACAAAGAACGACATTTGCATTGTTGAAATTGAATTATCATAGGGAGACATTGTGAGCGGATGAGAGTTGAGAGTGCATTGGCAATTTATTGGCCTTCATTTTAATTTAGGAAGGAAACTCTCATGTGTTCCTGTTGAATGTATGCAGATATTATTTTGTGGTGGTCGTCATATTATTTTTTTTTACATTTACATTTGAATGTCTAATTCTTCAATGTGCCGCATGCAATAGTGTAAGATTGTTGTGGTCCAATCTCGACTTTGGTAGATTCTCATAGAATATTTCCTCTAAAATTGCATCATAATTCATCATATTCTGATAGTTGTAAGATAATAACTGGTCAATCTCAAGGTGCACCACGCATGCACACAGATGAGCAAAGCGATACCAATCAAAAGCAATCCATATTTTAGCATGCTGTTTGCTATACAGGGAATTCTTGCTAATTTTCATTTTATGATTTTATAATTGATATAAACAACAATTACGTTTTTAAGAGCACATGTGAAGCTGAAACAGTCTACTTATTGCAATTCGTACATAATTACTTTTACTGTAGGTATGGTCATGTGCGAAATATAGGATCAATTTCGTCTACCATATCACTTTCAGCTTAGGTTTGAACTTGTCACTCAACATTTGACACGAATCATATGCAATGCATGTTAGAAAAGGAATTGCAGACCAAATTGATACATTTTATGTATACCACCTTCTTCATTCAGCGAGTGTACATGACTATTACGTGGTGACCCATGAAAATCACGTCTTGATTGGTCCCGTGACTGAATTTGGTAGAGTCCCCCATATTATTTTATCCCATGAGTTTCTAAAAATTTCCAGTTTTAATCAGTTTGTCATTCATGAATGTACTCCCAATCGTCACGTTCTCAAAACAAGAAATGAACACAAAAATAATTACTATTGCTCTTCTCGAATGCTTCTCGTATTGTATAGTGACTCGTTCGTCAATATTGTATTATTTATTATTTTGTGTGTTTCCTGCTATTTTAGGGTAATTATGTCGACTTGTGCACATTTTTGAAATTAAGCCAAGGATGAGACCCCCACAGATCGAAATTATGTATTTGACACTGCGAGTCCTTGAAACACAATTCTTAAAATTCCAAAATTGAATCACATCCGTCACAAATTAGACCTCGAAGCAATTAGTCACTTGTGTTAATTGATCGTAAATGAATCCATGCAAATTTGCATGCCATCCCCACCACCACCACCAGGAAGGAAGTTCTCTCGTCCATTCAATCTCAGTCCTTTCGCTCGTGCTGTTAATGGAGCGTTTCAAGCAACCAATGAAATACGTACAACTAATTCAGCCTAATGGAAATGCCATTTAAGTATACACATTTTTGTAATAATTTCCAAATGGTCATCATTACCACCACTCCATATCCAACCAACCAATTCATTCAACGAATGCAACAGGGGCTCTCATCTTCTCACTTTTATTCATTTGGTGTTTGTTTATTGCCACAAATAATTTAAATTTTTGTATTTAGCGATTAAGTAGCGAGTTCTCTGCTAAATGTCCAGATGAAGATTGCAGAAGTGGCAGAAGTAATAAAGTTCAGGAAGACGAAGAAGGATTGCTGGCTCATGGGATGACAGTTGACCTTCTTGTGTCTTGAGCTTAGCGGAAAGTCGAGAGATTATTATTTGTCTTCTTTTACATCTCAGCGACACACTCACTCGAGCGAAAGAATTTTGACGGCATTTGCAATAACAAAGTCCTGTAGCGCTTGCATATGTGTTTAGATGATGATAAATGCTCATATTAATCTCAATCGCAAATCCTTGTTCAATATCGATGATATCTCTCGGGGATTAATCATCATCCGCTGAAATCAATGCCATTACAAGTTTTACCACTGTAAAATTGACCTTTATGGATATCCACCATCCTCAGCAGCAGCAGAAGTGTTTGATTATTGGGTGCAAATTGGGTGAGTGTGTTTCTTCCAGTCAATTGCTATTCACTTCTTTGACAGTAATGTGCGATTCGCTTATTATTGTTTGCCAAACATGTTTGGCATAAAATGATTTCTGATGCTGAAAAGTAAAAACTGATTATACATTATGTAAAAGCTTTTGAGTTAACTTTGGAATGGTGACATATTTGTACTATATACTTGACCAATCGTACGTAATATGGTGATGGTCATCACACACTGTTTGTGTAACTCGATCATTATCACGACATTGATAAGTCCGGAACTGCGAGGCTATGCAGATACCTAATCGAAACAACAAGTTCCGATGGCCGAATGAGATGAGGTCAATGAGTGAGGTTTAGTGCAGAATGACATCACAATGTAATATACGCATTGTGTTATCAGGGGATGAAAAAATAAATTATGTACTTACCCATGATACAAATAAGGATTTGTGTAAAATTAATAGAAAACTGTTTAAAAAAGTTCATGCCGTGATTTCTCTTTGACCTCAGTCGGCATTATTGTGTTACACAACATTCAACAGGGATTTGGACAAAAAGCGGATAGACCACAATTTGATGGCGCATTAAAGAAATGTTGCTGGTTTAGTGCCTCTACTGTTTCTTTGATTTCATGGAATTGCAAGCTGTCTGTTCGCAAATTCGCATCTTTCAAACCTTTGCACTTTAAGCAATACTTATATAATGGAAGTGTTTTTCGTCGCGGGGATGGATGCATTGCATGAATGAAACCGAATCGCGTGTGTGTGTAAATCACGAATGATTTTATTGTTGAGATAATTTGTATCATTTCTTTACCTCCTCGATTGCTGCTGAACGTCCTTCGTTCTCTCGATATGGCTGTGTAGCTTAGTGAATCTTCAGTTCACATCAACTTTTTGTACCACCATAAAACTGGATTGGTGAATACTGCCGCCGCTGCTTCTGCTGGATACTGGTCGAGGTAACTGCTCGCAACTTCAAATAATTAAATCGTCACCATTTCCACTTTTTTGGCGTGTTTTGCTATTTCTTCCCATGGAAAGCTACCTTACATTTGTACCTCGGCTCTCCCAAAACCAATTTTATGTACTTATCAGTTGAAGTAATCCGTATACTCAACTTTCGTTCGCTTAAATTGCCGACGGTATGAAGACGATGGTGATGATGCAATTGTGGGACTCTTATGTATGTAGTTATATATTGATGACTGCAAGTTGCGACGCGCATATAACTTCTCATCCTCAGTTCTGAAGTTGTGATCGCCTCTTATTTATTTATTGTGGAAGAGCAACTGGAAAATTTGTACACTTCATGAAAGGATTAAAGCAATTTATCATTATGATGTATGTGTACGACATGCATGCAAAGTTGGACATGACGATGTAGCAATATGGTAGCATTACTACTACAAGGAATAATGATGACCTAACAGGTTTAAGTCGGACTTTTGGTCAGTTTTTTCTTGTTATTATTCACTTACCTGCTTTACCTTTGAATTACGATTGCTGTGTTTATATAATTTCCATCTGCAGTCAGTTTTTAATAAATGATGTTGCCCTCCCTAAAACTGGTGTTCTGCTATTGCTATTAAGTTTTCTTATTGTAATAATGGAATTACTTAATTCTGTGTTGCTGGTCAAATCAGAAATTAATAAAACAAATACTACACTTCTAAATATCTGTATAAAATACAAAATATTTGGTTCACAGAACTCAGCGTATGGCAGCTTATAGATTTCGAAATATGATAGCTTGGCTCATTGTTCAACTGAAAATGTATTGCATAATTAATTTTACTGTGGTGTATCCTTATGCATATCTATGGGGCTTTATCTATGGGGAAAACGGATTTGACGCTATAAATACTTGACCAATTGAATGGCTTTGAGGCTCAAAGTTTGAGCATTATCCAAGGAAGAATATTCCAAACTACAAAATCCAGCCGATAGTTTAAATTCATTTTCCTAAATCGGGACGAATAAATATTTCAAAAACCATTGGCCGAGCGGTTTTGCGAGTTACTCTGGATTTTTTGACGTAATTTTTGAAGGACAGGCTTCTGATTTTCAGATCCTTATCGGCAATCGAATTTGTCACAAAACCATCCCACCGTAATTATTAAACTTTTTCGTTTATTGGTATTTTTCCGTACCACGCTTTAGCATTATACTGTGGAGGTTGACTGTTTGTCGCCTACATGTGCATACATACTTCTACCACAAATAAGCATTGAATAGTCAGATTCAGATCAGATAATTTACAAATTCAATCGCAGCAAGATATTCAATCAAACTATAGTCAATAACCAATGACGTGTCGTTGCCTATGGTAGAAAGGACATGTTGTGATGTGACATTCAAAGTTTATCACTCAACCACAAACCTAATTCAGAAGAGCAGATTATTTATAAGAACTGGATCGCCATCAACTATTCATCAAATAACTAAAATTATGTGGTCATCGTACCGAGGTGGTTTTTGGTTGATGCGCATTTAGATTTGTGTACCAAGCGATGACCAAATTGGTCGGAGCAATGCATTTATAGACGAGACATTTTTTCAAGTTTAATTTTAAATCAAGGATAATTTAATATAACCGAGGACAATTTATTAAATAAGTATTATTATCTACAATATATATATTGCAGTGGAGTTTCATGCAAACGTGGTATGATGGACCACTGTGCTGAGAACACACTTCTTCAAACACCATCGTAAATAAATGTTGCTTTACTTTTCTCAAGTAATACCTCCACTCAGAGTGAATATCTTATTTGGACATACGTACATACAACGCAACAATGTTACCTAAGGGTTGGATTGCTTGCTTGGGAAAAGAAGTTATCATCGCGTATGGGGGTCCGCAACATGTCCGCAACATAGATAATGATATGTAGAATATACACGTGCATAGCGTCATGAAGCATCAGGCAAGCCACTCAAATGGTGGGACACCAAAAAGTAATGCCGTAGTTAAGTTAAATTGGTAAGGTTCTCGTATTTTGTTATCTGCCCACAACTTTAAACAACCAATACAAAACGTGTGTCTGTTCAATGCTAAGTTAAAAAGTTAAACTTGATGTACTAAATATGCGCCTATATGAGTGCAATGCAGTACAAATATGTAATATGCATTCTGAGTGTTTGTAGTATCATGATGCTGAATAAGTAAAGTAAAATACTTGCTCTCACTGCTAACATCATCATCATCTTTCGACTATTATGAGCTAACATACGCTGCGGCAGAATTATTGTGGTTGTTAATAGTTAACTCAGTCAGATTATTATATGTACTACTGCTTATTATGTATTATGTAGGTAGGCTTGGTTTGTGTGTAGAACCAGAATTTAATGTTTGGTGGACCTTAGTTAGCTACAGGTTTTCTTTGCGATGAGACCGGATGCCTATTTGTCTTCCATTGACGTCAGTAATCCTATTGTAAAGTTTGTGGACAATTTGTTTAGTCGAGTCGAAGGTGTGCATTTCGTAAAATTGATGTATGGCACATTTGTTTGAGTGGTTTACTAAATCGACCTTAATTGTGAAGAGACTCGGTCCTCGCTAAAATAAACAGAGCCAAGAGCGTCTCTCTCCTGACTGGTAAAGTATGAATAAGTCAATACGGGTAGATTTTTTGGCAGTGAGTTTATGAAGTAGAATATTATCAACTAATTACAATTGTTTGACAGTGTGTGAATAATTGGTGAGTGAGTACTGTTTGTTTATGTTGTAATAATAATACGGGTTGTTGGAGGACCTCTGCGAACGTTACAAAGTATTCGTGACCAAGATATTCTGAACTGAACGTGTAATATCTGGATCGAATATTTCCTATTCAAGTTAAAATGACGAGATGACCTGAGCATATTTTGACAACTGTGTCGCGGTTTACTAGTTGTTTTTTTTACAAATGTATGTATGTAGTAGACGCGTAAGAAAACATTACCATGCAGCGTGATACGGTGATGCTCCATGTTTGCCTGACTGATCTGATATCACACTAAATTTAAAGAACATTACAATTCCGAATCCAAAGGCGCTGCATTGCACTGCTTGTGATAAAAGGCGTAAAAAGACCAGTGGCAGGATTTCATTGTTCATCGCGTCGAAGGGAGTTAAATATTCGTGATCGTTGTTTGACATCTACCATTTGGTTCTTTGGTTTTGGTGGAGTGTGTGCGGTGACAGACTCCTCGCTATTATTTATTATCCCGCATAATGTTCGTGTCCTAATAAGTTAATTGTTGTGAGCATAGTGGTGAAGTGCAGCAGATGAGGAAAATATGAAATAGTGCTGTTGGGAGAACGAAAGTAACACCATTCACAAATCTCCTCTCCTCCTGAAAAACTCTGCTATTACCATTGTTGATTGATAATAATACACATAAAACTTTGGTAAAAAAAGAGCGTGGCAGCTAAAAGTATCGTGCAGTGCAAATATATTATTTATATTTAAACAGCTTTCTACCCTACAACGAGGAGTTTATGTTCGAGAGATTTGTACCTTTGGTTGGGGTCTCACCTCACCGTCATGAATTTTATGTGGTCCGCTTACATACGTGTATCTACGCTCAGTCAGTTTTCTTTATCTGCTAACTGAATTCAATTGAGGATTGAACTATCGACTGATTGCATTGTCGTTTAATTATAGTTAATCTATTCCCTGACCGAGAGAGAGAAAATTCAAAGACCTTGAATAAGACATTGCAGCTACCTAATTACTGTGAGAGCATATGCAGATTGCCTTTTGCACGTACTTCAGTACGTACGAAAAGACGGATTGTGCAGTGATTTCGACATAAACATAAAAATCCCCATATTATACTTGCATTATACTCCGTCAGTGACGCTTGTTGTAAATGATAAGGAGGTGAAGTGAACAAGAACACATAATTGACTGCTGTTCGTGACACAGAAAGTTCATCAATTCCCGAGAGGCTTCACCCGATTATTCCATTTGTAGCAAATAGCAAAATGAGTGTCGGGTACGACAGTTATTTGGTTGGGCTTCAAGTGCCAACATTGCCCGATTACGGAGATCCTTCGAGTGATGACCTCAGTTCAGACTGCTGGGACACCGACGATCAAGATTCTGCACCAGTGCGAGTACGGACAATAATTCTATTATTTTTCCATCTTTGCCCTATTTTTGAAAGAATAAAATGACTGCATGTTTGGTGGATGAACGGATTGCATGCATCACAATAAAATGTGATGTAGACGAACCAATTTCATATATCATACATTCATGTATGAATGCTTCTATATGTATGTATGACGGATAAATTAATGCTGCATTGTGATGTTGTATTGTGGTGTGAATTTAGATGACAGTCTGATAATTTTTCTTGTAGTTTAACAATTATATAAAATATCTCGTGAGAATAACGATACAATTGTGGCGTCGTTGCATTTATTATTTGCGCAGTGTTGAGAAGTGTGATAATTTTTAAGATTCAACTAAATTCGTGACCTAATTTTAACCTTGTCCTGGGCAAATAATTAAATACCTCACTAACAGTTTTTTTTTCAATCGTTTAACAGACATCCAGATGGAGGGCGATTCGTTCCATCGTGCACTTCACTCCGTTCATTCAGACCTACAAAAAGTCAAAGTATCCCTGGGTCCAGTTAGCGGGTCATCAAGGCAACTTCAAGGCTGGGCGGCAGCAGGGAACCATTCTCAAAAAATTCTGCAGCAGAGAAAAGGACGCGTTCGAGCTTCTCAAGGAGGACCCTCTCAAACCATTTGTACCTCAGTATTACGAAGTCGTTCAGGAAGAAGATAGTGGTAATTATTACTGTCATAATAATAATCTTCAAAACTGAGCAATAATATCTGCCCGAATTTAACCTGCAATTTTTCGTTTACATTTTTACTAGAATTTCTTCAGTTAGAAGATCTGTTGGGTCAGTTTGTAAGTATTTTCTTTATAAACACTTGTATAAGTACACATAAATATTGGGATATTGGTGATAATGGTTTATATGCTGCTCATTTCAGACCAATCCGTGCGTGATGGATTGCAAGCTTGGAGTGCGAACTTATTTGGAAGAGGTGATCATTTTCATTCAATTCTAATAATTAAGCAGTAATAATTAATGATCTAATTTAAATAATTATAGGAACTTATGAAAGCCAAGGAGAAACACAAGCTACGAAAAGATATGTATGAAAAAATGTGTCAAATTGATCCGAATGCGCCGACCCCAGAGGAACATCGTATGAGAGGAGTGACCAAACCACGGTACGAACTTTTTCTAAAAGCGGAACTGCCTTTTAATTTCGAGCACGTGTTTCCGTGTGGGGCATAGATCTACAAATAGAAATAAGCAGAGATTTCCATTATGTGCCATTTCCTACATCCTTATGCACTGTTTATTATGAATTAAAAAGGCAGAGCAATTTGAATTCCGGCCGTGCGCCCGAATGAAGAACGCAAATTATCCACAAGTATAACCAAACCTCGTCATGATATTTATTTGGTTGAACAATCAATTTAGACAATAGCGTGTGAACCTTATGCATGACGCTGAGAAATTGCGTGGTGTCCAAGACGTTTGACTTTGATAATAGGGTGTACATATAGCGTATACTTCATATCAAATTCCGTGCGCATGTCTTGCTTAATTACGTCACAATTAAGCATGTAATGAACTGTGACAGGGTTGTGTATATTTATGTGCAGGTGATGATGATAATTTACATGGAGTTGTTACCACTTGCAGATACATGGTTTGGAGGGAGACAATTTCTACAACTGCAACGATGGGATTTAGAATAGAAGGAATTCGGAAATCGGACGGTACTTCTTCCAAAGACTTTAAGACTGTTCGATCCCCAGATAAAGTCAAAGAAGCATTTTCGTCATTTGTTGACGGCTACGCCAGTGTGATTCAGGACTACTTGGACAGGCTTTATGCTTTAAGAAATGCACTGAAACAGTCACAATTTTTCTCTACGCATGAGGTACATTGTTTTATTGAGTGTTAAGCTAAGATACCAATTAGGTAAGGCTAAACTTGGTTTGAATATTTTTATAGGTCATCGGTAGTTCTCTTCTTTTTGTGCACGATTCCTCAAGAGCGTCGGTGTGGATGATAGACTTTGGTATGCAAAATATTCTAAAAATAGTTTAATTTGTATCACCTAAATTGGCAAGCTTACTACTTGGCTGATTCTTAATAATTACGCTAATTACTCGCCCATACGCATAACCAGAAGGTTGACATATTGCTTATTTCTCACTTTCAGCCAAAACGATTCCTCTTCCGGAAGGACTCCCGACTTTAAGCCACGATAAGGTGTGGACTCCAGGGAATCACGAAGACGGGTACCACATTGGCCTTTCAAATCTCATCACCATTTTCGAAGAGATTAAAAAGAATTAATAAGAAAGACACTCTAATTTCGAAAGACGATTTCAAATTTACTAGTTTTATATGAACAAGAAAACCTGATCAGCTATGTATTGTATTTAGGATTCAGTCGTTGTTGTTGTTATTATTGTTACTGTACATTATTTTTGTCGTACGGGATGATTTATTTCCTCTGCCTAGATTTATACAGGCATTGTTGCAGACAGCAGGAAAATCATGTCATGAGATAGCACACCCTTGTTAGTGCAAATGTGGAGAAGACATGTGAATTTCAAAGTACAACGTTATACATTTTCACTATTTAATTACGACATATATTATATTCTTCCAAAATCTCCTCATTACGTTTAATAAACTGTTACACAAGTAATCATATTGCATGCCTGGAACATAGTTCATTGTTATAAAACAGAGCCAGCCACACATTCCAGTCATTAAACACATTAAACTTGCCCAGTAAACTGAAAATGCGAGTTAATTATATATATATGCACACAGAGATGTGTAGTGTTTAGAACAAAATGTGAGAAAATTCTCCCTTGTTCAAAATCTCATACGCAAAAGGGAATAAAGAATCCCTATTCGATCAGCACCTTTGACAGTGTACAACTTATACAATCCAGAAAATTAATAGCTATTCAAATTCTACTGTTCTGAATATCAATGTAAAATCTACGAGTGTATGAAATTCATTGAGGAAATGAAAAATGAATAAAATTACAAAAGGAGCTTAAGAGGAATTTATGTAGCAAAGCACAAAGTGATTTATATTAATCAAAGCTGTTCTGATCCGATCTCCTCCAATCACCATTAGCTCAATTATAGCATTTTCTAACGGTAAACGGGTGACATTAAATTAGCATGAAGCAATTAATGTTTGTATTTAACTTCCATTTAGCTTCCTGGCAGCATAAATATTATATAAAAATTTAACGCGAAAGGCCGTTGCTCTTGTTTTACATGACATTTTGGCACGTGTTCATATTTTATTTTTGAATCTCAAAGTCTCATGAAGTGAATGAATCAAGTTCTTTCAGTTATTCACCCTGGACTCTTTTACGCCTTCCGAACAGGATGTTGTGTCATTTATGCTGATCCAGACACTCATAAATACTCAAAAAAAATCAGACATCGCACACATGACACATACACGGACGAAAGAATGCATTATATTATTAGTAATAAAACTGACCAAGTATGTATGAAGATTTTAAGTAACTAAACTAGCTTTAAGATTAGGTTGTAATATTATTAAAATTTAAATTTAAATAATTTCATGATGAACAAACCAAACTTTTCATCTACGTGAAGAATGTCAAGATTTTTATCAAATAAAATGCATAGCAGTCGAATAATTCCTATTGACTATTGAACGTCTTATTTACTCCTAGGTTTTTGAGGTAAGACACAAAAATTTGACTGAAACTGTTGAACTTTATGTATGAAGAAAATATTTCAAGGATAAAAAATATGTATGTATGGACGTTTGATTATCTGAGCATATTTTTCAAAGAAAACGGCTTACTTCCAATGATAAATCGTTTCTAAACCATGGTGTATAATATTCATTTATTTCGTATGATTAGGCACTATTCAAGCGGTAATTACGTATTAGCATCGTGGATATGAATATTCTGACCACCCCACAAGCAGTATTTTTGAAAATCACTTTGCCATGTACAACATTTCCATGCATATCTTATTACTCCACTGTCACATGACATGCTTTATCAGATCAATTAACGAAATTATTGGAAAATTCTCAAGCGTTATTTTATAAGCATTTGACTAATGATGAGACACGCACGCTGCTTTGACTTGATGCCACATGCATATTATGCAGTTTTTTTAGTCAACCCAGCAGCAGAAGAGACACAGCAGCCTAGATGTGCTGATGTCATGAGATGAGATAAGAACGAGGAGGAACGTCAAGTATTCAAAACTGATATGCCAATGGTGTTCTATTCTTTTGACGACGACAAATCTCAGATTCGTTAACCAACAACACTCCCTCAAGAGTCCATCCATTTCTGATCCATCACCAAAGAGGTGAGATTGCCCGTAGCCAGACTATGCAATAAATAATATGAAGCCTGAATCGTGGCTCTGCAAGATGAGACTGTGAGACCTTGCTTGCTCTCGCTGAGATTTTTGTTACTCAACAAATACAGACTTCAAGATCATTTGGATGCTGCTTATTCCTCCCAATTCAAGAACACTCGTTCTCATTCTTATTATTCGTTGTTTGTACATGACGAGTGGCAGGTATATATGGACGCAGCGTCGTATTGCTGCAGGGCTAGTCTTATTGGTTTTGAATCGCATAGTTTCCGAGATTAACTTATGTAAATACAATTCAATTCAATGAAATACGTTTCAACAGTTACATGAAATAGATTTTCATTTGAACATAGACAGGTAATACACTGAACTGAGCAAGCAATATTTTATTTCGCACTTTTAGCTTGGGCTGCTGTATTTTCATGTGAAGTGCAGTGTTCATATATTCACTGAATTGCATTTAATTCCGACAGCTTTAAGCTTTATCAGCCAGCAGCATCAGTACTTGTTCAACTAGAATTTCATTTCCATGCATTTCATTCATTTCACTAAATACAGACTAATCCCAATTAAGCCCTGATACATTGAATACAGCATTAATTTCAAGCGAATTTGTCCTCAATGGTCTCTGGATTGGTTGATATGATAAAATGCAACACGTGCAATTCTACGGCCCTTCTTTCTCTATTTGTAAAAGGAAATGACGTCACGACCATTCTCCATTCAGAATCAGATTCACAGTGGCATGTGGATCACGCACGCATCACATCCTCAATTTCGACGATGACCATGAACAAGCATCGGCCCCATGAATGAACAAGCACGGGATGCGAAGAAGCATTATTAGTGCCTCCCAATTAGAAACGTCGCAAACAGTTAGAAAAATTTATTGAATTTCAATGATTCGTTGGCGAATATAAATGAGCATTGCTATTTTCACTATTTCACAATTTTGAAAGTATTGCAAGCACAATTTCGTGTAAAGTCATGAAATTTGTGGTGCATACGTGCCAATGGTGATGCTGTCTGGTGTGGATTGCATTGAGAATTTGGATACATTGTGGTGCAGTGGTTCGACTATGTGGCTGATAGTACTTTCCTTTTAAAAAGTGTTCTTCATTCATCATCATTTCCTTCGGACTGGAATAAAATAAAATAGCAGCTCTCCTGGAACGAAGGAATCAATTCAATTCCTGCCTCTCCGCTGTCTGCACAACTTTGTTCCCCTCATGCGATCGATAAGTGGAATATCCAGCCCAGGCAATTGTCCCACCACCAACTCCTCCTCTTCTCGGTTATCATTTTAATTTAAGCTTCACGAATTAACCAAGGCCTCGTGTCAACGACAACGTTTTCATTCTTGGAGCCAAATTGGTGAGTAGTCTTTTACTGATTGTTCGGCGCAGCCATTACATTTCATATTTAAATTAAGTAATTTGATTGCAATGGTCTGGCAATTCATTGGATTGCGTATGTGTCATTGTGCATTGCACACTTTTATTTATTTATTCAGTTTAAACGCTGATTCAACAAATTGCAAGTATGAAGTAACATAACCTGTGTGTGCATTATGTATATTTATGTTTCCAGGAGTTGGTGGCAGTGGAAGCAAAAAATGAGGTTAACTGAAGAATAATTTACTCGAAGCAATAACAAAAAACGGAAATTCCGCAATACTGCTTTGCGCGTCACGCCACGACCACAGCAAGGCTACGACCACAGACAAATTTTCTTTAGTTGCATGGTGCATGTATGACGAATTGACGACGACCTCTGCGATTCTTTTGGTGAGATATATTCTCAACATTCATTAATCAATGATTTGTTGGAAATTTATACTAAAGAGTTCCAAATTATATGTCATTCATGAAGATTTAAACTTGAACTTTCTTTTAATATTATACACAGGTAACTGCGTGTCAAAGTATACTTGCTACAAGCAAAGCAGTGGAGTTAGTAGGTGTTAGAAGTCGCTATTCTGCTGTCGACAAGTGTGAATGGGCTCAAGACTGGGGAAATTTGTATACTATTCATACAACATGAGTGATCGTAGTGAAAAGAAGGAAGATAAGCATTGCGAAGTATCATCATGTTCTAACGGAGCTTGTTCCAATAGCGACGCAAACGTGTCCAATTTGCAGAAGGATAAGGAACAACAATCGGATGACCAAAGTGATGGGAAGAGTAGCACGGGAAGCGGTGAAACAACTTGTGTTTCGTGGAGAACTCGGTCAGATAACTGGTCAATGAAGAAACGTCGTACTTTTAAAAGTGGCAGTTCCAGTAAAAAGGAATTTTTTGGGAAGCGAAACAAAAAGTGGCCCATGAGGAAATCAAAAGGAGAATCTTCAGATGTAGAGCCACCCCCCACGGGATCTCTCTCTTGTGTTTGCACGATGTATCGAAGGATGAATTCGGAAAGTGAGCAGCCCACACCTGGATCGTCTTCTTCTGCACTGACTTCTAACAATAATGACACGATTCAAAGATTGTTTGCCACCACCTCCGCTGCTGCAAGCACAACTGCCAACAGTAAGCGGAATATGAAAATTTATTACGAAATCTAGTCTATTGCAAAAGCAGCAGACTTTCTATATTTATAGCCTGAGCCAGGCATTTTCTTGTTCTCTTGATTAATTTCTAAACCCGGTGTGGTTGGTCCCTTCGGGTTACCTTTTTTTGTAAAAGTAGCATTTTTATTTGGATTAATCTCTCCATATATATTTATAAGTAGCATGCAAAATTTCAGCGTTTTGCGACTGATTTGTAAAACTACCACAGATATTATACTGCCATTTACAATTTCAGATCCCGTTGGTCATCACAGCCACACCCCAATAATAGATTTATCACGATTTAACCCTGCTGACTACCCTATTGATGACGAAGACGAAAGAATGAGGCAACAACGAGCAAGGGAGATGGCCGAAGGTGTGGACGTGGAGCTGTCATCACTTGTCGGAGAAGTATCCATCAGGAATGAACGTTATCCTGCCCATTCACAAGTATGATGTGATTTAATATCAATGGATTGAATCTAATATAGTTTAGTAGGCATGCACCATCACTAATGCTGATTTTAATTTTTAATAGGTGGATTTCATTCATTATCTTGTTCCGGACTTGAAAGGTATTATGAATATCCGTCTGACAGTTGTATTAGTCATGAATTAATGACGTAGAGTACATAATAATGACAATAATAATTGTTTGTCTGACTTAAAGAGATCACAAATTGCTCATTTTATTGGGGTAAAATTGATCGTTACGAGGCAGAAAAGTTGTTGGAAGGAAAACCCGAGGGAACATTCTTATTAAGAGATTCAGCCCAAGAAGAATACCTGTTTTCCGTCAGTTTTAGGTAACTATATTAATTGCTCAATCATTATTCCCCATTCACTTCATCTGAGTTTTATTTTTATTTTTTCATTAGGCGATATAGTCGTTCTTTGCACGCCAGGATAGAGCAGTGGAACAATCAGTTTTCATTCGACTCACATGACCCCTCCGTCTACTCCTCGACCACCGTTACAGGTTTAATCGAACATTATAAGGTATGAAACATGGGCTTTTTTATTATAAATATTACTATACGCAAGGGTAACTTGCTAATCGTATTTATTTATTTAATTATTTTTTCTATATATAGGACCCTTCATGTTGTATGTTCTTTGAACCTATGTTGACCACCCCACTCCATCGTATCTTCCCATTTGGATTGCAACATTTGGCTCGAGCAACGATATGCAGCCATTTGAAATACGATTCAATTAAAGGTAACTAACCAGTATTACCATTAATACCGTAAAATTTTATGGACCGTTTCCATTGAGTAATATTCTTAGTAAAATACTGAAACACTTATTAAAGTTTATTTTTTTAATTTGTTTCAGATCTTCCCCTTCCAAAATCTCTCAAAATGTACCTAAAAGAGTATCATTATAAACAACGCGTACGCGTACGGCGATTGGAATGACCTCAAGGCATTATCTGTGACGACATTTTGTCTGACTTCGATTTCTCATAAGATGGTAATCTTATGTTATGAGAAATTAATGTGGTACTAGTGTAATGTTGACTGGACGCGTCGTGTGTTCATAATTACAAATATCGTTACTTTGTATTATCACTGATTTTGCAATAATTTAAAAATCCTGCACATTCAATCCTGTTTCCTGGATGAGTCTGATCTGATTCAGGCTGTGAATATACTTTCAATCTTAAGAAAGATGCTAAAATCTCAGCCTGCTATATGCTACCGACCGACTTATTGAAGTTACCGATCTAAATAATTATTTTGTAATTGTTGTATATCAAAACTATTAATTTTGTATAATAAGTTGTTTGCCCTTGCAATTTACCTTTTGAAATTTATTTAACTAAATGCAATTAACATCAATCAACACGGCTCGAATTTCGCCAATCATTGATTCGTCTATCGTTCGTATCTGGAATATGTCCTGCCTAACTAAGCAAAATACAGCGATTATTTGAGTCTAAATTATTCTAATCGCAATTAGTTTCACATTTCATATGACGCTGTCTAAAAGAATTGTGAGTAGAGTTATATTATATCTATATATAAACACATATATATAAATGTTGACCTTTAAAATTATGATAAATAAATCCCTCTATACCACTACCCATGACCATCAGTATGAAATTAATTTGAATGACTAAATAAATTATGAAGGGTATAAATTGGAACGAGTCATAATTAATTATTTTACAAAAATTATAACCGAGTAAAAAATAGGATCCCTTGAGAACTGTTCAAGTTAAATAATCTGGGAGTCAAAATTTTTGACTCAAAAACAAACTTATTTTAGTCCGTCAGTTCCGGAAAGTTTCATAAACATTTTTAATATGCAAATATAATGCAATGCATGTGCATGAGGTGTAATCCGAGTTGTTAGAATAATCTTGCTTTGCCCCGTCAAAAGTGCCGGATCTCTTTGAATTAGATTATCTCTTCAACTTGCAGCACGCAGTTCGTCATCATCGTCGGTCGCCGCATCTTCGCTTCCGGAAAGAAAAATTGACATTTTTGACTTGACACAAAATAGTTTGGAAATTTGTAAGAATTAGTTAACAAAGTTCACTTTTTGTAGATCTTCTTGACCCAAATGGTTACCTTGTTTCGAAATCAACCTGTCTTTCGCTTTTCTTGTACATTTAATATTAGTTTGCATATTTATCAAATTCTCATTCAATTTATGCCCTTGCGTGGATTTCCATGGTATAATGCTGGAAAATTGAATTTTACTTTGGATGCTATGAATATGCCTTTAGTAGCACTAATTCGATTTGTAAGATTGATTGTAAGACTGATTCGACAGGGGGAACGGAATTCCAAGAAAGCATACAAGACTTAATTTTTTTTTTTTACTAAGACTTGAGGAATTTCAATTACGTGTTATTTTTTATTAACAGGATCATTGGATAATCTTTAATTTGGGTTTATAAAATCATTGAAGCATCGCAACTACCATGCTGAGCAGTATGAGTGGACGAACGGCTGCTATTGGAGCTGCCATAAGTGGAATCATTGTACTGGGATATTGCATGTACTTTGACCACAGTCGACGCTCGGATCCAAACTTTAAAAAGAATCTTCGAGAAAGTGAGTACATTTATAAACTACACCAATGATTGTTACTGCTTCGGGAATCATTGATTTGAAGATATCCTTGTTTATTAAGGCCTAGCATTTTTTAAATAACATATGAAAATGCATTTTTATCTAAATAATAAATAGTTATATTTATAGTGTCTTATAATTTTTTGATCAAATCTACAGAGAGGAAGCAACGTCGTCTGGCCAAGGTGTCGGGTTCAAAACTCCCCGATTTGCGAGATCAGGACGCAGTGCAGAAATATTTCTTGGCAGAAGTGCAGTTGGGAGAAGATTTGCTCAGTCAGGGGGAAGTTGACAGCGCTGTGGAACATCTTGGTGAGAATTATAGGTTTTGATTATTTTATTTTACAAATGTAAATTATTTTGTAATTATTAATTAATTTAGGAAGTGCAATTGCCGTGTGTGGCCAACCCCAACAGCTCCTTACCATTTTGCAACAGACTTTGCCCCCTCAAGTTTTCCATCTACTCCTCCAAAGGCTCCCGATGATCGGTCAAGTAAGTCTACATTTTTTAGATTGGGAACAATTAATTTTAACTCGAGTATGTAATTGCTTTCAAGAAAGAGTCTTCGGCTGGCAGCACGAGTTTATGATAATCACTTTGTTCATGTTTTAGGCTGTTCATGCTCGACAAATGGAATCCTTTGGTGCTCTTAATGATGGAAACGGGATGGGAATGTCTACCTCGTCTGGAGCAACTGTTACCGTCGTTGATGATGAACTCGAATAAATAATACAATAAACCAACAACACACTCGTAAACGATGAAACTGAAAAAAAAACGCCAACCCTCTTCACTCCTTCACTCATGACAGCTTCAATTTCTATTAATCTATGGTTTAATTTTCAATTAAAAAGTACATTTCAGGAGTTGGTCAATCATGCAGCGTCCAACTTTTGCCTTACCTTTGTCAAAGTAAAAATAATACACAATCACATGATGATTAAGTTAAATTCTCTACCAGCTTGATTCAAATTAGTCAACGATGACACATAGACCCTCCAACTTCGTCTAGAATGAAGTTTAAATGAATACTTTAGTTGTAATACTGCTCTAATCAGAGTGTATCGATTGTTTAGAAGTTTGTAGTCATTATTTGCGTAGTCACTGTGGAATCCACAGTGTGGACCATTTACTTATTTTGCATACTTTAGTTTCACGCGTAGCATTACTATTATTATAATTATTATTAGTCTACAATCTATTAGTCAGATTTGTATGTAAATGGTTTATACAAATAACCATTGTTTTTTATTGTCAGGTTAATTGTTTAGTAGCCTTTTTGGCTAAAGTCCCAGACTCATCACTGATACATAGATGAAATAGGTATCATATAACAATATAAGTTTATGTCAGAACAAAATTGAACCATAGTTGCTTCTTGCGATGTATATATAGTGCGTTCGTGGTAACTATAAGTTGTTTAATTTACTCATCTAAAGTTGACTTTCGGTAATAAAAAAAAGTCCATCCCTCCGCATTTTGACGTTTCGTTCTATTGCGATTTATTTTTGACGTTTGATGGTTTGCATAAAAGTAAAGCAATGATTCCAAATCAGGTTTCATGAAAAAGTATCCTTTGCCATGCTCGAAATGATTTCTAAACATGACCCACAACATCATCACAGCGGCTTGACGAGTTTTTGGGTCACCCAAATCCCAACGACATGTGCAGCACATGGTGCAGCACGGCGTTACTTTTACTTTTGCCCACAGCCAAAGTTCTCATGATGATTATATAAGTGCGTGTATAAACATGCATACTTTTAATAGCAGTTTATCCCGTTTCCATTGGCTGGGTTGGATTTGCATGCTTTGAGTCTGTGCTTAATATTATATAGATAAGTTTGCAAATGGTGTGCAATGATGGAACACAATCGGCAAGCCCATTAAACATGCATTAAAGAACCACAGCATTATTATTCACTACTTGCTACGATGTGTTACATAACAACCTTGTGGAATCATCCCAACCAAAATGCAACCAAACAACCAAACCACCACACAGGAGAGCTGTTTGCTGTAGATTAGGTCTGCTCAATGGAAATGAGACCCTAATAATGCAAGTTTAGTTCTCCAGCTACAAGTTGTGGGTTGAATTGTACAGACATTTAGTGGCATTGTTATTGTGGACATTTAATCCACTCAAGTGGTCACCTTCAGTCATCATCGACATCATATTGTAGCGATTAGTAAAAGTACGACTCCTTCCCAACGCCATTCTCGTAATACCTCATAATAAGTAATTCGACAATTTGGTGCTGATCAGTTTGGGCAACGTGTTCAGTCGAAAAATTCAGGCTGAAGACTATCCGAATTCCGAAGCGTCTTTCCGAGTCGGAGGATAAATAAACAGATCGATAAATTCCAGCTCTGAATGTTACATGTGTAGTGCACATTTGTGATCCAACGACGACGCAAACAACAGTTGGGTTTTACAGACGCTAGTGCAGACGAAGTTTTTTTGCAACTTTGTGCAACTAGAATTGACCTGTGCCCCCGACAGAAAAATGTGGAAACATTCCCAACAGGCATTGGCCTTGGTGGGAAGGTCGCAGAGATGTCTGCTCCTCCCTTCTTCAGTTTCAACCATTTCTTCAAAACATCCTCGCACATTTCTCAGCACGCCGATTCCTGAAGTTGCTCAAATGGATCTATCCATAAATTCATACGCAGATTTGTACAACTTTAGCATTGAGAAGGTCAGTTATGTAATTCGTGCATAGCAAAACAAGCTCCGTTGGTTATACATAAATACAGGCATTTGCATACCTGACAAAAGTATGTGTAATTCAGGCAAAATGCCCAGCAATCTTTGATTTACTCAAGCAAGTAGTTGACTTTCAGTGATATAAACTGATCCTGAGTTTGTATGCAGCGAGATTACTTATATGTTGGAACACTTTTCTAAGTTCATGAATTTTATTATGCATACATACATTTAGGTTCAAGCCTATTTAGAGCCAAGTCTATTGACTTACATGTAGACAATTCTGTCCTTAAAATACGTGTAATGTCATATATTTATTAACATATGTGGATGATAAGGAATGTAAACAGTTAAGGGTTGGCTGATGTTGATGATACATATTCTTATGATTTGATTTAAAGCCGGATATTTTTTGGAAAGCTGTATCTGGAAGACTGGACTGGCATCAGAAATTTATCACGACAATTCAAGGGGATTTTACAACGGGTGTCAACTGGTTTGTTGGAGGAAAACTAAACGTATCTGGTAAGGCAGTGATATTGACTTGAGTATTATGTATGTGTCCCTGGCCTGGTCCTTATTAATTTTGCTATACAATCCTCTTTAGTCAACTGTGTGGACAGACACGCCAAGAATCATCCCGACCGAGGTGAGTAAGGAAAACATTGGTTTGAAGTAAATTCATGAATTTTATACACCATCTCTGCCTTGAGATCGTGATTCGGGCTTTTCTTAAATTTTAACATTGTCTCTGATTTCCTATAGTTGCAATAATTTATGAGAAGGACGAGCCAGGTCACCATGAATTCATCACGTATGGTCAACTAAAGGAACTTGTGGTCAAATATGCACACATTTTGAGGACGGTGGGGAATGTGAAGAAAGGTGACCGCGTTGCTTTCTACCTGCCATGTGGCCCCACGGCATGCGCCATGGCGTTGGCGTGTTCGCGGATTGGAGCTGTGCATTCCATTGTCTTTGCAGGATTTAGTGCAGATGCCTTAGCGTCCAGAATGAATGATGGTGAGTTCCAATATTTAGATTTAATCGTGTAATAATTTATAAGAACGGGGTATTCCTTCCTGCAGCGGGTGCAACCGTGGTCATCACGACGGATATTGCACGTCGTGGAGGAAAAACACTAAAACTCAAGAAAATTGTCGATGATGCTTTAGAACATGCCCCCTGTGTCAAAACCGTTTTAGTGGATGCTCGAGACGGAGATACAAGTCGTGTCAAGTTGCAACACCCAAGGGACCACTTTCTTCAGGATTTGATGAACACGAGTACAAAAAATGTGAACGATGTGATTGAGTATGTTGATAGCAATGATCCTTTGTTCATCCTGTACACTTCTGGGAGTACAGGAAAGCCTAAAGGGCTCGTCCATACGACGGGAGGTTACCTCCTATATGCCATGTTCACCTACAAGGTAACTCATCAGTCCAGTTACGTAATACAAGTCGGTAAAAATATGTACAATAATAAACGATGTTGTCTAGAATGTCTTTGATCATCGTGATGGGGATATATTTGGCTGTGTGGCAGACATAGGTAGAGAATCTTCTCAGCTATTTTTAAAAAGATATTATTAGTGTTTTACAAGTATGCCTTTTATGTTTCCTCTAATTTTTCACTAATCGCAAGGCTGGATAACGGGCCACAGTTACGGTATTTGTGTAGTACCTTTATTTCTAGATGTCCATTGAAATATGATTCATGAATTTACTTAATCATGCGCAGTACTATACGGACCGCTTGCCAATGGTGGGACTACTTTAGCTTTTGAATCAACTCCAATATATCCAAACCCTGGTAAAAATTTCATAGAAAATATAGTGAATTTATCATTCTGTGTTAACATTGTACGTATAAGTTTAGGTAATTGATTTTGTTTGCTTTGGGGGAATACTTTCAGGTCGCTACTGGGAAATGGTGCAACGACTGCAGCTCACACATTTGTATTGCGCCCCAACTGCAATTCGTTTACTGCTTAGATTTGGTTCCGAATGGGTGCAAAAATATGACAGGTAAAATCCATTGAACGGTTTTTAAATATTTATAACACAGGAAATTCAAAAGTAACAAGACTTGACGATAACTTGACTCGTTTTCAGGTCGTCGTTGCGGGTCTTGGGTTCCGTGGGCGAACCAATCAACCACGAAGCATGGCAATGGTTTCATGAGGTTGTTGGTGAAAAACGATGCGTGGTTCGGGACACATGGTGGGGGTGCCATCGTGATTTCCTCCTCATTTTATGTCCTTCGTATAATTATTGGTAGTGTTTTTTTTGTAGGTGGCAGACCGAGACGGGGGGTATATGTTTGACTCCTCGTCCCAGTGGCCCCACTGACCCTGTAAAAACTTGATACATTTGTAACTTGTGAAAAATCAATGTTGGTTTCATGTGGATTTTTCGCAGGTTCTTCCGGCCATGCCCATGCGAGCTTTTTACGGAATTAAACCAGTTTTGATGAACTCTGCGAAATCTGAGGGCCAGGAGGAGGGTGCGCTTTGTATTGAGAAGCCGTGGCCAGGCCTAGCGCAGAGCATTTGGGGAGATCCTGCCAGATTTAAAGAGGTATATTTTAAGGAATTTGCTCCCTACTACTTTTCCGGGGACGGGGCTATAAAAAATGCAGATGGATATTGGAGAATCACAGGAAGAATGGACGACGTCATCAACGTGACTGGACATCGATTGGGGACAGCGGAAGTGGAGGATGCAATGGTACGAATATACATATACAACTGTATAAACCTACAAGTGTTTACTCTCTGACTTGAGAAATGATTAAATTATTCTTTCAAATTTAATTTTAGGATGAGCATGAATTTACGAGTGAAACAGCGGTGGTTGGATACCCTCATGAAATTAAGGGCGAAGGGATCTTTGCTTTTGTAGTTTTAAAAGAAGGAGGGAAAGACCTAGATAGGCAGAAAATGGAGAAAGAGCTCAAAAAGCTATGCAAAGAGCGAATCGCTGGGTACGCCATACCAGATTATATCCTGGTAAGCATACACCATGATGAAAGTAAAATTTTATGTTATTTTAATGAAAATTACAATCTTATCAATCCATTTTTTCAGTTCCATGATGGATTACCCAAAACTAGGTGAGTTGTTTTACTGACGAAATAAGTGTGCTCATTGGCCTACGAGACCCAACTATTTATTGTGTCCATTTATTTTTCAGGTCTGGAAAAATAATGCGTCGAATTTTACGAAAGATTGCCGCGGGTGAAACGTCTCCGGAAAAATTGGGTGATATCTCCACACTGGCCGATCCGTCAGTGGTCAAAAGTTTGGTTAAAGCTCGAGAGTCGCTAAAATAGGAAGCACTATTTCATATGTTCACGGTTCTTTTAAAACATTATAAATATTATTTTTATGAAATTATGTTTTAAATTCCTATCCTTGTTTTTTTAAGTTTTCAAAGCTTTTTTAAAGAAAGGAAGTTAAAACCGCAACGTTTGAACTGGTTGAAGGCCGACAATAATTACTTGCAATGTTATCTTGAAAAATTCAGAATATTCAGTATGTTAAATCCATATAAACAACTAACATTTCTGTTATCAATCGAAGTAATAAAGCAGCAATGAGTTATATTCAGACTTGGTAATTGTATTATGTCTGAGATGTACTAATTTGGTGCTATTTATGATCATTTATCTTTTCCATTTTGTGATAACGGTTCATAATTTCTCATATTCTAAGAGTGAACAAACAGATATGTATATATGTACACATCTAGATCTTATTCTGCTCTTTCATCATATTGGGAAGCTTATGTAGATATCCAAAGGTGCGATTCTGATTTACATGACATGTAATTGGCGATTGACTGCGTGGTGTTTTTCCAGCTGCATATTTTGCATATAGTTATTTGAAACCAATACATGGCATCAATTGGCACCTTGATGAAACTGTTCATTTGTTAGCGAACCGATAACCATGTGAGTTAATGAGTGATCATGCATTAATTGAGTTCATGCATTCCTTCAAATTATTTGATGCCATCCAATAATAACAGTCTGATTAAAAGCAAATTTACACTTTTGATGTGCTAATAGCTCAATAAATTAACAAAGCTTATTACTTATTTCTTGTCCTGCATTTATATTTACCATGTTGAGCCGTTGGGTATGGCTTGCACATAATTGTTGCTTCTATTCTAGCGTATGACCTCAGACAGGACAAGGAAAGTAGATGATTTTGCGCGTTGTTGATTAATTGAATTAATACAACGGCTTGTTATGCTATCAATTAAATAATATCGTGTCGTCGAATAATCAGCTATTGATTTAATTGAAATTGGGTGGATATCAAATTTGAAGAATGAATACACAATAGATTTTTGAAAAACAATTTGTGATATTAAATACATAAATTTTGTCATTCCTTTTAATGACCGTAGTAAAGCATACATGCATAGTTATTACATTCATATATTTAATCAAATTCCAATCTGTTGTGAATATCGAAACACAATTGAAACATTACCCAAAGTTCAATTATTCGGTTTTCATTATGTATTTAATAGTACTCGTCAATCAAATTATACACGTAGATATTTATTTCATTTAAGAAAAAGAATGTTGAAGAACGCATACAAAATCAACTACTAATTATGCCATGCATTTGAAATGTACAAATAGGTTCTAAAGAACGTTTTTAATGAGATACACCGTGGACCTTATACAGCTTACGTTAGGTGGATGGACCACCTTAGAATTTGTACATCCGAACCGTCAGGCAATAGATCATAGAGATCACCCCCATATTAAATATGGTGGATGCGCCTACATATTTATTATTATTAAGCATGCATTATATCATCGCCCGTCAATAACGAAGCCTAAAAGTGTAGATTGATAATCACATGCTAATGCAAGCAGCAGTTATCTGATGCAGAATTAGATAATCTTATTAGATCATGATTGACAAGTGGTCATGAAGTAAATGAGATGAGATGTCTTCAATTTTTGCCGTCTCACAATTCTGCCACAAGTATTCCGAGTGGATGAGAAGCATTTACGGGCATAACTGACTTTGAAATCATGTACGGACTTAACTTGAAAATGGAGAAATTTCGTCAGTATAGCCCACAAATTATGTACAACAGCTCATGCTTTCTTAATTTTAGATTGGATGGAAAATTATATTTCGCCCCTCTTTTACGGCATCAAGGTTATTCGCTGAAAAGTGTGCAAGCAATGTGAAACGTAAATTAAAACAAAGCATCGTTGACTGAATGCATGAGCGTCAAAATAATAATATTAATGAAAATTAGTATATAAGCAAAATTGTTGATGTTTAACTAGTCAAAGCTTGCTTTGTATTCAGTTTGTCTATCCGCTTCAGTAAACACATTGATTATTCGTAACAATGGGAGACATTTAAAAACTGTGTAAGCGTACTCAAATTTTAGTCAGATTAGTTTGGAATTTTCCAGTTATTTCTGCCAACCTCCGAGAGTCGAAGAGTCCAATCGCCAATTGGCGACATCATCCTCATCATCTGTCGAGAGAATCATGTCTCGAGACGCTGGATTAATTTATTCCGCTGAAAATTTGCGTGTCACCATCAGCATCAGTATCAGCATCAGAATGGAATAAAACATTCCTCGTCATCTACCTTAATTCGTATTTATTTACTAACTTACACCACTAAATATGTGTACGTGGGGAAAGTGATAAACACAAAAACATGTCCATTTATTTATTATTGCTTCCATCCAAGGAGTAATAAGAAGATAAGGAAAGGACGGCTGCCCTGAGGAACAGATCATCACACACATAAAATACCACTATGCTATGTACGTGATGAAGACTAGACGTGTGCGACAAATTGTAATTGATACACATTTTAAGATATCGTACAACTCAGAGTTCAGAGTTATTAACTAATACCTGGCAATGTGGAATCCTTAATTCATACCAGTTTCATTCCTAACCTTAATCGTCGGTTTCTTCTGCGTTCTGTCCGTTCATGGACGAGACCTTCACCTTATCGCGTTAATTACATAGTAATTTAATCAAAGAGATGGATATAGTGGAATCCAAGATCAATAATTTTTAAATTAAGTGTGTCAATGTGTAGGTTAAAGATTAAATGCAATTTGGCTGCATCAGAGCAGATGATAATTTATCTATGCAGAAATGTGTCCTATGTTTCGCAGGAAGTAATCGGTTTGGGTATCATTGATAAATGTCATAGGATAAAATAATACCAAGTTTAAGATTATGCTGAGGGATCGTACTTTAAGAAAACGTCGTACGCATATGTACCACTGCTAATACTGGGAAAAATCCTGGACATAATATGTGCAATGAATGTATGGACCATTTAAAAGGATCGATGGGTTAAAAGACGAGTTTACTTACAATATGCACCACTTTTAAGTTGGTTGAGATTGCATGAGATCAACAGAGAGCTGGGAACCAACGAGACCATGCGGCTTCTGCTGCTTGGAACAAACCAAGCTAACCAAGTTCTCGCAATTAGTTTTCGCTGGTCTGGTCTGTCTGCAGGATGGCGAGGGAGGTTATTGTAGCCCGAGGTTGCGGCGTTGGACGCTTTACAGATCTTTGGCCCCCATTCTCAACCATCCCACTTTATCTACTTGAATCGCGTTAAGGTTCTGCTCAGTTAAGGTTAATCGCCCAATTGTGCTTTAATCAAATGTTACGACCAGCGTTGTCTTATCTTCAACTAAAAAATGTTAGGGTCTGATTGTGAAAGTTACAAAGTTGTCAAAAAATCGGAAAAATACTAATTTGCCAAGACCCTTGACCCTTGAGAGACTAATGTATACTGACAGTTTACACGAAATCATTTGTTGGAATTTTAGTGAAATAAATACTCTAAAATACTCGAAGCTGATTAACATGTCAGATTTTGGGCTGAAAAAACGTGAAAAGAGACTTTATTAATTATGTCAAGTTTGTAAGGACCGATCCGTTCGAGAAAAAGACAATAATGTTGTACTGCAAATAAGGAGAAGCCAATCCCTTGTAATCTGGTCCAAACTAGAGGAAATGAAAACGTGTAAAAGGAAAATGTTCTACATGTTGCAAAATTTTAAAGCAATACGAATATAAACAAATTCTGAATGTGGACATGCTCATCCGATTGAGTTGATCAAAATGACAGCTCTGCAGTGGTTCCTGTTATGCGTTTTATTCACCCTGTATCTCCTTGTAAGTTTATTGTACACTTATAAATAATTTTGACTTGTCGTTATCTACTTCATGTATGTCGCACCGGTAAATAATCTTTGAAGTGAAGAAATTTTAATAATGGTGATTTTTTGGAAAATTTGGACACTTGCAGTTCGGGGGCAGCGTTTTCATGTATTTTGAGCAACACAGGTATGTAGGGATGGTAAATCGGATTTTTTTATCCGACTATTTAGTATAACATGGATCCGATCCGAAAATAACCGGTCCGTTTATTTATATTATTATTATTGTACAGGGAAATTGAGAAGAAGGAAGAAATCTCAGTACTTCGGAAGGATATCAAAGGTAAGGAAAAAATAACCATAGTTGGCGAGTAATCATAAATTGTGCATGCACATGGTCCATGTGCTAGTTTATTAGTTAGTTTCGTGGCGATCCAGATATGTCAAAATTAAGTTACTAAAATAACAAATACGTAATAAGTCTTGAAGGTTACTATTCCATACTGTACGAAGTGTATGTACATAAGCATATTGCATCATAAATCCTGAATTTTGTAAACTTTGTCTACTGGATGTTTCTACAATTCTATATCGACCGATTTAGGTCAAGTAGAACTACCTGGAATTTGGATATTTATGTACAGTTGACTTATGGAGTTAGAGTTGATAAGTTCTTGTCAGCCATGCAATAAGGTATCATAGTTAGTCAGCTTCATAGAAAAAAACAAGATTACGAATATTTCATTAGGATTTTAAAGCTATTCTAAATATCTCGCTTTTCGTCTAATTTAAATTTTTAGGTCCAGATTTACCATTTTTCATATTCTTAGCTCCATATATGTACTCGATAGGAATAGCACATACTTCCAATAGTTTCAAGGCATTTTCTGAGAACTGACAAAATTGCTTGGTTGTCTTATGGTTGAACTGTAGTAATGATCGTCTCGTCTCTCAATATATGTGTGTATTATATAATGCTCGCAAATTGTTAAATCAAAATCGTACTGCTAAAAATATAGGTTTGTATGTAGTAGAAATTCATACTTTGTGGGAGATGACGTATTTATATATATGTACATATGCATAGATATAAGGATATTCATGCTAAACCCAGGAAAACTGTATTGAAATTCTAATCGTCAACTCAACGCTATATGATTTTAGAATATATTTTGCAACGTATCTGTAATTAGTGCATAAGCAGCCCACAATCTGACAAATCTTGTCGTATGGCTGTAGAATTTTTTTTAAATGAAACACATCCAACAATTACATATACAAACTTTGTCTATGATCCAATGAACCAACCAAAAGTCGCCGCATGTCTTTTGTGTTTATTTCTTTGTGTGTCATGCCCAAGTTCCGTATGATTTTTGAAAGTGGTATTCTTTTTCTCATAAAATGATTACTTATTTCAAATCATGATATGTATCCTCACATTTATAAAACATAAGCTCATCCTCAGTTGAGGTCTTTTAGTGGAGCATTAAAACCCCTTCATCCATGAGAAAGAAAAACACTTGGTCGTAAATACATCATGCAAGGTTGTCACTTTAGTACGTGTTTATCTTCGTGATGATATATGGAAATTTTTATGCTGGAGAATACTGGCACGTATCACTTGCGAATATTTGTAGTAAATATCATGCGATTTTAGGAACAACCAAAATTGGCACATTTTGCATACATGTAGGTATTGAGAACTTTTTTTCTCGATCCAATTTATAATTTTTACGAGAACCTGCAACTAGGATCGTTCACTCAATTGATGTTTTTTCCCACTTTGTTGGTTTCCAGAAATACTGCTGCTGCTGGACCGAGACTTTTATCATAATGAAACCACCAAGGAAATGATTCACGCATTGACGTCTGCGAAACTTGGAGTGATTCACAGAATAAGTTCCGTATGCGAAGCTGGCGACCTGTTGCCAGCCGACGAGATCGAAAGCGACGGCAGCCTTTCGACCACGACCACGCCGCCTCCAGACCCCGGCCACCACGACGACAAGTTGAAGTGGAACTTTTACAATTCCGTGTTTTTTGCTTTCACTGTGATCACCACGATTGGTACAATGATTGCAATGCAACTTTAATGTTGGATTAACTTTAATTAGCTTTAAAAAATTTTCAGGTTATGGTCATTTAGCCCCGTCCACAAAATGGAGCAAATGCTTCGTCATGGTTTATGCATTGTTTGGCATTCCTATCAATTCCATTTTACTGAGTGGTCTCGGAGAGTATTTCTCAAGTCGGGTATAGAGCTATTTACATCATTTCTTGTAAATTTATAGGATGACTCGAAAATTTTGGGAAAAAATAAACAACTTTTCCATACTTTTCAGTTGGTCAAAGTTCATAGAAAATCCAAAGACAAACCGGACAAAAAGTTTACACTCTTGCTCGAGATTCTATTTTATTTGATCCCTGGCCTGGTTGTGTTCATGATTGTCCCAGCCATAATCTTCGCTTTCATCGAAAGTTGGTCATTTCTGGATTCCTTTTATTTCGCCTTTGTTAGTTTGACTACGATTGGCTTTGGAGATTATGTCGCAGGTAAGTTTCAACCCAAGAATTCTTAAAATATACTCATTAAGCCTCCTCTGGTGATTATTGATTTGCTCTGAGATACAAATTCGTATTATCGCTGTGACTGATGCTGATCATGTGCGTGGCGACTTATTTATAAGCCTACTCGAATGAATACATATACATAATATACTAAAAAACATGGGAATATAAGTATGTGTTGATGGTCAAGAAGTGTCTGAATAATGCATGTGTTTTTATATTTTAGTCTTTTTTGTATTTAAAATAGATGTCTAATTGGATTGAACACATTATTTATACTTCAAAATATCATTAGATAATATGCACTTGATAGGAAGAGTTTCAATTTTTTGTTGTTGCAAAATTCGATATTTATGCAAATGAGATTTACATAGCAGTGATGGGCGAATGATGGGCTAATTTGCAGATCACGCAACTTTTGACTATCAGACCCTTTCGTGATGAGGAAAATGTCTCAGTTTACGGCTGCGATGATTATTATATAATAAATTTTATGCACATTGGAATATATGGGTTTTAAACTTTATGAACATGTTATATTTTGATTTACTTAGGCATGGGAAATGGGCACACGGTCTGGATGTGGATATACAAATCATTTATAGTAATTTGGATCACATTTGGCCTGGGCTATTTAATTATGGTCCGTTTTTACTTGTCATTAATTGAATTAAAACTTTATATTGAAGAAAGTTGCACCATATTCCAGATTCTTGGCTTCATTTCGAAAGGCATGACTCACAAAAGAGTTCGTGTTGTAATCGAGAAGCGCTTGAATACGATTCGTTTCACAAAAGAAAAGCTTTCTCGGGACATCGACTACATGAGAAGGGTCGTCAACGAGCTGTACCTCATGAAAATCAAACCCGTTTACGACGACGACTCCGAGTCCGAGGAAGAAGCATTTAAAGCCAAAGCGAAACGCACTCAGAGTCAACCCAACATTTCCAGACCGCTGGAACGACGCCACAGTTCGCTCCCACAACTGACGGAAATCAGGGTCGCATCTTCCAGTGCTCTGGAGAATGGCGGGGTTAAATTCACGATAGGAGAGCAGCCAAAAACGACGCCTAAGCTCGTGAGGAGATGTTCCGACTCGGACTTGAGTCATATTGACAGGGACAAGACTTTTACGAGTGCAATAAGACAACAGGTCACGGTGGACGAGTTGCTCGTCACAGTCGTCAATGCTCTCAGCGGGAATGTCATGCATGAAGTTATGGATGCCGTGGAAGAATTGAATGAATATGAGCAAGAAGTTTTGATGGAGGAGGACACTGGTGTTCGTAATCATCATCATGATCAGCCCAATTATTCCACTCCTCCTCCCCCTCAGGAGACATCCCACACCAATCATTATGATAGAACCGGTGAATAGATTTGTTTCAAAGACTAACCAATGATTCATGTTCATATTCAAATCCATATTTATTTACACTTAAAGTATGCATTTTTTAAACTACTTGAACAATTTATGTAGAAATGTTTGATGATCTCCCTCCATGGGATTTGGGGGCTCTGTCCGAGTCAGATGAAGAAGTTCTCATCGAAGAAGGCGATGAAACGGACAATTTACAGCAAGTTGTAGTTCATGGAGAAGGGACGAAGGCCTCATCAAATACAACAATCATGGAAAAAGTCAGTGGTGCTATACGAAAAATATCGTCCGGAAGTCGGACATCAACAGACGGCGGTGGTCCTTCTCGAAAGATTTCTAGGAGTGAATCAAGTAGAAGGTGAGCAGAAACGAGCAGAATCTGCCGTTAAATATCATTATACTCATCCGTACAACCTTTTTTATTTTAGGAAATTGTCAAGAACAGACTCTTTCGAAAGAAAGCACACACATTCACATATTCGGCCCTATTTGAACCCACTTGCTCACGGCCACCATGCTCGTGAACGCAAGTCCAGCCAGCAAAGGAAAATATCAGAAGAGAGTAGAATCTCAAACATCAGCTCAAAATCCCGATTGACGGATGCTCTCCCACCTGGACTACATGGCTATGGAAGCAATGCGTCTTCCAGAAAAATTTCGGCACACGACGATGACAATCGGTCCAAGATCTCTTTGGAGTCAACCAGTTTGGCCGATTTTCTCCAAGCCTTGGACAACGTGCATTCCAGGCTGGCCTCCAAAAGTTCGGTCGCCTCCTTTGGAGGAGAGTCGAGCATGTACTCGGATGCTGGGGACGACTCGTTATTCAATTCTGCCCATCCTATTGTCAGACGGTCAGCACGGCGGAGACGGTCGGAAGCGGCAGGAGGTATCATGGACCATCCAAATTCTCGACGAAGAAAAAATGGGATTACCCACCCCGGTTTTGCATTTGCTTACGTAAATAATAGCTTCGTTTTTGACGGGTCAATGGGATCCAAAGACGATGATAATAATGAGTCTAGATAATTATATCGCAGTGTTTGCAAATATATTTATTTTATTTAATAATCATCGAATCTCTACTTACTTTTCCGATTCTTAAACTTATACAATTTATAGTATTGTTAATGTACTAATATATGCATATTCAGTATCAAAGCTGAGATTGATTGGTTGGACGGTAGGCAATAAGCACCTTAACCTTATCTTTAGTTGTTAGTAGATCATAAATTAAATATTGTTGATTATATAAAATACAATTACATACATTTGTCAATTTATTCCTAAATAACCTAGATGAAGGTCCCCTTCATAGAAGGGGACCTAAGATTCGACTAAGAATCGTAAAAATACACAAAACACTAATTTAAGCCTGAAGAACGATTGGCGAGGCGACGATAGACTTACTTCTTTTTTTTCTGTTTTAATTGTTATAAAAATACGATAAGTAATGAACAATAAGAAAAATGGAAGAATTATTTACATTTTTTTTGTATTGCTTCAAATGTAAACTTGTTCTAGTTATAATAAAACAAACAATTTATAAATAAAGGTTAAATGAAAAAAAAATAGTGTCGTCGCCTGTACTGTTGATTCATTTCTACGAAATGTAAACGACACAGTTTGTATACAAAAAATATCTGATTACGTCAGTTTTGATTTGTCCTAGCTTAATTCTAAATTTTCTAGCACTTGTGTGAATTCATTCCATCTATTAATATTTCATAGCAATCAATCCAAGTTTTAGGGGTCTCCTCGTTCAGTATTGTTAGCAAATTCTGGTGAATAAATATTGCAATTGAGCCAAGAACCCGACAAGCCGTCCAATTGATCTATAAAACATAATTGAAATTATTTTAAAATACATCTTTTAATGGGCAATTAGCAAATCAAAGCTAAATTCAAATTGAAAAAATTCTTACTAGTTTCATAGTCTCTCAGAGGGTGGGGTGATCGACTGGGGAGAGAAGGCTGATACATGCTCAATGACGACGAGACGGAACATTGTGAGTTGCTTATAAACTGGTCGACGTCCGAGTCGACTTGTTGACTGCCTCCAAATATTTGACTACCTCCAAATGGTTCCCCATCGTCTCCGACCTCCTCCAGAATTATCCCCACAATTGGTATCGCCCCAGAAAGAAGGTTTTCTTCTTGACCTGATGAGGCCGAGTTGGGTTGAAAGTTCTCGTCATTTGTTCCATTTGGAGTCCCATTCGTGTCTTGTTCCTGAGAACCTGATTCTTCGTCATCGTCGTCGCTATCAGAGTTATTCTTTTCGCCGTCATCATCAGCTGGCGGAGGTACTTCTGGTACGACTGCATCCTCTTCCTGGCTCATGGTTATTCCTTCCCCTTTGTTTCTGAAACAAATTGTTTCAAACAATATAGTTTTACCGTTAATAGACCGACCGCATAATACGCGGTCGGTCGACTAAGAAATACATTATATTTTTGGTCATACAAGTCGTAGATTTTAATTCAGATCAATTAAGGTTCTAATTTCGTATATCAAATCTAATCTAAATATAGCTAAAGCAATTCTACACGAAATAAAGTTTGAAGGCTGATGTTTACCTAGGTTTAGACAACAATCGTCAAGCCACCCCCGCAGCCACCCCCGCTCCTACTCAATTAACCTGGATGAATGGATGTTAATTTGTAATTTTGTGAAATACCTGGCACCTGGAGAATTTTTAATTTCACGTGGATGTGGCTGGACTGTGCGTGTGGTTGTTTGTGTGTAGTGGTCCCGCTCTTCCAGGAAATGCGAGGAGCACAAGAAAGTGAAACGGTGATTTTGACGAGGGCAAGGTCATTTCATTTTAAAATTACTATTAATAGATTTGCATTATTTATGATTTCTGGAAATATATCATGGACAAAACTGGTTTATTAGAAAAATTTCGATTTAGATAAACGCCAGTGTGTGTAGTATAAGATTTTAAAGGCATGAATATGTATACAGCTCTGTGCGTGATACAAAGGCCAAATGAGATTCATGTCCACCCTTGCCTTGATTGGAAGGGGAGATTGAGACGGTCCTCAATTAGTTTTGGCGTGAACTATGCAAGTCCGAGCATTTTTTTCAGGACATTACACTTCCGAAGGGGACCAATCTCTTAAGGCGAATTGTATGGACAGCATCGATATGAATAAGGGCAGTCCCTGTAAATAATATAAATCGCGAACTGGCACGCCACACGCGAGCAATATCGTCCTAGAGCCTTGTTGCATTGTGGGGAGTATGTGACTGCAAAAAAGTAAAGTTAATTTGATTTGTATAATAATAAGTGCCAAAGTAAATGGTGTAGAGTAGAGATTTCAAATAATATGTAGTTTTTACATCTGGGGCCAATCGAGGTGGAGTCTGGAACGGGATTCAAGGTCTTGAACTTATCTGAAATTTGCTGAAGCCAGAGAACAAAATTGAAACTGTTTCCGCTGGAACCCCCACCCACATTCAGAAACGAACTGCATAGTGGTGGTGGAATTATTAGAGTGACAACAATTATGGTAAACGCCACGACTGGCTTTGGCTTAATCCTCAAACACATTTCAGCCTTGTTTTATTGAACTTTTTGTCACGTTTTGGGAAATATGGCGAGAGAGAACAAAATAGCTTTGTAGATATGATATGAGATCGCAAAGATCTGTCAAAATATCTATGTATGTACGCCCCAAAAGCCTAATTTCTTGATGATGGTTATGCTCCCGTTTGTAAATATTATGCGAAATTAAAGCAACAACAAAGAGACGAAAGTTGTTAAGAAAATTCAAATTTTATATTCGTAGTGACCATAAGGCGTTCAAGGAAGGTGTTAATTTTTATTTGTGAGGAACAGTGCAATTTCATCGAGATCCCCGACATCTCCTGCCGTCATTCTCATCGGTGAGTCGTCCGAAACTGGATACCTGTCCAATTGCTGAACTGAAGCCCAAGGTTCTAAAAACTTTTCAATGTCATCTGGGTCAACACACCTAATAAAGAAGTTCGTCATTTATTTCAGAAATAAAGTAAAGCAAATCCACGTATCTTAAAAATAGTTCAACCTTTACCTCGGTGGACCAGGATAAACCGTCTTATCATATCTTACAGTTTGAAGCAAATATCTGAACTTGTGTCCTACATAAATTAAAATTGTGCATATTTTAATAAAATATTGATAAAAAATATAACTATTATGATTGTTTATGTAATTATGTATACCCGTTCCTAAAGCCACAGCACGCTTCATCATTTCCACATACGCTTCACGAAAATGATAGTCGACGGCGATGAACGAACCTCGGTCCCAAATACAATCGAAGGGTTCAAAATCTTCAATGGGACAGGTAAAGAAATCTCCACAGTAAATCTTGAGTCGCCCATCCTCGCTCTCATAAAGAGACTTTTGCTGGTCAAACTTTAGTTCAAGATTGTGGTCGTAGTTGAGTTCCTCGATGGCAGCGGAAAAGGACTCCACGCCAAAAACTTCGTGACCAAGGCTCAAGAGAAACGGAATGTCCTTAGTTTTTCCACAGAGGGGAATGAAAATCTTTTTTGGGTTGGAATCTGCTTTCGAACCCTCTCCAACCTCTCCAGTGACTGATGGAATCAACGTCTTCAAGTGTTTGAACAGCATTGGATTCACGTCGTCAATATGCCACTGTATGTTATTGTTCCGATAACGATTTTCCCAAAATCGGGTATTCTCTTCCAGAAGTTTAATGTCGAGTTGAGGCATTTTTTCTGCTCTGTGTGGTGTGGATGCTCAGATAAGCTATTTCCAGTTCCAAATCTTGGACTTCAAATGAACATCCAGTTCTGAAAAAAGTAGGCTTTTATACTGTCGGCATTTCTGTCCCAATCACGAGTTGTTCGGCATCCAATATGCACTCATTCAGGTGCTTATTTATTAACGTTTAATATCTATGTAACTAACAAATGAGTGGAATAACCTGTTTCTGTCCTGCGCCAGGGCTTATGGAATCATCGTGCCTGTCTCTCTGTCTTTAAGTCTAACGATAGAGACCATAAAAGTTAATGAGTAATTTGAAATTCTGCATACATTATGGCAAACGCGAAATTAAGCTTGAAAATGGTTAGTAGATGGACTAGTGGAGATAAGTGCGTTTTGGCTTGACTGCATTAAATTTTAGAATTCTCGTGAAACCTGGTATAAACCAGGTTTAAAACTCACAGTGTGCAGTACTGTGCAGTTCTAAATTTTTGCCAGATGACCCAAATACGAGTGCCATTCGTAATTGTCAAAAATGCTCACATAATCTAGTATGCAAAATTTCAACCTTTTTGGGTCTATCTCGCAAAAATATTCCTAAATTTGACCTCATGTTAGTTAGTCTGATGTGCCCTTGCTCCTTGATACATGGTTTCAGCTTTCTTCAACTAATTTTTAAAAAAGCAGCAGGTTCTATCCCCTTGGCACAAACAAACTTCGTATTTGTCAGCCTTCTACGACCATGCCGAATATTCTGCACCAATGACCCCACCGATCTTTATGACCCTACTGGTCAGAGACTTGATCGGTTTTGCTCATCTTCAAACTTAATTCCTTATTTTCCCTATGTGTACTGGTTGAATTAAACGAGAGTTATCGCGACACAGACGGACGGACGGAAATGATGGTTCCATAAGCCTCAGGATAAAAACATAAAGTAAATTTCAATACATTTTGTAAATCAGAAAAAAATTAATTTCGGTTAAATGTAAAATGGGGATCCCAATAAGATAGAAAGTGACTGGCTCGGGTTACATCAAGTAAGGTTTTTTGTCATTGCAAGGTGAACGAAAGTATGAAAGATAACCAAACATGAGTACAGCAATAGCAATATATATATAAATCAAATTGTTAGTCGTGCAAGTATAATATTATTATATTGACGCATACATGTTTACATGCATGGATAAGTTCACAAGTTAATACTGTTAGTGTTGACTGACATTGAACTTATGTACCCATACATACAGTTAATGCTCTGGTCGTGTGATTGCGAATATATTTGTATTAATCCCAATTTTACAAGAGTTCAGGGTCAACTGTTTCAGCAAATAGTATGCACATGCAAACGTGGATACTGCAAAAATAAATAAATTCTAATAAGAGGACATTTCACTTTTTTACCAAGCTACTTTAAGACCATGATCATCATGACTTTGTGGTCATGCGGGGTGGATGCTCTGGGAAAGGATAAGGAAACTGCGTCGTACATATTATTTATTCCATGACATTTGTTTCAATCCGAGATTAGAGATATAAACCAACCTCTGAAAACTTTAACAAAGTACATTCCACTATTAACGTTACATTCAAAACAACGTCTAAAATTCCATTATGTGGAGTGGGCAAGGTTAAATTATTGTGCAGTGACCACAGGATTTAAAATTACAGTGAGGGATCAGATGCATATCTGTCACATTCCTCTGTAGAGGAAGGAAACTGAATCATAGTAAACTATTCTTGGATGGGATGATAAATACGACATTATTGTCCATTTTTTTCACATTTAATCCATTTGTAATCAATGTGCAATATCTGGTGCACCGAGAGTTTTTGATGGAAATCAACCTACACTGCCTACTTTAAAGGCAAACCTGAGAGTACCGCATCCATGTAGAAATGCTTATGCTCTGATTAAGCCTGCAGTTCCTCCACACCCACATTATCGTTGAAACAAATAAATTGATTGCCAATCATTTTACAAAAAATAAATATTTGCCGCATCACGACTATTTTCGGAACGAGCTATCCAACATTCCCGACATTAGATCGACGCTACAATACGTCCATGTGCATAGCGAGAGGTCAATGGTTGCGAGGGTGGTGTACTTTAATTTTTTGCAAGGTCAGGATGACTAACCGGCCGGCAAATCTTTTGTTTGTAATGCTACAGTGATGAGCTTATGCATGAGTCGTGTGTGAATTCAAAGAGACGGATTCATCAATCATATTCATTCCCCAAAATGATTAAGATCAGATCAATACTGTTTTTAATGAGGCCTGTGGTCCATTCCTAGGATTCGTTGACTTTTGGGTGGGCCACGTTACGATTTAAGCTGGCGATTAATGTAATCAATTACACCTGTCAAACGCTTCTCCCTTCTTCTTCTTCGTTGGTGTAAATTCGTTCGACGCTCTTGTCTCTCAAACTTTGAGTTTTCTTAGGAAAATATTTTTTGCTAATTCCCTTGATTGAGCCAGTTGTCCATGTAGTCAAACCAGTATTGTCTCAAAGATGCGCAATTATTCACACCTCAGTTTCTTAAATTGATTAAATTATAAGGTTGAAGCGAAAAGAGCGAATGAAGTCGCAAAAAGCAACTTTATTTAGATCGCATGCGGATAAATGAAATTGTCTTGGATGTTACCACATGCATGCATATTTTTGCACACACAGTGCGCGACAGGACAATCGATCGACAACTGATACCACGTTCTGCGCTTCTGTCGGTTGACTTGGAAGAATCGGTTGTTTGTGGTATGATGATCTTGTTTTGAGAGTCGACTAGAGATTATTGACCAGTTACGACGACGACAAGGGTGTGGATCCGCGGTGGACTACTGGATGATGAATGGTTTATTGTATCGTGAAATCGTTCCTCATTCACTTGAGCAAACACTACTACAACCCATTCAATTGTTCTCCTAAAGGATTATAGATTAGCTGTAATGATTCAAGTAAGAATGACCCCAAGCATGCTGCACCAACTGTTGGTACGTTGTAACGAAGTAACCATATTTTTCAGCAATCGTATTTAATAAAGATGTTAGCGAACAACTCATGAAGCGCAAAATCTGATCCCATGTAATTTGCAACGTGAGTTATATTAAATCTTTTGCGTTGTTGTGCTGTCACAAATCAACTCCACCGTTTTAAACTGCACTCTAGTTTACGTATGTAGATATATACTTTTACATATCTTCTTTATATAGATACACACCCATCCATCGCATCTCTTTTGTTGAAATAGCGGACGAGTCAAGAAAGGAATTCTGCTCTGAAATAACAGATCTTTTCTTCTAAAACGAGTATTAAACTTTAACCTGTTCCTCTTCAAATTGGTTGGCAGGGAAGAAGGCAGGATTGGGATGGAATGGTGTAGTGAAATATATGCACACATGTAGATAAATGGCAAAGTGTGGTGAGTGAGATTGGAAATGAAATGTGGCATGATGATCACAGGGCGTGGTGTTTCATGCAAAGTGAAGAACGAAGAAAAAGAGACCACGTCCACTCTCAAAGAAGATCTAATTCAGCGTAATAATAATAACGTCCACAATCCACATTGTTACATAGTTTCTCACTCCTTCAGCCGTTTATGTATGTGGATTGGATCGACCACTTTTGTAATTTGGCATAATATTTAGTATATCAATTCTGCAGGTTTCATCCGTAAATGGCATCATTTAAGTAAATATTTATTCCACCTGGTCCATAAAAGCAATGTTCAACAGAACTTTTACTCTTGAGAAGGATTTAAACTTCAATATGGACAGACATTATTTTTAATCCAATAACACGTTCAATCGAGCAGATTAAGCCATTTATCATGTAAATACCTACACACATATTGCAATAAATAAGTATTTGCACAAGTTGAGTTGGGATTTGTTAAGTGATTCCATTACTTATAGGAGATCATTATATGCACTAGAGCAAGCAAGTGATCTCTTTCTTTACATATTTAATATGTCGTGTATGTATATATTTAATACTAATGTTTATCTGGCTGAATTAATACGTAATGACAGGCAACTAGTACCACCACACCTTTCAGCCTAATGGTCTCAGCTTGATTGGTTCAGTCTAGAACTTGGTCCTCATTTTTATTCGGTGCAGTAAGTAAATGAAGCGTAAAATGCATGATTGTTTCCCAACCAGAGAAGAAGAAGCTGTGCATGCACCTATTTACTTCTGGAACTGGATTGTATTGAATGGAAGCATGTAAGGTTTTTTCACCTGCTTACATACATATAGAAAGAAAAAGAACACAGAATTCTCGAGATCAAAGAGAATCCATCTGGAAATCATTTCACTTGATTTGCTTCAATGTGAAGAAATACGACGTTGATTATTATTTGTTGCTGCATGCCTCACAATCAGAAATAAAACTCTTTCTCATGTCGGGCAACGTGTAACAAGTTATCATTATGGAGCTAGTTAACCTCCGAAACAAAATAAGTTTGAATTGGATATACAATACGTATACTAATATTTACATGTAAAAAGAGGAAATGCAGCCTTCCCTTCAAGGTTGCTCGTGTACGTAGGGTACACATCCATGTCAATTATGCCCACAACCCGTCACTTTCAATTACGACTAATTGCATGTAACATGAATCCACAACACAAATTTGTGATTTAGATGGCCGGATTGAATCTTCTGCGCTTCTCAGATTATTTGTGGGTGCGGCAGAAATAAGTATTTCACAAACATGTTGCGTATTCAGTCTCAAGCGCAACGGACACAGAAGTGGCCGAACCTTTCTCTGGACAATGACCCTTGAGTGGAATGAGTCAACCGATCAATAAAAAATTGATTTACAAAAATATATGCTCACAAAAGTACTCATAATTGAATCTGCTTTCTCCTAATTGGTTACTACAAACTCGACAGCGAATTTACTCTCACATTTCAACAGCACCGACTGCTGTCAATGAAATGCATGTACTACGAATGAAATCAGAGTCATTACTGAATGCAACAATACAATCTGCAACACTGGAATTGGCAGTACAAATAGTGCTACCTACATACTTATAATAATGTTAATAATGGTGAACACTGTCATTTCTGGTATCTAAAAACTAATTCCAAACTCTCGACAGCGGAGGTGCCCAATTTTTTTCATCCTCTCCGTGACTAGTACACGCAAGATTTGACAAGAAAATGGCACGTCACATCGTTTTCGCAAACAACCTTTTGCATGTAAATTTTAGCATTTTTTGAGAATTCGTTTTATCCGATAAAATAAAGTGATTAATGATGAGTTCATCACTCACTCGTCGTTTGTTTGTGTAGTAAAAATTGAGAAATGAGCACGCTAATGGAACAGATAATAACTGCGGAAATGCTGTGCAAAGTTAATAATAAGTACGCAAAGTATTCGGATTTCATGCAAAATTGATTCAGGTACTGTACTGATTGCCAGGTAAAGATTAGAGTCCAAGAAACGTTGAATGTTTCAATAAGCAATTTGACCTCGAGGTTATGAAATGCATTAGTCTTGTTTTATTCATGAGTTTTAAGGATTTCTTGGGGCGAAGCGTTTCAAATCTTGGTTGATTTCATTCAAGAGTTACAAGATGTGTAACACTATTTGACAAAAGCTGAACATCTGCATCGTCCCAGACTTTTGCACGCCCAAAGTGATTCACCAAGATGAAGAAGAAGAAGAGCAACAAGATTCACTTCTGCTAAATACTACCCGACGAACCGAGTCTCATCGTCAGTCATACCTGCGGACCAGGAGGCAAAGGGGATTCTTCTTTCGTATACTTGTTTCATCTTCGCAGCAGGTATTGTTGCACTGCTTACAACAATCCAAACATGTTCGGTTTATAAGCAGTGGTTTAGTGGGATCCGACAAGTGCAGAACAACCACGCACACATTTTATATCTTCGTGGTTCCAGGTGACACCAACGCATGTCCGTTTTTGCGACTTTTTACATACATACATTTATGGGACTTAGTTTTTACAAGTGCGCTAGATTTCATACCGTTTAATCCGCAGGAAATAAATAAATACACAAATAAATTACTCCCGTAGTTGAAGATTTTCCTGATACTGCACAAGAATGGTATAAAACGGGGTTGGAATTTTGAGACGGCATACGCAGTCCCCCAATGCGACCCACGATAATAGAGAAACAGTAAAACACTGAAATTACTCAGATCCGTGGTCAAAAAAAGAAGCTTCCGCTACTAGTCCAGGCGTTGATCCATCTCCAAGGTATGTATGCAAATGATTTATGATGGTAACGGGGCATTCATTGTATCTTTAAGTAGAGGGCCATTAATTAAACGTATTATTTACACTTTAATAAATAATTTACATTCTGACTTATAATACTTTCCTTGGTGCCTTTATCAATTTCACAGATTGATAAAGTCTTGAGAGTGAATCTTTATATTTATTTTACTGATTTCATACATGTCCTTGGTTTGGTTCGTCTCTCTTCATTTCACTTTTCACCATCAACTTGCATAATATCAGGCTTACAGATCAATTTTCATCGTGTTCCATACAAGGGAATGACTTGACAAACGCACTTTTCTTTGGTTCATCATCTTACGCATTATGCACGTTGACTGCGTTGAGAACTGAAATAATCTGTAATCTCTTTCCACTGGTTTCACTAATCATAATCATTGAGAAGACCGGTCAGCTTTTTTCATGCCATTCAATGCATTCTACTCGCTTGGCTGTAGTGTCTGGATTATGCAATAAATATTAAATTATGCACTTTTTGTACATACACTTCCTTCTCTTCGTCTCCTCCTTGGCGAACATTAACTCACCTTCACCTTCACTTTTTAATCGCAATCACTCCTTGTGATTACGCATTGCAAGCACGCATTCACGCAGTTGCGTACATTCGTACAGCGTTGAGTGCCAAAAAGCAAGTCAAGCTGTACAGTAATTTTGACTGACAAATTAGCCATCAACCTTTGGCATTTGACCCGACGTTTTAGCTATAATTTGAAGAAGGGTTTAATGGCCAAACTGGAAAAATGGCTTGTTAGTTAGGAATTTGTTGTGTTTTCATTACTTTTGGTGTGGGCAATAGGCATGAGAGAGAAGAGATTATGAGCCACAATTTGCAGTTTGTTGGTTAGTTAGTGAACCTCTTGTGTGAAAACATGAGAGGTGAAGTGAAGTGGTAGTATTTTTTAAATGCATGGTAGCAAAGTACTTGTTGTTGGTTGGTTTGTTGCAGTTTGCAGTAAATATGTAGGAATTACAATCTCCTCGGGAAGGAAGAAGATGCAATATTATGCACTATTACATATGCATTGGGTAGTACGTACGTATTATCATTTGTTTGTGCTGCAGTAACTGAGTACACGTGTAGGGGTACAAAAAATATAAACTCTGCTGACTGGCCAAGTAAAAAATCAACAATGCCCTCTTAATACGCACCGAATTCATTTACACGCACGGCAGAAACGGACCATATTGCATGGACACGTCCAGTTGGCATGCACTAAAGTTTGCATAGCTCATTATGCAGTTCCAAACTTCACAATCAGATTATCTATTCCTGCAAGAATTGTGAGACGTGCATATCGGGCCTTGTGTCCTCACAATAATTTTTTGATGGGCGACGTGATGCATACAAACTTTTTTGTACATAGTTATTGAATTTATCCATTTTGTCCTTTAAAATTCCTTTGTTCAGTTACTCTTACGACTGTTGACTACCGTTTCGAGCGTTCTGGCTCATCGGCAAAGAATTTATGTAAATCACTTCAATAGTAAATCTGTTTATTTAGGATGTGGTTTATGCTGATTTAAAAGTCTTTAATAGTGCAATAAACATTGGATTTGGGTATCATAACACTTATAATAATATATACTTATTTATGTAGTAATAGAATTAGTGGAAGATAAATACATACCTATTTTGCATGTGGGATCCAGCTCCTGCACTGGAGGTTCTGGGTTCTTGTTGTCTGAATGCTATCCTAAATACTTATGGGCAATTAATTATCATTTTCATGAGGTGTTTAATTTACGACCGAAAATATTTTCTTCCTGGTCTCGAGACGAGATTGAGACGACGGGAAAACGAAGGGGGTACGCTGCCCATGTTTTATTTTATAAATCGGGGTACCATTGCGTACATTTATCATCTCAGCCCATCCTTTTGACAACAACTTAACAACAGGGGACGAGTGCATGTAATTCGCTCGGTTGTGTAACGGTCGGTGGTGTTCATTGAGACGAAATTAAGATGCTGGTCAGAACTCAGTGACATCATGCGTTGTTCTAAAGTTATAATTAAAATATGATACCTCACACACTACACAATGCTGGGGTGACAACATGTAATTAAAACCGGACCGAACGGAGCATGCCAGACTTGCCAAAAAACAAGATCATAACGAAGCTATGTATGAATGTAAGGTTTGCTACTATTTATAGGTAGGTACGCACATCTTCAATTAATATGCAAATATTTTCTGCAACATTATCAAAGTTCATGAGACTTTAGTTAGGTGTTAGCGTTTCTGGTATCCTCTCCTTAATGCGAGGGCAGGGTCAAGGGAAACGTAGCTGTTGAAAAAATTATATCTACGCAATTTTAGTATAATCTTGTATTGAATGAACTTGTTTTCTTTGTTGAATCATTCACATCCAAAATAATCACTTATTTTTTACATTAAATACTAGGTTTGCTCGTAACTAATTTTTCAATAAAATTCGTTTACGTCAATATCGATGTTTTACCTCCAACAGTACAACTGCAGGTTTGAGGACGAGGAATTTTATGGGCTGAGATCACCTTAAATACATTTTTATTCTTTTTATAAATAAATTAGAGATCAAGATGTGAGAGTGCTGTAAAGTTTAATAATCTTAAAATTGAGTAAACTCAGCAAAAATAAAACTATATAAGTTTTGTTTTAGGACAATTTATGTTCACGAAAAGAAACTGGGCCCAGGAGACCGGTCTCATTATGATAGAAGCTATTTTTATAAAATGAATCCTGTAAACCCCAAATTTTTAAGAGACGAGCTGCTTGGCCACCTGCAAAACTGTTTGTAGGCATTCAATCCAGTTTTATCACTACCCGATCTTCATAACGTATTGCGGATTTCGCTGAATAAATATATTGACTGGCTGAATCATTCGGAATTTAGTGCAGTGTAAATACTTTGCGCGAGGTGAGACTCAATATACTGACTGATCCTCGAACCAATAATAATTTCCTCCTTGTGGTTCTTGGTGGTTCCCAAAATTAATCACGATGCAGCCAAACGAGAATTATGTGTGCGAGTCCCAATTGCAAATTACAAATTACGAGTAACAGTCCACCGTGTGCAAGTGTTTCGACTGAGCCATACATACTCCGGATTAACCAGTTTTTGGGATATTACATTATTATCTATCTCCTGTGCATACATATTTCGCATTTCATGCCACCCATTTACGACAATTATTTTCAGCTCAGTTTCAACCTTATGGTTTCTAGAATGTATTTAGTAGACTTTTGTTGAACTCTCAGTCTCAGCAGGATCAATCCACACTCCAATAATTTATCGTCTAGTGTGTGCAGCACAATCCAATATGCACGCAATTATGATTCACCATTAAACCCATTAAACAGTGAGCATCCTTCGATTTCAGACTTACACTGAAAGAACATTATCGTTATTTGTGTCTACCCAGCTTTAACACTTTTGCACATTTTCTGCACGATTTTCTTGATATGGACCAAATTGAATTAAGCGTGTTCAAAACTTGTATGCGGTTGAGAATGTAATTTTATAACTTGGACATGAAATTTGCTGGTTCATTCACATTGAGATAATTTATTCCTCCCGAAAACTCGTCAGAATTATTAAACTTGTAATAACTGAACAGCTAAAACATGTATTAAACCGTAGGATACGACTACTTAATACAAGTAATAAGAGCACTTATTCGAGCAGAGTATTTGTTTTGACGCCTCGACCTGGTGCTGTTGTAATGATTCAGATAATTTGAGGAGGAGGAGTGAAAAGTACACGGTCAACGGTGCATAATTCATAATTCGTATGAAAAATTAACTTCCGTTGCCCGAAGCTGTACAACAGTTTTAGCGTGGTTTGTAAAAGTACTATTTTTACTTTTTCACTTGATAGTACACATATTATTCTCATTTCCTTGTGCCGAGTCTTCCTGTTTCATCATAAATAGCTCAATTGTTAACTCATGATTTCTCAATTATTCGGTGAGATGCAGCGGTTCGGGGTGCAGTGAGCATTGCAATAATTGATTCAGACATGTTGTGGTTTCCTACTTTCCTCGTCAGCCATGTATTCCAGACATCTCAGACGTGAGACTCTATTACTAAAAAATAAGTAGAATGAATGCAGCGACATAACTCGAGGCCATTAATCATTCCTATTATGGTTCATTTCCTACATGCAGAAAAAGAGTCGGACGATTGCGAAATGCGAGGGTAACAGATGACTTGCAAAAGTTCTAGTTGACAGAGGATGCAACAAAACAACCAAGTGTGACGCCTACCACTGTTGTTGAATGTCTCACACAATATTCTCATTTGACAGATTATTCGCTAATTCATCCCCCAAAATACTCTTTTTGTATACATATACAGACATGGATGTATGTATTTTTAGTTATTTCACGTTATTACATGGTCGCTGTACACCTTTTCTCAATTCGTCGTATCACCCCGGCGTCTCAAAACTGTATATAAACCTCAAATAATACAGCCAATGTCAGCATGTCGTGTAAAAAGTAGTTATCAAACGTTATATGTCATTTAGTGAGTTGCAACACAATGCGTCTCCAAATTGCAAATTGTGCTACGATGTCTCAAACTGGGCATAATTTGGACGTCTTCTTATTGCACTGATTTAAATCCGAGAGACAAGGAGGCAATGACATCAATGAAGATGACATGAATTTGGTTTAATAAACGCACCAGTCATCCAGTGTCCCTCCAGTTGTCTCTCAAGTACTAATAAGTATGTAACCATGCCTGTCTGGCTGGCATACCGTTTCAATTGTATGCATATACATATACTGTACAGTGTACACTTGAATTTTTCGTTAGTCGTGCTACATAAAAGCTTAAAAACGCCCCAATGTCAACCAGCTCTTTGGTTGATTTAAATTGAAAAATGTAGGCAGTTGAATAACTGTTACCTTTGGGAGACTCAATTGAATGCGATAGCATCTGTACTTACAAATCGACAAGAACCTCCTACGTAGATCGGATCAGTAAATGTACCAGGCAATTAATCTTGGCAGTGTACCGTCGAGATTACTTGATATTTGCAATCTCATTAAAATGTCGTAGAGTTTATGGAATAAATAATAAATTTCAAGCTGTTTAGAAACTGGAGCTGTTACAATTTTTGTATGCTCACGTAATGCTGAAGACTTTGTGAGTCAACTTTTCCACTGACAAATCGAGGCGCAGTAACTCGAATGATGATGAATTATTTGAACAATGCATTTATTAGGCTATATCTTTTCTGACTATATAAAATGTCATAATGCTTTTCGCATGATATTCGTCGTCAGCATGTAGCGATGTCATCAATGCTGTTGTCTGTCAAGTTTTTATGAGCTTGGTTCTCCGAAAGTCATGTTTTGTTTTATCCCATTATTAGTGTGGACGTGAAGTTACTGATACATACACATGCATAAAACGTGGCAACTTTTTTTTGACCATCAAAATGCATGTCTTTTCGTAGCTGACATTAAGCTGAATAGTTGTAGAATAATGATAACTACACATTCATCATTAAACTTTGAAATATACACCCACCCACGACTGCGGAGTGTAGGTTCCGCATAATGATTTGCTATAAAAGAAGTGCAAAATGACTGGACAAAAATCATGAGAAAGTTTCTCACTAATACATATTTTCACAATGCATATTTTCACCTCTCACTGTTATAAAGCCAACTTTGGTATTTTTATGTTTTAAATTTTTATTTTCCTGGGGAAACATGAATGGAGTGAAATAGAGGGTTAAAAAGGAAGGAGTTTAATTTGACTGACGGATGGGAGGAAATGAGAAGAAAGTCAATGGACTGGACGGAGATGAGATTTTGCTCATCTTCTCTTATGCAAACTTATCTCATGGCCCATTACAGGCCTGCTGCTGCTGCTGCTGCTGGGTTGCGGTTAGTCAAGCCTCATTGTTTTATAATGTTTTCATCATTATCATGCATCAGTTGACCATCCAAGAAAATCAATCTTATAAGGCTGTAATTTTACAGCATCTGATTTGATCTGTATCGAAATCAATTGCAGCGAGTGAGAGATGTCGGGCAGTTAATTCATTTCCATCCACCTACATCGATTGCAAGAATATTATTGCGAGAAATCCCCTCTGGTGAAGCACTTACGACGTAACAATGACTTCTTTCACTAAATTATTCCAAAGCCCTATGTGGCATCTTGTTGAATTAATCTCTTTCAGCTACCGACAGACACTTGATGATGTTTCCAGATCATAAATAAACTACATGTAGTTGGACTACTCCGTTTTTTATGGATGTAATTTTTGACATTGTGCTAAATGGTGGTTGATTGTACTGGACGAACTTATTTACTGATTGACGGGGCGCTTTTCAATAGCAATAAATATATAATAAATCACTATAAACAATCACAAAGAATGGCGAGTGGTATTCATCGATTTGCTCTTTGTCTACTTTCGTACTTCGTGTCTTGTTGTCTACCTGGAACTCATCACTCTCTTCTTTTATGTGTATGTACCTTGCAAAAAAACTTTATGAATCGGACTGGGTGATCGATCTCATATTCGCATCGTTTTTTGAGACGATTAACCGGGGACTATTTTTCTTTTGTTAGATGGTCAAGATTGCAATATTCTTACTGGCAGCAACAGTGATTGGACATTGGGCGGAACGGACTCCAAACCACTTGGTGTACAGGACGGTCAATTTTCCTAATCAATCACGCAGCATAAATCCCCAATCATCAGCAACTTTTTCATTCGTTCCGTACTCAAACACGTATCCATTTTATGCTCTGTGGAACAATGAACGAAATGTCGGCAGACCATTTGCACCCCATCGGTCCATCGATCCTTCGGGGGGTGTCGGCATTTCTAATCAAATTCCACAAATGCCACCAAGTAGCCAGCAGCAGCAGCAACACTTGGGCATAGGCTCGGGCTACAACAATGGACAAAATTCAGCCCAAACTCCTTTTGTCGTCCCATTCGCCACAATTTCAGAAGCGTATGACAACCTGTGGAACTATGATTTCAATAGTCTTCGACCCAAAATTCATGCCGTCCAAACCCCTCCGCAATTCGCTGCGGACAAGAATGATGATACCGCGGGGGGCTGGAACAACATACCCTTGAAGAGCTACGAGCAAATTGTTAGTGATGCTGGACACCATCTGACAGGGTTTCACCGAGGTCAAGTCGAGTCATCCTCCATGGTGGACATTTTCTTTCCTCAGCATGGATTCACTCGTGGTCACGTCGAATTCAGACCTGCTGCTCCCACCACGAACCCAATTGTACGGGCTGCAGCAACGGGTGAAATTTATAAAACCGGGTTTAGTCGTGGAGCTGTCGAAAGCTCAGATTTTCCCAGGCGCACTGGTCACCAGCAACAGCATCAGGAAGAGAATAGAATAATTCGTTACGAGGCTGACACCCCAACGTCAAACAATAAAGTTATCTGTTACTTTGCTAGTTGGTCGTATTACAGAACTGGGAAAGGATCATTTAGTCCAGAAAATGCGAATCCTAGTCTTTGCACTCACGTAATTTACGCATTCGCGAACTTGGATAAGAACAAAATTGCGATTAGAGAGAGTGATCCCCAATTGGACCTGGACAAACGTAATACAAATAAATATTTACCTGTAGTTGATCGACATCATTGCTAATACTGCTGAATTTTTTTTATATTACTAATATTTCACTCTACAGAGTTTTACCAGAGATTCACAGCCCTGAAGCAAAGGAACCCAAATCTAAAAGTTTTGCTCGGTGAGTACAAACCTTGTTTTATATAGCAAATCAAATTACATATTCAAAAACTTCACGTATTTAAGCTTTATTTTATATCCCATCACATCTAAATCACTCCATCGATACGTACATTAATGCGATAAAAATTCTGTACTTTTACAGGTTTGGGTGGATGGTCGGATTCTGGGGATGACAAGTATAGCATCTTAGCCAACAATGCAGAATATCGTCGCAAGTTTTCCGTTGAAACTGCAAAATATTTGAAGGACAAGAATTTCGATGGGTTATCCGTAGATTGGCACTACCCCAAATGTTGGCAGTCGCAGTGCGAGTATGAACTTATATATGCATCTTAAATATTATCAATTATATGATCAGTGTTAAAATGAAATTTACACATTTTTTTGTATGCTAGAAATGGTCCGGATTCTGATAAACTAGCCTTCACAGAACTGATAAAGGTTACCCAAAATTGCAAATATTTTTATATGAAAAATTAAAAAATAACACCATATAATTAATAATTGCGCAGGAGTTGCAAAACACGTTCAAGCCGCAAGGTTTAATTGTTTCTGCAACGCTGAGCGGATATAAAGAAGTTGTTGATCTTGCATACGACATACCAAGTCTGTCGCAGCATTTGGACTTGATGAATGTCATGGCTTACGACTATCACGGTGGTATGTGGATCAAACTTGAAAATATTCCAAATTAGTTTTACTGACTTGGTGGGTTTCAGCCTGGGAAGTTAAGACTGGTCACTTGGCCCCGCTGTTTACTGGACCACCCTCATTTGACCCTTATCCATCCTACAACGTCGTAAGTCGTGAGATGATTTTAGAAAAAAGGTGTTTTTTGCTGTTGGCCTAATTTTCTCCATTGCTGTAGAATTACACAATGCAATACTACCTGAGCAAAGGAGCCGATCGGTCCAAGCTTATTGTCGGAGTTCCAATGTACGGCCAGAGTTTCCATTTGAGCAACCCTGGTGACTCGTCGTATGGGAGTGAGGCCATAGGGCCTGGACTTCCGGGAGAATTTACCCAGCAACCTGGGATGCTTGCCTACTATGAGATCTGCTTAAGGGGTGAGATTAAATTGGCACATATCACGGTAAATGTGAATTTATTAGAAAAATATGTTTAACGTGGACCAGTGAAAGATAAGCAGTGGACGTCAGGAGTGGATCGTACTGGAAGTTGGGGTCCATACGCCTACAAAGATTCCGAGTGGGTGGGGTACGATGATTCGGATTTTCTAACGCGAAAAGCACGATACGTAAAACAGCAGCAATTGGGAGGAATGTTTGTGTGGACAATGGACTTGGACGATTTTCAGAACCAGTGTTGCATGGGAAGCCAACCTTTGTTGCGAACTATTGCCAAAGAACTGCTCGGAGTTCCATATGATCCGAACGTTGTGGATTGCACTCCTCCAGTGGTGCCAAAACCATCCGTGGAGACTACGACGAGTAAACCAGGCCAAGGTAAAACAAAATTGCAAACCATTAAATATGCTCATTTAACTACATGCACATATAAAATATTGAACTCTCACATCATCATCTAATAATGATTGAGGTGCCACAGTTCGCCCACCAACTGAGCATCCAACGAGCACCTGGTGGCCACAAACCTCCACATCCACAATTAAACCCCCTCCATCAACCCCTCTCATTCCCGAAAGTAGTACCCCCTCCACCACAACGCTAGGTAGCACGGCATCCACCACGATTTCCCCCCCTTTGTCCACAACACTTTCCACCACACCTGACTCGTCGAATGGAACGACCAATTCCCCTCCAGAGTCTGCATCATCCGCACCCGTAGTTTTCATATGTCAACAAATCAATGGATCCGACTCACAAAGTACATATTTTGCTGTCGTTTTGATTCCTATTCCTCGTTCTAATACTAACAAGTCAAGTGACAAAAGCCGAACTTTCTTATTAATACGAACCATATTTAACACATCATTTGCATATTTACAACAACTAGATTTCACACACTAACACGTCGTCAAAGGCATAGCTTGATTAATACCAAAGCACTTAAATGTACCAATTTATTATTCAGTGTCTGTGGTTCCGCATATGACCACCGCTCCAACACCAACGAGCCCAACTTCACCCACCTCAGAACCCGAGGGAGGTGGAGGGGTTCCCATTCCGGAAAATACGTGCGACAACACTTGGATTTTTAAACCGGATCCGTCCGACTGTTCCATGTATTACGAATGTACTAGTGGCAAGGCGTTCAAAAAGCAGTGTCCACAAGGACTCCACTGGAACCAGTACCAACAAGGTATTTGCACAAGTTGTACTAATTAACTTTATAATAAGAAAAGGTGAAACATTTGTATGCTCATGGTGCGTGATAAGCAACAAAACGTACAATTGTCCACTTTTTATTGCGTGCTTATTTTCTATGATAGCTTGTGATTGGCCGGAATATGCAAATTGTGGAGGAACTGCGCCCACATCCACGTATAAACCTCCCAGCTCATCGCAAGCAACTTGGCCACCGAGCACAACAACTAAATGGACAACGACTCAGCAACCAACAACTCGACCTCCAATGACGCAGATGCCGTCAACAACTTATCGACCCTCTGGAGAACGATGCAGATCAGGTGCATATACGTAGTCAATATAATCACTAGTACCAAAGGGTGATTTCTTCTGGTAGTTGACATTACGAACCTCGATGACGGCGACTAATGACTTGTGCATTACAGGCGAATATTCACCTGGACCAACTTGTGATCGGTATTATGTTTGCGTGGACGGAACACAAACTTTACAATCCTGTGGACCAGGACTACATTGGAACTCACAGAAAACTTTGTGTGATTGGCCAAAGAGTGCAATGTGTCAAACATCGTCGGGTGGTGGCAGCGGTATAAAATAATTAATAATACGCATAAAGGTTTCCAATTGGATCTGATTTCAATGTCGTTGATTCCAATAGACGTCCCATCGATCCAGGAAACGAAATTTCCAAAGAACTGTCAACAAGGAGAATATTATGGTGACGAAGACGAGTGTGACGTTTACTACGTCTGCAATCATGGACATCCAATCCAGTTCCGCTGTCAATCGGGATTGCATTGGAACAACAATGGAAAAATTTGTGATTGGCCAGCCAATGCAGGATGTCAAAATTCAGGGGGCAGACCAACCACAACGACGACTAGTGGTCCAATTTATACAGATGCTCCCAGCACTACGATGAGGCCAGCAACTACACGACCAACGACAACTGCAAGTCCTTCGACAAGACCGCCTACGACGACCGCAGTAACTACAACAAGCAGCACTTCATCGTCCCCTTGGACCACGACGACAACCAGTTCAGGATCAGGATCGGAGGTTGTGGTCCCAGATTCAGGGTCAAACGCTAAGGATTTCATGATTGTGTGCTATTTCACCAACTGGGCTTGTAAGTTTAGTTTTATACAAAATTTCATATAAATTTTATTTAAACTGCAAAATGAATATCCTTTCGTTATCAGGGTACAGGCCCGGGATTGGAAAGTACAAGGTACAGCTTATCATCTTGAAGATGCATAATCAATATATATACTTATGAAGTTAAAGGCATTATCAATACTAATTTTTCCAGCCTGAAGATATAAATCCTAAACTTTGCACTCACATCGTGTATGGATTTGCCGTGTTGGACTATACTGACCTCACGTTGAAGCCTCATGATACATGGGCCGACTTTGACAACCACTTTTACGAACAGGTCACAGCGTACAAGAAGGGCGGGACAAAGGTGACCTTAGCCATTGGGGGATGGAACGACTCGCAAGGGGACAAGTATTCAAGACTTGTGAACAACCCGGCATCTCGAAAAAAATTTATCACTCATGCAATTGAATTTATTAAAAAGTACAACTTTGACGGTAATTCGACGATATAATTTCCTTTACATCTTCAAGCTCATAATAAAAAATAATAAAATGGCTTTGGGTTGTAGGACTGGACCTTGACTGGGAAGTGAGTATCATTACAAATTTTTATAAAATTCAAATTCTGTTTACGATTTGCACATACACATAACACAAATTTTTCTTTTCTAGTACCCCAAATGCTGGCAGGTAAGCTTACTATTTCTATTGCCAAAATCCTAATGTAATAGCTAATAATACGTATCAATGTTACTTATGAAGGTCGAATGTGACAAAGGACCTGCGAGTGACAAACCAAATTTTGCTGAATTCGTTAAAGAATTGAAGTTGGCCTTCCAGCCCCACGGGGTAAAATTGAAACTAAAATTGAAATTAATTTACACTACATTAATCCAATTATTTTTCGAAATTTTCTAATTCCATAATAGTTATGCATACGTTCAAATAAGTCGTATGTTAATTTTTCAGTTGCTCTTGAGTGCCGCAGTTTCACCCAGTAAACTGGTCATTGACCAAGGTTATGATGTACCAACAGTTGCGAGATATCTTGATTGGATTGCTGTGATGACTTACGGTAACAGGGTTAAGAATTTACGAACATATTTATGTATGCACTACATGCTTAATGATATTTCAAACAGATTTCCACGGTCAGTGGGACAAGAAGACAGGCCATGTCGCCCCCCTTTACTTTCATGAAGATGACGACTTTGCTTATTTCAATGCCAATTACTCAATTTCGGTTAGTAGTACACAAATTTCATTTGAGAGTAATTATAGAAATTATAAAGCGTCAGGGAATTACATAATTTACACACGTGCATAAGTACGTATGTAGTACTTATGCACATATGTATGTGCATAGATACATATTTAAGGGAAAGGCATGGAAAAATTATTTGTGACCAAATGACGCTGCTCTCCATTTAATTTTCATGATAATCTTTACAATATTCCTCTTATTTTTATTAGTATTTTGTCATGTCAAGAATACTAACCTACAAAATTGAGAAAATAAATTCATAGTTATTGAGTCGCCTGTTGATTTTCAGTACTGGATAAGCCAGGGAGCGGATAGGAAGAAAATTGTGATGGGGATGCCACTCTACGGTCAGTCTTTCACCCTCGCAAATGCCAATGAGCATGACCTCAACGCTCCGACCATTGGGGGAGGCACCGCCGGGGAGTTCACTCGAGCGGCAGGCTTCCTTTCTTACTACGAGGCAAGACACTCAGAAATAATATGCTTACTATACTGACTAGTAAAACTAGCATAATTTCTGCATGCATATTTTAAATTCTGGCTAATTTTAATGCACTATAGATCTGTAAGCATGTGCAAAAGGATGGATGGACAGTGGTTCACGATGAGACCGGAGCCATGGGGCCATACGCTTACAAAGGAAATCAGTGGGTGTCGTACGACGATGTGGCCATGATTCGCAAAAAGTCACAACTCATCCGCGACATGGGACTTGGAGGAGGTAACAATATTAGCATTTGCATTTGTTTCGCTAGTTTTACATGCGGAGTTTATGAAAATTTTCAGGTATGGTGTGGGCTCTCGATCTTGATGACTTCCGCAATACGTGCGGTCAGGGGGCTTATCCACTTTTAACTACTATAAAAAATGTGTTGGGTAAGCCCAAACTTACGGATGACCATGACTCGTCTGCCTCCACACCGGACATGGTCGAAATGCCAGTGATGGTTACAAAAAAACCAGCTACCACCACTACCAAACGAACTGTCACGACGACACGCCCCAAAACAACGACGACCCGCAGAAGTACGACAACGGCAGCAACAACAACTCGGCGCACAGTAACGACCAGACCGACAACGCGACGACCCCCAAATAAAATTGTGGGCAGTGTTGAAACCGATGATGCATTTATTATCGGAGAGCATGAAGCTGCAATCAATAATCTACAGCACAATCAACAAAATCCAACATCATCACAACCAACGACGCCGACGACGACAACAGCAATTACTCCTCCAGGATCCCCTGTAGCCGAAAAGGATGACGACTGTCAAACGAGACCATTTAAGCCTCACGAGTCAGATTGCAACAAGGTACATACATATGTGCATGACGAGTATCTTGTTTTGCAGATTTCAGGTTTTAATTTGCTTATTTATTATCCTTTCAGTACTACATGTGTATATTTGGAAATTATGCGGAATACCAATGTGCTCCAGGCACTTACTGGAATAAGGTAATAATTCAGTCAAGGTCAGCGTGTCTTTTAGATTCAATGATTAACCATACTTTGACCCATGCGTTGACCATGTTTTAGGACCACTGTGATTGGGTTTGCGGATCTGAACCGGGCCAAAGCAGTACCACACCAGGAAATTGGCAAAGCACCACCACCACCAAAGTTCCGATGAGACCAACGCAACAAACAACAACTTCCTCTACGACCACGACCACCCAACGTCCATGGACTCCAGCCCCCACGATGCCATCCACCACAGTCAACTGGAACCCTACAACAAGCAAACCCTCCACTTCTACAAGTTGGGAGTGGAAACCTCCAATTGTTCGTTATATATTTTCCCGTCATTTTTTTCGCTATATATTCTTTTCAGTTTAATCGCAAATTTTCTTTACAGATTACAACCACCACCATCCATCCAATAGAAGTCCCTGACTCAGACTTTTTGGTCGTGTGTTATTTTACTAACTGGGCGTGTAAGTAGTCAAAAGATTTCCGATTATGTATTTAATTAAGCAGAAAAAAATTACTGGTATTGATGAATTCCTTATCAATTAAGGGTATCGACAAGGAATTGGCAAGTACAAGCCAGAAGGTGAGTCGTGAGTATGCATATGTGTGGCATGATTTTCATGAGCTGCTTGCTAATTAAATTATATCTTGGTTTATAATTTTATATCAAGATATCGACTACAACCTGTGTACTCACATTGCATACGGATTCGCCGTGCTAAATCCTTCGACGCTGGAAATTCGTACACACGATTCTTGGGCGGACACAGATAATCAATTTTACACCCAAGTTACAGACCTCAAATCCAAAGGTACGTAAATATTTATCTGCATTACAGCAAGTAAGCATTTAATAACATGAAGTCATATTTTTTTTACTTAAATTAACATTTGTTACAATTTTTTGTGAACAAAGGAAAGAAAGTAGTGATCGCAATCGGTGGTTGGAATGACAGTCTTGGCGATAAATATTCACGTCTTGTCCGAGATGCCGCAGCAAGGCGAAAGTTTATCAAAAATGTGATTGAATTTATTCAAAAGTATAATTTCGACGGGTAAGTATATATAAATCAAAATTATAAAAGCATAAAATTATAATTTTTAATAAATTCGATCTAAATTCGATCTAAATTCGATTCCAGACTTGATCTAGACTGGGAAGTAAGTATAATTACAAAATCTTTATGTACTTAAAATTCTGTTTATGATTTGCACATGCAAATAATACTCTTAATACTAATATTTTTGTCTCTAGTACCCAAAATGTTGGCAGGTAAGCTTACTATTAGTAATATATGTTAAACACTGGAAAGAATGAATTTGTTTGCTAATTCCGAATTGCTTTAAAGACTGATTGCAAATTGGGACCGGCGGACGACAAGGAAAATTTTGCAACGTTTGCCAGGGAATTGAAGGAAGCATTTACGCCCCACGGATATCTTTTGAGCTCTGCCGTCTCTCCCAGCAAAACCATCATTGACGAGGGTGAATAATTCTTTGGATAGATAAAGTTCATAAATTACCAGGATTGCATAAATTGCTGTGACTATTAATTTCAGGATACGATGTGCCAATAATCAGTCAGTACCTCGACTGGATCGCGGTGATGACATATGGTAACAAAGCTAGGAATTTAAAGACGTATGTATGCACTACATGTCTAATATTATACGAATTTCAGATTACCATGGTCAGTGGGACAAAAAAACAGGCCACGTCGCGCCCATGTACAATCACGAAGAGAGTGACAACTTTTATTTCAACTCCAACTACACAATTAATTACTGGATAAGTAAGGGCGCGCCCAAGAAAAAATTGGTCATGGGTATGAACATTAGCTTATATTTTCACTTTAACTAAGGATATACAATGTATATGATATATATTTAACTGATGTATAATATACATACATCAGTTAAACAACAAGTTTCTAACGCTCATTATTGTATAGGAATGCCCATGTATGGGCAAAGCTTCACACTTACGCAAGCGTCTAACCACGGCCTAAATGCTCCATCCACTGGAGGTGCGTAAAAATATTGAAGTGTTATAATTTATATCGGCATAATTGAAGATTATATTTTTTGTGTCTGCCAGGGGGCCAAGCCGGAGAATTTACGAGAGCTCAGGGCTTCTTAGCTTATTACGAGGTATATGTAGAGCAATTTGGAAACTTTTTATGGGTGAATGACAACTGACGACGAGCTCTTAACTATTGATTTGTAGATCTGCAAAAGCATCAAAGGTCAGGGGTGGACCGTGGTGAGAGATGACACTGGGGCGATTGGACCCTACGCTTACAAGGGGGATCAGTGGGTATCATTCGATGATGTGGACATGATTCGCAAAAAATCTCAATATGTTAAGGACATGGGAATTGGAGGGGCTATGATTTGGGCTCTTGATTTGGTAAGTAAATTAATTAGTTCGATCGGCGTACATAGACAAAAAGTTTTAATGCTTGCGTTATTTTAGGACGACTTCCGAAATGTGTGCGGGTGTGAGAAACATCCACTTTTGAAAACTATTAATCGAGTACTAAGAGACTATCCAGAACCAGATCCAAAGTGCAATTTGTAGCGATTTAGTCATTCTAAGCCATAATATTTAATTACTTTTTAATAATTATTAATTAGAATTAGCAAAGTAGCACGTAGTTTATAGCATAGTACGAAATACTCAAATTGTCTTTTAGCAGGGTTATTAGTAATGATGCGGGGTTAAACGTGTAAATAATTGTAAATATATGTAAATCTAAATAGGAGGGGTCACAATGTTTAATAGGATTCTAAATACGTTTCGTTGCATTTATTTGTGTGTCAATGTTGAAATTAGTCATACTTTATTTATTCTAGCTATTTATATAATTTATATAGTTGAATAAACTAGGAAGAGATTTAGCAGAATTTGTTAGTACTGTAAAGGCATATACTCGTCGTCAAAAAGACATTTAACAGTAGAAGGTGAAGTTGCTAAAGATCGGCTCACTCGTAAAATTGCACTCGAACGGTTATTCAAGAGTATGTTGCTTTCCCCTCATTCTCCGTTCATCATTTTGGTTACGTGTTTTAGTGGGTAGCTTATTACAGAATAAGCGAAGGCAACCAAATGCTATTTTCCAAGCTCCAATTGTCTGGAGGTTGGAGAATGGCAAGCAAGATTTGCGAGCTTACTACAATTTATTTACGATCTCTGCTATCGTCTGGCTGTGTCGATTCGGTGCCAGATCGTCCCAGCCGTGGGGAAAAGGGATCGGCTCTCCCCAATCTTGGAGAAAAGGGGTCGCTCCGACCTAATCTAGGACTAAGTGGTGCTCTAGGTCGAAGGTCAAAGATGGGATCGGGTGTGGTGTCACGATAGGGTGGACGTCTCTTAACGTGTGACCTTGTCTCAAGCTCCTCGTCCTCATCAATTGACGGTGACGCCATGTCCCCAGATCTACCTAACCTGTGCGTGTTTACATAACAAGAGTATCAGTCAATATATGCATTTCGCACATATAATTTTAAATTTCTACTGAACGAACAATTAATGATTTAATGATTATAAGACAATATTTTTACCTGGGCGAGAATGGCTGACCCCGTTGATGTACCGTAAAACCCTCGTGCGAACTTCGACCTAGTCTCGGAGTAAAATTGCGACGCTCTATTGCAGGAATGTAACAAGTGAGATGATTTTATTACTTAATTGTTCTACAGTTACACAATCTACGGATAAAACAGATGAGACATAAAAAGATCACTCCACACTGGCAGCAACATCACAAATATCAGGACAAACAAACAATAAGCACTAAACAAATAGAATCTAGTAACGTTACAGGTTGTTGCTGCATCGCACAATCGCTGCTGCTGGGCAATGATGAGACAGTCACAGGACAATACTAATTATTCTCAAAATATCTAAGTAATTAGCACATACTACAAATACTTCGTCTACAACAATGTCTGAAATACAGGTACGTTACGGTAACAGTACAATTGACGAGTTACATATGGGGTGACACATCGTATAATAAGACTACATATTAGTAAACAGGGTGAAGAATTGCTTCTGACAAACACAAAGTCGTGTAGTGCGTGTGATATGCAAATGAATATAAATAAATGAGTAATAGTGTGTGATTGCAATAGTTTTGGTTAAAAAAGCATTATGTTTGAGTGTAAATAGTGATATGTGCATGGAACATGCGAGTTTTTGAGTTAAATGTGCAGGTGAACTAACCTTTGACTGGCACAATAATGGCCCAGTTAGAATTGTGAAGCATTTTAAGGAGTGGTTTCATGTCTATTGTTGTGTCTCCTCTGTGTTCGGAGGATTCGGCAACGGTATCGACGACGGATCGCTTCTTTCGTCGACCGAGGCGGGGGCCGAACCACATTCCTGCGCTAGAAGTGGCCGGAGTCCCACCGCGCTTGTCGACCTCGCCGTCCTCGGAGGGGGAGGATTCCACTTGGAAGGAGGATGGGGGTGGCAGAAAGTTGGGATCAACCATCAAGGGGTTAATGTCTTCGTACTCGGTGTAGTATGCTGACTCCACGGGCAAATGCCAAAATGCGCGTTTGCCCACTCGGGGGAAGGGGATAAGTTGTCGCTTCATTTCATGAAATCCTGAATCACAATTAAGGGCATACCATTATTAGGCTGCATGTTTCCTGTGTGTCTATAAATTGTGCACCCATCGTCTCAACTTACCTCCATCTCTTCCTATTCTTGGAAATGGGATGAGACCTGTTTGTTTTTATAAGGAAATAAGTGTCCTAGCCTTTTGTACCTCTCATTACCGAATGTGACCTTGAATACGAGTTAGTGTTGTTCATTACCTGGTGAATTGCCAGAACGTCCCACCCGAGGAAAGGGAATTATAGAGTTGCCTTTCTCTCCTTGTTGTGCTGAACAAGCACATCAAATTGTACACCATTGTATTTACACCCCATTTCACCACAATTAATCAAGACAACACTCACCATTAGCAATTCCAATCGCAACACTGATTAAGGTGACCAAAGCAAGAAAGAAATTCATGGTTGTGAATATCTGTAGTCTCACAATACAATAGGACGAGGAACAAAAGAGAGGTGGGGGAAGGTGAGAAAGAGGGGTTGAATGACGCTACGAGTAGAGAAAGTCCCAGTCTCTCTGGAGATATGGCTGGAAGACTTGTTGCTTCGAAATCCAAAGATGTTGGACAACTGGGGAACTGGAGGAGCCTTCCGTCGTATTTATACTCGTCGACAAATACGTAGGACGCCCAGACCTACGACTTTCATTACAGACTAACCAAGCAACCATATAGGCAGCCAGTGGATTACGTATGTACATGAACCAAAAAGATCCTGAGAAATATTTTCGTCCAGTTTGTTTTGTTTCCGTGTGAGCTTCTCCAACATCACATGGCGATGTATACCGAGGGGGCCGAAGAAAAGTGGGTTGGGTGGGGTGTTGATTATTAAGTCGCCAGATCTTGTGGAGCCCAAAGGTCCCTCTTTATGTGTGGGCAGTACGGGGACTGACTTGGTGAGTGAGTCGCAGTGAGTCTGCCGTGTCCTCGATTACGAACGACGAATGAAGGAGAAAACAAATAAATGACATTTTCCCCAGTTTAGACTTCATTAAAGTTGTTCATGTCCACGTCTAGATTAAGCTGATGAAAATTTATTGAAACCTGACATCCAGGCGGGCTAAGGGGATTAGTCTTCTCCGAACCGTTCCTCGCAAACTGTTGCTTCTTCGCTTCCATTCTTCTGTTTTCATTTCGACTCGAGTTTTGGAGTGAGTTAGCAATCACAGAGAAGGCAATAATGACTTTCACTTAATCTTTCCCTCCCTGTGTGGCTCCCTTCTTCTTAAAATAGTTGAATGAATGACGTATTATTATCATGTCTGCCCGGTCGGTCGGGTTGCTTACCCAGCTACGATTAGTATTTAGCTTACTTAAAGCAGGAGTGGATTATTTGCCCCATTTTCAATGTTGATCTAAAAATATTTGTCTGAAACGCATTTCCTTTTTGGGCGGATAGTGTTAGGGATATCGTATAATTTCAGAAAATGATAAATAAAATATTTGTATTAGGGTAACATTGAAATTTTAAGAAATCTACAGTTGACAGTGCAGATGTTACACAACCCGAGCTAGTCATTTTCTTCGATTGTTTCTTTAAACTTTCTCCGCCTAGTCATCTACAAGGTTTGTCCTAAAAATTGCTAGAATTAAAATTCGAATTTAACAAAATTAAAATTACCATGCATGATACGATGGCTTAGCTATGTAGATATATTACATATGTCCATATAAATAATGCATTAATATCTAGATGAAACCATAAGCATTTGAAGAGTTTCTTGTACTTTATTCAACAAATAATTCAATTTCAATTTCATAGTTGCAGTTTTTATTCAGCGATTTGTTTGTCATATCTACATACGTCGATAATGATATGCATAGGTAAATATGTGTGTGTATGGGACTGCCATTGAATATAACAGGTGTCACATTACACACAACTAAACTATTTGTAAGCCTCTTAATTCAACATCAATTGGTGTTTTGTAAAGAAGAATACTTACACTTTTAGCGTTTGATTGATTTTGTATTTACTGATATTTTTGTAACCGCCATAAACTCGCTCAACAATAAATTACTTCCTCCTGGTAGCCTTCCCGTGCGAGAACTAAGGAACGAGGTAAAATGCTCCTCACAAGTTTTGAACATGCCAATTGTGCTTTTATAAAGCGAAATAATTTCAAGCAAGAAGACGGTTCCGCATAGAACCATTAAAATGGAGTACATTATCAGAAATCCTTGAAAGGCAGCGATTCCAAATCCCTCCCTAACAATGTTATTGGCGTTATCGCAATGAGCATCGTCCTTGATATTCTCCCCTCCGTCGATTGTTGTAAGAGTCGTACAATTAAACTTCATTAGGAATAGCTGTCGATCCCTTCTGTCCTCATATCTGCTAAAATACTCTTGCCATTTCTCATAAAAACCGAATTCGTACAATGACATGGCAGTGACTTGGAAAATAGGGAAGAAAAATGATCTCGCACATGTCCAATGATATGACTGCGCCAAGTCTCTGTGAATCATGGGACTCACTGTCACAGAAAGTTGTGGAAGATGAGCAGAAGAAAATTTGCTCAACTTATGAAGTCGAACAACTGTGTCAAATATGACAAATTTGTAAAGTGACGAATTATAAGCGATTTCTATTTCATCGTCATCGTCATCATCGCTCTCCTTCGGCTTATCTTGGACATTATTGCCCTTAATTTTATTTAACAAGTCAATCAAAAATGCTGCTGTGTCAGAAACTCGTTCGATTCTATTCATCGTCTCATTTAATTGCCACGGCATTTTCAGTCCCTGGTCCTTTTTAGCTCCCTCAATATCATCCTTCAACCTGTCCAATATCCCGCCATGCATTGAAAAAATCCGCAATTTGCTTTCCAACAACTGGTCCAAATTTCCAGGAACTATCGGAGATGTTGGGCGAATCCAGACCGCAAGCATTACTGATTTGTACGAGCTACTGAATCCGAATGCGATCAAAAGCCAGTAGAAAACCATTACTCGACACGCGGTGAGATTTCTAGCCATTTCCTCGTTTCTCTTATAAACTGCCTTTAATTTGGTAAAAGCTGGTGCAGATTGTTCCACTGCGCTGGCGAGGATAAGAAAACAAAGGCTCTGAAAAAGGTACGCGAGTTTACCAAACTTTTTAAAAATTCGAAAGTAAATGCTGAAAATGGTGAGGATCACAATCACGCCACATCCCACAACGGATACCCAAATCTTCCAGTGAAACGTGTTCCATAATGCATTCAGGCTGATGTTAACCACTTGAGACGAGGATAGCGTGTCGACGATGGCAAAAGTGAAGTGGTCCACTCTGCTGTTGATATGAATCCCATCAAATCTGTCCAACTTTAGTCGCATTTCTTTGTAGGAATGTTCTGTTTGAATCTCATGCCGATAAACGTTCTCCATGGTAAGCGCTATCAAGGAGAGTTTAAACTTTCCTATAAAGCTTATCATTTCGCCGAGATTTGAGGCGATGCTAAAATTATGATGATGTGATGCTTCACTCAGGACACATGTGCTGCCCGTGGAAAAAGCTCTGCCTTTGATATTCCAAAGATCACAGTCTTCTTTTAATCTCGGTTTTGACCCCGTGAGGACAAGATGTTTTAGGAAATTTCGATGCACTTTAGTCCAAGAACTTTCAAGAAGGGGAATCCACGTTTGAGCTCCTTCTTGAACTTTGGAAATCACATCGCTTCGCAATGTGCAATGCATGCAAATAACCGAAATAGAAACGGGTTGAAAGTTTGCTGGTCCTTTTGATGAATCATGATTATCCAGATTAAGTAGAAATATTTTTGTAGGTGTTGTAAACTTAAAAATCACTTTAGGCCCAAAGTCTGCTGTTGTCAAAAACTTCCAGGGGGAGTCAATCAATGTGTTAAAGGCTGGCTGATGCAGGTCTAAGAGTGTGCAAATAAAAATAAAATCTGGAATTCTGTTCATATTCGTGAGTGATCTCTCAGTGAAAAAGATGCTCCTCCAAGACAGCTTCAACTGAGATTTGCCTTCTGAGCTGAACGATTGATCCAGGAAGTAAAACTTTGCGAAACAAGCAGAATGCTTCCTCTGATGGTATGGATAGCGCACAATGTCATCGTATTTCCAAGTTCGAATGGAAGCCAGGGTTTCGGATAATTTGAAAACGTCCGTTGTTAATACGACCATAGATGGTTGCTGGTGGGTTGAAGATCCAAAAGATTGGAAATGAGTCTGAAGTTTATGTAAAAGTGCTAAATCTTTGTCCAGCGTGTTCAAATTCACGGTTACTTGAATGACGCACTCTTCAAAATTTTCTAAAAGACTTTTCTGTGGTCTCCAAATTGCCATAATTGTCAAAGGACTAAAAATCGCTAATATCACAAATGTGAGGAATATTATTAGTGTAATTGGATGGAACATGATTGTAAATATGCAAAATATTAAATATACATCTATTCAAGTTAGTAGCAACTTGTAAACTGAACAAGGAAATGCTGGTAAATTGGTCACAAGTAAGGAATACCCACTTCAAAAGAGAACTAAAAGAACTTTGAGAGTCCTTTTAATGAACCCTCAATTCTCACTCCAGAAGATAAGTAGTTCCTGTGTACAGGATTACGTAATGCAAATATTTTGCATTTTTTGCCTATTTACAGAATTTCACTAACTTACATTAATGTATGCTAAATTTTCATGTGTATTTCTGAATTTAAATTGTACAATATTTTTACATTGAATACATGACAGACATACAGATTGACTAGGGCTACGTAGACCCCATCCCACTAAATGCTTAATAAATGGAAATATCTAAATTCGTGTCCTGAATTGAATGCATTCCAAGAAAAATGGCACATAGTTCATTCTTATTCAAAAACTTTGAATGAATAATGATGAGACAAATTTATTTACCAATATCAGCGCATGGATAACATTGGACAATGAACCTCACACACACATAAAAGTTTGGGTAAAATTTCTACAAATTGATGCACAAACAATTTTAGTTATGAAAGAAGAAAGCAATTTATTGTTGATCTATTATATAAAAGTTGCAGCATGTCATGTCCGAAAAGATAAGATTAAAAGCCACTTATGTACAACTATTTATATAAATCGGCTATGATTACTTGTGCGATCTGCTCATGGTCGTGTTCTCCACTCGCAGTCCATAATAAACCATGTCCTCCTTGGTAAGGTCACAACACTGAACGCGCAAGTTGTTCAGAGCAGTATCGTCCCTCGCTGTAATTAGAATACACAATTAATGGTATGCGAAATTGATCATATTATTGCACATCTGATTGCTTACTGATTCCTTGGTCATCTTGGACTTGTGTTTGAATGCCACAAATGTACTCGTGGCTGTCACATATCCTCGGATTGGTCCACTCACCCCATCCCTCTCCGTCCAACTCCATAAAACCGCTCGTACTTCCAGCGCATAAAATTCGCAAATTGTTGGTCGCAGTTTCATCAACAATGGCAGTATCTTCCTCAACTACGCGGAGCATAAACCCAACGGCGTAACCGTTACCGTTGCATCTGTGCATTGCTTTGTATCTGCCAAAGGTTCCTTCCTTGGATGTTATGAAATTCGCTATGTCTCCAGTCACAGGGTTGCCGCATACGAGCTTGATGGCGTTGAGGCAGGAGTCATCCGTCAGTCCATCCCATGCATCCCAAGGCTTAATTATGTTTAAATTATCTTTTAGCTTAATTATCTTAATTACTTGGAGTAAATAATAATTGCATACCTCAACTTTTATTTGCATCGAAATAACTAAAAATAAAATAAATTTTATGCAGTTGACACTTGAGAAAAAATAAGTTAAATTTGTATGTGGCTGGATTTAGAAGTAACCTTTGGAGCCTGGTGGACAGTACTCGAATTCTCCCCAAGTCCCCCAATTCGTTAAAATTGGGGAGGTAAGTGTTTGAGCAGTAAAGGCCTCCCCCACCAAGAAGGCCAACCCCACAGCGACCAAAGTGAAAAATGCTGTCATTCTAGCAAAGTAATAATCGAGGACCACCAAATCAATTGGGAAAGGACGGATCAATGGCACGATCTGGAATGATACTTTATTTATTACAAATCAATGTGCTAACTCCTTTTCAGACTGTTCAAGTGGAATTCCCAGGGAAAATAACTAATGCGACTTATCAGTGTCATCCGATGCGCAGGTGTTATCTCTCATTACATAACTCAAATACACATCTGTCAATCATGATGCAAGTCTTAATTAAATAATTAGAAACACTTTAGAATAATACTTAGGACACCGGCTTTAACAAGGCAAAAGTCATATCCTCCAATGTGCAATTATTTTAAACTGCATATTTGTACCACCCACAAATCAGTCCATTTGTACGTCGCATGTCAGAGAGGACCAGTTATATGTAGTCTGTGGCACCGCATATTTGCTAATTAGGTGCATGTACAAGGATCATATTCCTTGTTAAACGTCACCTTCTTTACATTGCAAAATTGGAATAAAATAAGTCGACCATGAAATGAAACGCGGCTCAGTCTACTTGCCACGCTATGAACTGAACGCAATTAAAAAGACACACTCCAATTTGTTGGACCTTATATTTCTCTCATTGCTTCTTCAAAGTCCGACCATCAGACAGACAACATAATGAATTAACAATCAGTATTGCCCACACAGTGACATCGGTCAGGCACTTTTATCTATCTAATTTGGTGGTACATTAATTTTTACAACTTGTTTTTTTAGTATTTCATATTTATTAAGGCATCTGTTTGACAACATTGTTGTTTTACAAATGAAGATCATTGTTTTAGTGGTCTCCTAAAAGTGCTTTGTATTCGTGTACCTCTTGTTGTGACCAGACCAAAAGTTTTTAGAAATGTGACAGAGACAGATCATCATTTCACAACTGCATAAATGCCGTGGGTTGAAAATGCTCGAATTGGAATTTTTAATTCTGTTAAGTGTTTGGGTTAATACTGCAATCGCTAATACCCTCTTTTCAACCTACTCACAATCTGCCCAAAATTTTCTACTGTAAATTTATCAAATTGTACTGAATTAACTAAAATTTTAATACTTTATAAATAGTTGATTTTGTGTTACAGCTCGACGAGCGGAAGTGGGAGGAGCGACGTGGTTGGGAGAGGAGGAGGGTGGGGAGACCATGGAGTGACCTCTTTCTTGGACAAGATTGCGTCTCTCTTGACCTTTCTCTCATTTGGAGTTTTTCTTCTCAACCTTCTTTTGAATGCTCTTTTGGTAACACAATAATTTTGCATAAGTGCAATACCAAATATGGAAAGTAATATGAAGCATTTTGTAGTTGGGAAGCACGCTATTTGGATTGCGACCTACCGGTAACAATATTTAGTTGTCAATTTATATGCTGCATATATTTGCTATAAACAGACTAATCCTTGACGAGCATAATTGTCTAGGCACTGGGACAGGAGGAGGAACCGGAACTGGTGGAGGCACAGGGGGTGGAACCGGTGGAGGTACTGGAGGTGGAACCGGGGGTGGAACCGGGGGTGGAACCGGAGGTGGAACCGGGGGTGGCGGTGGAGGTACTGGAGGAGGTACAGTCACCGTAGCCCCCATTTTGACGGCAACGGGAACTGGATCTGGCGGAACGATAATTGGTATTACAGCGGGGGGAATTACCATAACAGGAACGGGGGACGGGACAGGTGGGATTTCGGTGGGTCGTTCGAGAGGTGAATTATTTGTTAAATAAAGTATTCAAGATTCTCCTATTTCATTTTATGTTTTGCACTTCCTCTGTGTCCAGGAAAACGGTCCACATTGGAGGCAAACATTAAGTCGACTCAAATAGCAAACTTGATGGCCAGGGAGCTAATGGTCATGATTGAATCGGTGGTTGCTGCCGATGAGGAGTGCTTGCCCCAACTGCTCTGCCTGGTCAACCGGAGAGCGTCCATTGCCGGAAGCGGATTCCAATACCTGATGCCATTGTGCAGGTTCGTTTCATCCTTCCCTAAATTTACGTTGCATGTTTTTTAAATTGAAATGATTTGGAAATCCCAGTGTTGGAATCTCATATTTTGGAGGACTTGGACGCAATATGTCGTCATACATTGATGCCATTTACGATGGAGTAGAGGAGCATAATTGTAACGAGAAATATTCACAGTGCAACTAGGACATTTTACACATGCACTTTTGGAAACTCTACAATGGGGCATAAATTAGGTCTGTGGTGTTTGAATGTGCAGATGTTATTTGAATTTAAAATGACACAATCAGTGGTGAAGGGTTACAAAAGAGTTGTGTTTGTTGTACTCCAATTCAGGAGAAATGTACATTTTGAGAAATAAATAACCTGTGTTTGAAATTATGTTTTGAATTGCATATTTGGGGAATTTTCTTGCAATTTAGAGAGGTAAGCAAGTCAATTTCGTGAATATGCGGCATAAAAGTACATCCCTCTGCAAAACGTTACCACAAACAACCCCTCAAGATGTACACCGCTCAAGGCAAAACCATCCCATTAATTGTCTTCTTCTCCTCCTTCCTTTTAACAAGATACAGCAGAACAATCCTCCTAAAAGACTCGTCAAGAGTGGGTAAAATAACAGCATCCAAGCAGCATTGGTCGTACAGGTAACAATATACGTACACATGTACTTGGGATTAGTTCTTATACGATTGGGCGCAGTGCAGGTGCTGCTGTAGAGAACTTTACTTTGATACACGCTGCATTGTTGATGCGAGCGTTTGCATCTTTTATTTCACAAGACTTTTCATGTGCTCTCTTGATAGTTGGTCATGCAGTTAGTTGCACATTGGAAACTAGGGAGAACGCATCATACACATTTTTCCTCTATGTATTTACGTTATTATCGTGGTCGACTGAACATTTCACAAGCTAATGAACAGTAGTGGTTTATTTTGTAATAATTTTAGACCAAGGTTTTCCTTACTCCTTGTGTAATGCATACCGCATTGGCAAAACATTTCTAGATTTTCGTAAAAAAAATATTCCAACCCTGTCATTGCGATTGACTTCGTTTCTGGGATTTGGACACATGATTTCAACAAGATTGCATGGTAAGTTTTTGACAAAATAAGTATTTAATAGGATTTAAAGAGAGTAGGAGGGAATTAAAAGAACATGGCTTTGTCCACCCCTGCGTGATTACTGACTTAAATATACGACTCGAAGTAACTTTCAGTTTTGCAGAGACCAAAAAGTGTTAAGTCGGCGACTTTATACGGAGGAGGAGAGTGGACTTGTTTGTTTTTTGAGACGAGATTTTCCGTGACTTGGGCCAGGATTAAGGCGAGATAAAATTAGTCCCTTTATTACAATTTTGTCCCAAGTGTTTAAGCCCTTGATCCCTTAAACTAATGAAACGATTGCACGGCAATTGCGTAAAGAATACGCGACTCGCAATATAAATTCAGCTTTTCAGAAATAATAAAACTCCGGATGTTGGAATTTTATTTCGGAAAAAGAGATTTAATATTGTATATGCATTTTTTCCAAAGATTGGTGTGACGGACGTGTTTATCCTTTAAATACACTTAACTACTTAAACTGGGTCGGCAAAATACCCAGCAATCCTTGCAGTTTAAATAGCTCATTTTTACGTTTCTCATGCATGTATTGAGGCAGCCAGCCATACATAAATGCATGCACCTCCTCGTCGTACATAAAGCCTATTGAATTGAAGCAGTTTGAAAGTTTTTTTCTGCATGCATTTGAAAAAATAAAAACAAAATGACTCCGTTTGGGGCGATGCAGGTAGCCGTCAATTTGTTATTGTCGAGGCTTTTACATATTTTACCGGTGTGGCACAGTTATAGTAATGAACGAAATAAAGATAACCTGTCATATAGATAATTTAAGTGATTAAGCGAATATGATAACTTGTGCATCCATATCTACCAACCTACCGTAAACAAGTATAATGAGTTATGGTAAACTGTCGTTGAAAGAACTGCACAATTTTATTACAACTACAAATACATACACGCATACAAATATTGATCTTCATATCTAATGTTTTATGCCTTTTATGGCTGATTATACTTCTAGCACCAAATGCCAAGTTAATAATTAACAGTAACCGCAGTCCCGTCCTGCACATAAAAGTACAAACAGTGGGAAAAGTTTTTCAGACTCATCCGTAAAATGAGATACGTAGAATAGTTTTGCAAATCAAATTATATAAATACAAACTAAATATTTCAAATATACGAGAAAACACGCTTTTGGCTTCATTAAGGAACCGTTTTGTGTTTGATTTGGTAGGAATTTGCATATAAAAGTGCGAAATATTTCCGGATAGAGAAAATTCCCGTCTCATTTATGCCTAAACACACACTTACTACTTAATAAAATTTGTTATTCACTGCTCCATTGTCACATTTCATTGCAGATCTGCGGAATTTGTTGGTGCGCGTAAAAAGTAAAGTTGAATGGACTTTGATGACCACCAGGAAAAGCAGTACAGTTTGCAGTTTGTGTTTAAAAGTAATTCACATCTTTGCGTGAAGTGACTAAAAAAGAAGTCGTGTCGTGCTAATTCAATTTGTGTGCAAGTGAGCCGAGCGACGAACAGCTCTCGTCTGAAATCCAGATTGTTTCAACAGTGAAATCATCTTCTTTACTACGCGATACGAATCCGTGTTTCTGCATTTTGAAATTCGGAAGTGTCGTCTCTAATTATTAAGCCAGCTTTTTTCTCATACCATGAAAGACAGTGGTGGTGGCACAGACACTTTATTAAAACAAAATGGGGATGGTAGCGGAAGTGGTGTGAACAGCAACGACAATAATCCACATCCCACATCACCTGGCGTGACCTCAGCTTCCAGTTCTTTGGGCGAATCTTTTCGAGAAAGTGGTAAGAAAATTATCGTCATTCCCATTCCTCGTATGACTTCCTCGATTAGGAGATTGCAAGCAATTTGTGTCACTTTTCCCGTTCTTGGTGAACTTTTCACCATGAGTTGTTGCATATTTTCTGAATAATTCAATTTCAGTGAGTCAGTGTACATTATGAAGGACTAAGTTGGTTTTGTTCCTACGCACTCTCCAAAAAATGAGGAGGTACGAGCATAAATATTTTAGATATATTTATGTACATGCATCAAAAGTGGGTGCGTTAAGTAAGTGCGTTTGTGTACATACAAATATTTATGTAAACGCATGGAAGCAGTATAAGAAATGAGGGACTCGTAAGTACTACAGTAGCAAAAGTTCCATTATGTTATTATGTACATGGTTTCACTTGAGTGCGTACATACATACACACGCTGACATTATTGGATTTCAAAGCTGCGTACCAACTACCAACTGGAACCAAGAGCGTCGTTTTTTATGAAGTGGAGTATGTAGTCTCAAACTTAACAAAACAAGTTTAAAACGTGAATGACAATCTGCAGCAGCAGAGCAGAATTTGGTTTTAGGAAATCCATATTATCCACTTAGGCAGACAGACACGTTGTTTGGTTTTGGATGGTGATTGGTGTGGGCGTATATAAACAAAATATTTAAAAGTGCAAGGCCTGTCCGGTCGAAAAGTTGGATGTCAGTGGGCGATGCAGTTTTAGACAACATTGTTGCATAATTTTTATTTGTATTGAGATGCAGTCTTATAACAACTCATATTTATTCGTGTGTCCCTAAAGAGCTCCAGACAAATATGTACACATGCACACCAACTCGATCTGATTCTAACGCTTGGCAGACAATGAGACATTTGGCAGACGACTACTGCAGACAAAATCAAACTCACAATTTTAAAAGTTGAAACCGGAATGGCGACTTTATGCAAAATTTGAATAGATTTTGATTAAAAGGTGTGTTCTTGATTGAATAATAATAATGTAACCTGAACTCCAATGGCTGCCGGTTGGTTCACTCATTCATACATTACAAATGTAGGATATTTAGCATTAATAGCAATTACAGTGAATCAACTTCCCGATTCCTTTTCCTGCACCTTACGTGGATTCAAGTATGTACGTGTCATTTCTGCTACTTTTCATGTAATTTATCACCCCACATTATTCCAAAGTTCAACAAAGTCCCTTCTTTCTCCTGTTGCGGCTGTTGCTGCTTATTTTTTGTAATAATAAATCCTACTCTGACCGCACCACTTAACCCACGGCATTCTGGCAGTCGGGCTCTCATGATAAAACATTGACTTGGATGCGTCACTGAAAGCGGCAGTAGCAAGCAGACATGGAATGATAATTTATTCGGTAAAACCGCAGGAAAATCTATTTTTTCTTCGAATTTTAAATTTAAATTTGTAATTCAATACTGGCTAATTTTCCGACAAAATGAGAGGAAATGAAAGAAACAAGATTTATGTAGTGACATAGCACTAACAATATTCTAAGGAAAAAATTGGCGCAAATGTTAATACTCACAATACATAATTTCTCTTATTCAGCAAAATCCTAGTCAATAACCCACACATCCTCAACTCAGTGCATATTAATGCAAAAATTATGGCTAACAAATGTATACTATTATCATATGTTTCCATTTATTTTAACTATGATTTATTTTGAATAAATAAAACTATATAAAATATAAAACTATAAAAACCGATATAAAACTTAAAATAATATCCCATAAACCTAACCCAACCTTGAAGGTGCATAATCGAGTCAGCATTGAAAGAATTTGATCTTCGAATTCTTAGAAAGTGATTCAATTCGTTTAATAACCATGGCATTTGCGCCAATTTTTTCCTTAGAATATTGTTAGTGCTATGTCACTACATAAATCTTGTTTCTTTCATTTCCTCTCATTTTGTCGGAAAATTAGCCAGTATTGAATTACAAATTTAAATTTAAAATTCGAAGAAAAAATAGATTTTCCTGCGGTTTTACCGAATAAATTATTTAAAACTTTTCATCAATTTTTTACTATTTTCATATTTTATTAATTTAATACGAATGTAATGGAAAGATTATCGAAGTTTTATGACAGTACGGAATTCGATCAAATACAAATTATTGTAACATTCACATCTATATACAAATAAGTATCTACTTTAATTTGATAACTTTTCCCGTAACCGTTCCATCTCTTTCACCAACTTTGGATTCGGTGACTTGCACAACTTTGTATCATCCTGCTGTAAAATTGCTACACCGTTTAGAGTCCGCACTCGACTTAGCGCCACATAAGCCTGTCCGTGAGCAAATAATTCTGGTCCAAGATACACCACAGCCAAGTCTACTGTAATTCCCTGTACTTTATGTACAGTAACAGCCCAGCAAAGAACGATTGGAAGCATCCTACGTCTAATTTCCTCACTGCCGCGTCCGTTGTTGTAGACAACTTCTTCAGGGCACAAGCTATAGACACCGTCTGTACCTCCACAAATCCTTGGGTCGTCAAATTTCACCTGTACGCTTTCCGGCAGGTCACCTATGTGATGCTGTTCCCTAGCTAGCATATTCCAAGTGAACCCAACAATCGTTCCCATCGACCCATTGACTAGGTACCGGTTTGTGGTGGAATTACGGATGACCATTATTTTAGAGCCAACGGCCAGCTCGATGTTTGGAAGAAATCCACCGCACTTATTACTGTCTCTTGAACTTCGAGATGGAGGAGCTTGGCATCCTAATTTTGCACCTGAGTTGAATGTGTCTCTCGCCCGAATTTTGTAAACGGTCTTGCTAGGATCATTAAGGATTTGTCTTGTCCGTAAACGGTTGTGATGTGTTGTTTGTGCTCGGGTAGGGTAAATACGTATGGCGTCTCTAAATTTCTCTTGCATCTCCTTCACCTGAGGAGATGACGACTCATTGTCAGTAAATTCCCTGGTTCTAAGGGTCTCGAGATCTTCTGTTGTAAGATTTCCTTCCCGGAGATTGTTACAAATTTGTAGTAGCGGATCTCTTCCCTGAGGCATATTTATCAGCAATTCTCGAAAGTCGAAAGTGTGCCAAATGTTCTCCTCTCCGAGAAACAATTGAGGTGTCTCGTAAATGCAATGTCCGTTGACTGGTTCTAACTGGAAAAGATCACCGACGCAAATTATGTTCTTTCCTCCAAAAGCTATCTCAGAATCGAAACAATCACGAAGACGCTGATCTATTTGCCTAAAAACCTGTAAGAGATTAAAAATGCGACTGAGTTATTTTCGTATAATTTTTAATATCATGGACCATGCTAAAATCATATATATTTAAAGTAAAGTAACACACCTCGTAGGAAATCATCGACACTTCATCCAGAATGACCCATTCCAGATGACGGAATTTATCTCGCATTCTTTGTAACATTTGTGCACCTAGTTTAGAGTATTTTGGAACAGACCCAGACTCAACAGCAAGATTAAATGTGCGATGAAGTGTTTGCCCGCTAATATTTATGTTGCAACTCCAGTCGGTGCCGCAAGAACAACAGAATCCCTGCCAGGACCGCCATCTTTTGTCCGTATTAAATTTGTAAGTAATGAGATCAGGAACGACTTTCCTGTTCCCCCAGCACCAGAAATGAACAATTTTAATTGTTGTCCAGTTGAGTCGTCCAGGTAACGTTCAACGAGCTGATAGATTTCCTTCTGGTCTTGATTAGTTTTGGCCAGCTCTGTTGCAAAACTTTGAGCGTCCATAAGAGGAATTTCATATACGTCTCGACTAGTTTGCACGACATTACTTGCATTAAACACATCTGGGAAGTAATCCCCGCTATCCACTGGTTCAATTTCGTCAAATTCTGCAACTTTCTCAACTGCAGATTCCAGTGCTTTCTCCATTTCTAGTCGAATGAAGGGAAAGTTGGCATTGGTTCTCATATCATTCTTTCGCCTTTCATAAGCATTTTGAAGCGACTCTCCTGGAATTGTCAATTCTAATTCATTTCTGAATGGAATATATAACATCAGGTGGGAATAAATAAAATTCGCAGAGTCCGTTTCACTATGAAATGAAGGACATTTTATAATGGCATATGTGTCGCGCTCTATCCACAATCCCATCGATCGGTCCATAAGATAAAATGGGCGGTGTCCCCTTCGTTGAGCCATAGCTTCGTCTTCTATGCCTTCATCCAAGTCGTCATCAGCATATTGTGGGCTTCGGTTTGGCCGATATTTTGATGCGAATTCGAAGAGGCAAATTTCATCTAGGTTTTCCGGACGCTGGCAATACTTGTCAATGATGTTCCTGTAAATGAACACAGACCTGATTTAATATAATATTGATGAATTAAAATTCTTGAAATTTTACCTAGCGAAGTTAACGTCGTTGCCATTTAAAAAGTTATCCTTTCTAAGCATTCGAATCCGATCCATCGGCCGGAAAGTGGGGATAAATACAAAGCCCCGAGAAGAAAATCGCATTGGCAAATTGCATATTCGGGCTGCACACTCCTGTGAAGATACTGTTCGTCGATTCAATAAAAGTCGGGCGACTTTGTCCATTTGAATCCGGATTGGCTGCCGGCTTTCCCTAAGGGCCTGGAGAGTACGACGGATGTCTTCGCGAAGGGTCTCGGATTCATTCTTTCCAATATATTTGGCGATGTAGAGGGCCACTGCGGCAACTCCAATTACTGGCTGAATATCCATGTTGCAGCGAAGCAGCGACAATAGTTTGGGATGATAGTTGTTTATCCACACTTCTGCTTCAGTCCTTCGTAAAATGACGCCACGCCCCCGGCTCCGACTATCTTCATCTGGTGCTAAGCACGTCGTAGAAACAGCAGCACGTGGGAACCCAAAACGACACGACTCACCCTTTTTAAAGCATGTTGGGGTATTCTTATGCGTTTGGTAGCGTCGGATAATTTCAACCATTTTTGATCCTCTGCTGAGCGAGCACGAAACATTTTGGTCGATAAAAGCGATCCCTTCAGGGGTTGAAAAGTCCGGTGCATTTTCCACCCAAATGAGTGAGTGAAGATGTGGGCTCCCCCTGTCCTGAAATTCTACCCTGAATGTGTAGTCATTTACGGGGCGTCCAAATATTGTGGGGTCACTTGTCAGCAACTTAATAAGCTCCTGCGTCCGTAAGTTAAAATGTCGCGCCGCTGCTACCGGATTGGAATTCAAAAGTTCACGACGTTCTTCATACGGGAGCGCCTGAATATCTTCTGGAACTGGATCATTACGGGATGCTTTCCACATTGCTGTAAGAATATCGGCAGAACCAATATCGTCAGTGGATACGGTTAAGAAAAAGGTCGGATTTCCGAGCCGGGTAACTAACGCCATGATATCGCCCGTGTATTTCTTCCAATATGACTTTGAACCACGAATAGCACTCATGTATAGGTGAATGTTTTCTGCAGCGGGTACATTCTCGTTAGCTGAATCTTGATACACCATGTTACCACACACGGCAATCTTGGAAGAAATGATGGATTGTTCGGATCTCGACAAAGCGTAAAAGAGGTAGTCATTGCGGTGAAATCGTGAATCAGCGGACATTACTCTTGTATGAAAATATCCATGGGGGGTTAATTTCCCAGTGTGTTCTTCATCCCTCTTTTCATCCAACCCATATTTTCCGTGGGGAAAGCATTGTATGAAGCACTTTTCCTCTAAATGAGTTTCATATCGAGTATTGATTGGTGGGACCCCCGTACGATGAAGATTTATATTTCCAGGCACTGTACTATCACCGGCTCCAATGATGTTTTCCGTGTGGCTTACTGGTAGGGGACTTCCGGCATTAATATCTTGTATATACTTCTCGAGCCGAGGTTCAACGAAATCCAAGTCATGAATTAGGCAGTCATCATTCGCATCTTCACCAAATGGAGCGATATCGTTAATCAGTTCTTCCGGGTTCCTATTAAGCGGAGTGAGCGGCATTTCATTGTCATCTTCAACAATTGTGATCTCTAGCGGGGTAATTGTCAGCACAGCAGCATCTCGCCCTTGCACGCAGTTATTGTTGACTATTTTGCATATATGATCGTAGCTGAGTTGGCATAGTTGCAATTTCAAAATTAAAGCTTGCTGATTTGCTGCATGTGATGCCATACCCTGCGGGGTCCTACCATGACTATCAAAGAAATAGAGGTGTCCGTCTTTCTTGATGAGTCCCATTGTGTAATAACCTGCGGACAAATATTAGTAGTAAGATTGTTCCCTCATCTAAATATGACTCGCAGTTAAGAAAATAAAATTTACCACCAGTGATGAGAGCGTAATTGTGTTGTAGGGAGATAAATTCTTCTACAGCTGACGCAATATTTCTCCGTGCGTAGTTATCAACGTCAACCATCCACTTATTAAATGCTGCATAGATTACTACTCCCCCATCCACTAAACTGACGTTGACTTTTTTACCAAAAGCGTTCCTAACCTCTCCCTCGATCTCATCTGGATTCAGGTAATCATAAATAACGGCGTGGTCAGCGTTAGTTTGTCCGTGGATTGCCGCGTCACGGCCTGGTCAATATAAATTCAAATATTAAATTTTTCTGTAATTATCATTAAATATTTTCAAAAGTTACCTCTAATGCACCGCTGATAATAAAAGTCGCCCGCGGACAGAATTCGATCTCCATCCTGCACAGACCATAGCTCAGGTGACCTAACTCCAGCATAAGCCGCCGCTACTGCAGAAATGGCTGTACATTGCTTTCCTCCCGTGCCTGATTTAAGGAACCGTGGCGAACCCTGTGAGAAGCTAAGCCGCATTGACCACATCCAAGGCTTTTGAGGAATAGCAAGGTATCCTCTTTCCACTCGGGGTACAATCCGCGAATTTGCAGCTGGAGTGGGCGGCAGATCATCCTCGTGGACGACAACATCTTCGAGTCTAATACCATGTAGGTTGAAGTGTTCCATCGTTACGTTTGAATATCCAGGGTTGTTCTCCAGCAGCCACTCAAGGGCGTCACGAAGTACTGAAATGCACACAAATTATTATTATCAAGAAAACATAACCTAAATTTTCAGTTTACCATTTGGGCGAATCGTAAATGTCGAGGAATGCGGGAACAGTTTCCGAGATTATTATTGTGCCGTGAGTGCTGTTCGGTCCAAGTCTGGGCTGCTCCTGAACTTCTTCGACACTTTGAGCAAAGTGGATTACTTGGCCATGAAGCACGGATTGTCCTCGTCCTTTACTCAGCTTATGGATTTTCAGGAACGCCTTAGCTCGACTAATCATTCTGGCCTCCACATCGGTTAGGGTCGTGATGACATCCGGTGACCTGGGGACGTGCATATTATTTACACGAGCGGCAGCAGGAACCTGATTCCTCCTTATGTTGTCATAACATCGCTTGCAACAGTCAATTTGACTTCCCACTACCGGAAGTAAATTTCGGTTTGTCTCAGGATCGTATGAATTGGTCACGGTAGTAAGACTGTTGAAGATAACCTGGTTTATGATAAGAGATCTGTGAAATTAAAAATAATATTTGTCAATTAATTTGAGTAAATAATTTGGTGAAATTCAAATGCCCTTGTATTATACATATATTACTCTATTCAAAATAAATATTGTACATTTATTTAGAAACATTTTTATGCTCACCTAATCCCTTTGGCGTACCAAACACGGTCACAAATGAAACACTTCCGTCAGCGACTTGATTAATATTTTTAAGGTATTGTTCTTGCTGTGGGGTAATAACCAATTCTTCATCTTCGACGTCCATGGGCTCTATAGCATTATATTGTGCTGGTGGTGGGTTAGTATCCATAGGAACTGTTTTTGACAAACATCCTGCAAGCCGTAGACTACGTTTATATATTTTCCGTGACCATGTTTTTGAAGGCATTTTGCAAACTTTTTAAGTTTGCAATTTTCGAATAAATTTTGTTTATACTAGAATTTTTAATGCCAGCAGGAAATTAAAACAGAAACTGTCCGCTCCCACGCGGCAGGGGTGTTACGAGACAAAAAGTCATGACTTCTCAAAACGGCAATGATTTTGAAAGTTTTAGAAGATTCGAAATTAACACCAAAAGGAAGCATTATCTGAGGAAATTGTAAATGAGAGGAAACACTACATAACCCTCAGGAATACGAATCCACTTGCTATACCGGGAAAAAATTAAATTTTCAATGCGTTACCCTTGTCAGAATGAAATGACCCGAAAACAGACCATTTGAATTTTCGCGCCACGGGATGGAATTATATGAAAAAAATTTTCAACCAAAAGTTGTGGCTATTCCATCTGTGGATATAACGCTGTCATTAGTTTTTCTCTATCGTACACCCAAATCATTTACGGTGCTATTTAGTGATTAACGTTCATCAAACGCTAAAAGGTCGGTATTTCAAAAAGTTTTAGAAATTTCGAAAAACGGTATGCGTGCCCTATACCTATATTCGGGAGACGGTCATAAAGTTCTTTTAGCTTATCCCCCTATCTTGTAGGGTTTCGACACACGAGCATATTTATTTAACATTGGCGTGTCTGCTAACATACTACCTTTCACATACACATCCAGCTAGTGGACGTAAATGGAAAAAATAGAAAAATAAAGTGGTTATTGTGCACTTGAAGACGTCGAGTGTGGTCGTCCTAAATGCATTATTTTGCAGGGACCGAGTGGTCGTTTAAAGGGCCAGCAGGAGAGAGAGAGGAAGTTGGAAGAAGGGAGGGTGAATAAGAGGGATGAATCACGCAACGAAATGGTACGAGAATGGGGACGTATGCACAACAATAAGTGAAGCCTGAAGAAATGTTTTTTCGACGTAACAATGCAACATACTTGACGATACACCAGGAACACACCTGTCTGTCCGTCAGTCTCCCCTGCTGGACAAAATCCATCCCTTTGCTTGGCTTGCCGTATGGTGCTCGTATTTCAAACGCTCACGTTTCAATGAAGTGCATGTGGAGTGACATGTAGATACACGCATTGAACGAGGAAGAAGGGAGGCAGACCGCCTTAAAGTATGCAACGTGCGAGTATTTTCCGGTTTTCGTCTCTTCCGCATTTTTATTATTTTACTTGTCGATTGAATGAGTCATTGCGAATTTTGGTCATGCTTGCAAATCCATTATTAATTTAGTTACGGTTTTACAAAGGTGTGACATGAGAACTGCAACATATTATTGAAACATTTTACTTGATGTATTGGGTGGATAAGTAAAAGATTTTAACTCTTTAGTTTTTATGGGCTGTTATAAAATCCATCTCATGCTTTATCCGTGGTTTATCGCCATTCGTTTCTTTCATAGGGCGGGGTAGGTGAGTGCACAAATTGGATATGATTTGGGTCGGTCGTAGCCTGATTTTATTATTTGTGTAATGGATATTACACGGTGTAAAAATTTGAAAATTTATATAAATATGTATGCATTTAAATTATGAAAATTGTGAGGAACAGATCAGGCAGGCGGCCGTAACGAAAACTTTGTTTTTTTTGCTCTTCGAATTTTGAAGATTCTTGATTTTTTACGTACGTAAGCACTTTTCTTAAGGAAATTTGTTTCAGTGCACCAAGCAAACTGAACCACGGTTTAATTATGGTGTATGAAATGTAGTGTTTACTGTGGTACCAACTAAAAATAATGATTGATAGGTCTGCTTGTATTTCCTGGTGTATTAGCAAAATGTTCACATTTCATAAGTAACAGTTTTCAAAAACGTCTAGTTTTTGTGGTTGATTTTTGACAAAAGAACCGTCAAAATATTCTTGAAATTAGTTTGTAATGTCAGGTGGAGACTGTTAACCAAAAATAATTTAGTTTTCAATTTTTACATCGTGCCCAGTTTCTCAACAGTTTTCAAGATTTGATGGTTTACTGATTTTGGAAAATGAAAGTTTTTTGTGTCAGAGGAAGAGAAGCACAACACGGCGAAATGATTTTTCAATTTAAATGACTTATCTCATCACAGCCAGAGAAGCAACGTTAATGTGTGTTGCTCATCAGGCTCAACTGCGGTGGAATAAAAACAGTGTTGATGTGGGCACTCACTCTTTAAAGGAAAATTAAGAGATCAGTTTCTTGGTATATTTTGCACAAGAGTTTCAGAACTGAAGAACCAGTGAGATGATGAACATGCATACATACATACATATCTACGTATATTTGCATGATAGAGATTAGAGATGGTTATGTTGTCTCACTTTCGTTCTGGTTGCATTTTGCACTGCATGTCATGGCAGTTAGTTGGTTAGTTACAAGAGTAGTTGTGCAAAATAAGGTCAGAGTGAAGGTGCATAAGATAGGTTCGCACTTTATATATTTGAATTAAAAAGCAGTCCTTAAATGGCAGAATAGTTCTCTAGCTGCCAATTGGCGAAGGCTCAGATGCACAATATTACAAAATACCATCGCTAATGCCATTGCCACCACTACCACTGTCATAACATCGCTAATGCAATTCACTAAATTGCTCAACCACGAGCACAGACTACGAATGAATTTACGATTCTCTTTTTAAGCTAGGTAAAAAGACGGTTTTTATGCTGCACAAAACATTACTAAATAATAACCGGTTAGGTCGAACATGAAGCTATGTCAATTATTTGTTGTGTTGTAGGTGTGGAGTGGATTATTGAATGAAAACTCGCAAAATTGGCATATTCCCTCCGTACCTTCATATCTGTAATCTTGCAGAAGTTCTTATGTCATAAAATCTAACGACAGTAAAATTCGTTAACATCAGTAGCGCTAAGAAATCCTAAGCGTAGGTTATGCACAAATACATGCGTGCTGTCGACTCACATGACCAATTTTGAAATAATAAGCTAGAGCTTAAAGTTTATTCATTTTTCAAATTTGTCCTTGACTTGCAAATTCAGGCAGGTGACTGCATGTGGCATAGCTAAAACGGTAGATTTAAAGTGTGCATGTACATATCTGATACGTATGACCACTAACTAAGCTGTGTGTAAGTAAGTAAAGTGAATGTATGCATAATTAATTAGTATATGGTTGATACTGCAAAATTGTTATTGTAATATTAAAATGTGATCATGCGAAGCAAATCGTCAATTCACTGGTAAATACATGTGCATGCGTATTTTAAACATATATACCATATTAGTTGGCATTGGAAGATCTGTAAAACTATTGGTACAGAGATGGCCAAGATGATTCGGCGAAGAAAGCGAAAAATTTGTAGTTATTTTTGTACAATGTCCTAGTCGAGAACTAATTTAATTTAGTGCATCTTTAGGATTCAACAACAAACACGAAGATAAATTTGTTGTCAATGTTGACTGCTGCGTGATAAAAAAAGTGTTTTTGTCAAATTGTCGAGTTCGCTACTTTAAGCATCGCTAATGCGCCTCATTCAAAGTAAGTAAAATCCGCTACCCAAGTAATCGGCTGCTATTTTTTGAATTGCATTTATTGTGAACTACAAAGCCAGCTAGAGAAATTGACGAAGAGCTCATTAGAACAACACCCACTGCGAGACAAATAGAATGGATGGAAGTGCATCATCATAGACGATAAAGTGAGAGTGGAGTCAATCAAGAGATGCTGATTATTATTGGTGATTATTATTATTATTATTATTATTGACTAATATCGAGACTGATCAGCCTACTGTCCTAATCACCCAATCTGACCATAATCAGATTTCTATCCAAGTACAAAAAATGCCAGACTTGGCATGTGGTCAGCATTACAATGCGTGTTGTAGAATATAATAATAAGTCGGTCCGATTTTAAAATCCAACCTCCATGGTTAACGACATTTCCTGTTTTTTTTGCACACACCTCAAAAATAATACTCAGATAGTAACACTCTCTGCGTGTGAGTGCATGTATGTAGATCAACTTAGATAAATAATTTGCACTGTGTTACTTTTTGATGACGAATCTCTGCATGAACATTCATAGGTTAAAATGCAGACTAATCATAATCATGAGTTTTGATCATCCCCTCTTGAACAAAGGTCTGCACGTTATTTGGTAGGTTTGGCTTTACAGGAATTCGATGCTTTGGGTGTCACGAAGATCAGTTTGAATTTGTCCTCGACTCACATGACAAAATGGAGTGTGTCCAATTTGGATCCGTTTCGGTTTCGGTGGATCAATGGCTAATTGGCTTGTCTGCCTGATTACTGCCCGCACACTCTGATTTGTGGATTTGGCAGTGCACTTTGTAGGCTCTCTCCACATTATTTGTGGTACCATTTTATTAGTATTTCAAGGCAAAGCTTCTTCATGGAACTGATGAGGAATTTATTGTTTCCTGTAGCAGCGAGACTTCATTTCATTCTTTTACGATTTGGTCAGGGTGGATCACGGCTTATGTAAACAATCCTTGTTTTAAAGCTTGAATTTTTGTGTAGTATTTAGCACTTCCTGTAGTTTTAATTACAAGCTACCAATCAATTAATCTGACTATTATAAATTCATAATAATGCATTCCTAAATTCAAATGAGAGTGACCCTGAGCAAAGTGCACAAGTTTACTATGATTAGATATCATTTTGTGTCTTGTCTAACTTTCTCCACTTTCAAACGTTAGCAACGAGTTGATACTCGCATGTAAGATTAAAGTGATTACGACTTTGCATGATCTGTAACAATGACGTGGGAGAACGTGGTACATGGCGACAAACAATGACAACGATTATGCATTACAGCCTCCTCCCCACTACTGTTTGTTTGTTGTACACATCCACACTCTTTGTCAGATTTGCACATAAATTCGCCACGGCCATGAACGAAAAAGGACTTTGAAAGCTCCAAAAGTTTGACCACTAAATGTTTCCTGCGTTCCAAATCTGTCTGTCAGTTCCACTTCCCCTGCTCCAGTCACACCTCGTCTATCTTCTCTCTCTCGCTCTCTCGGAGTTAAACTCTTGGCAAATATTATTTGCGCAATCTGGGCAAAGAAATCATTGATTAAACATTGACCTGAGAGAAAATTGTGAGATAACTTTTGCGCCCAATTATTACTTTTGTAATCAGTATTTGCTTCTTATCTCATCTCATCAACGAGCTGAGACAAGGAAACGGAACGAACCTAGAAAATCATTAACCATACAGACCTACAGTAGGTTTATGGTCGAGCTACAGAGCTTTTGTGGGTAAATCCGTTTTCTCCCGTCTTCCAGGCACATGCTATTCTGACCCATTCTGTAGCTTTGCCCAATGGTTGTGAATATATACGTACGTGTATCAGAGACGTATGCGAAAGTTTTGTCAAGTTTCTTATCCGGTCAGTTGGTGCAGTGAGTGGCCAAATCTCTAGAAATTTTTATTGGTTTCTTTTACTGGATTTGATACATACAACTTGCTGCAGAGGAAGAGAATCGAATAAAGGAAAAGTTGTGAATGGTATGTTCGACACGGAAACAATAAGATTGGAAACATCAGCAGCAAGGCGGACGGAGGAGGAAAGCACGGGTTTGGTGAGAACCACTTTCTCCGGAGAAAAGTTGACTCGCTTCATAAATCTCAAGACTCTGTGTGGCTGTTTGTTTCATCGTTCCTCATATTTGAAGTTGAACGCCTTGGGAAATAAGCACGAGGACGGGTGCAGCTTTAAAACCACAGGTCAGTTCGAAGTATTCAAGGTGTGCATACATATATCCATATTTTAGTCGCTTTTTTTTACTACTTATGGTGTGTGGAAAGGGTCGATGAGTATGTATTTTCAGGTGATTTGGACGCGTGTGTTATTGATTAATTGTATGGTTATCGATCTTGTGCGTATGCATGTGAACAACGCATCTCATTTGCTAACGTGTACATGCATGCATACAGATATGTGTATGTACATATTGTATACACCCGTTTTATTTTATTTGAGCTCGACGTGCGTATTCATCCCCCGGATTTGTGGTCGGTTCTTTATTCATCCTGTGGACTAACTCATGCCCAGATTCTTTATCGGGGGTGGGATGGTCGATATCGAAATGATTATTGTGTTGATATTACCGGCTATATTACATATCAATCTGACACAAATCAGAGAAAACCTATCGGTTGGAGAAATTCCGAACAACAACCTTAAAAATTAACGGGAAATCTGGAAGCAAATTGCAGGATATTAAATATTTAGTAGGTTTACTTATGCATGGATAAGTAAGCATAGAATTGGAATTTGGATTTCTTCTTCCTGTAGAATATTTTGGTAGAAGTGCTTGATTAAATAAATCATGCGAGGACTCGTGTTGTCGTTTCTTAAGCTATAAAGCCGTACGTACAATAAATCCTTGTCTAGTTGCAAGATTGGGCTGGCATCAAAAGATTTCTTTCCAGCCAGTTTAGCTTACAGAAGTATAAAATGCTTCTCAGATTTCGACATTGACTGCAGTGCATACGCAACTTCTTGACACACATCTTCACTTTTTGGCATTTCTTTCTAGATAATACCAGCATGTGAGTATATGTGCATACACATAGCTTTACTGGAAGCCATAATGTAGCGTAATCTGACACCATAAACATTTTATGACTCGGTTCAAAATGCATGTTTGGCTAAGAAATTCCTATTAGGCGATTATACGAAACGAGGCAATAATGCAACATGATTAAATTGTCCCAAGCAGTTGTACTAACAACACTAACAAGTCTCGAGCCTGTGCCATTTGAGAAGCTGTCAGGTATTTTGCAGAGATAAATATATACACAATCCAGTCCTGTATTCTGATACGTATGAGCGAATTTATTTCAATTAAACGAACTGGCACCTTGTCAGGCTGCAGTTGACATTTCAGAGGTTAACCAACCAAGAAATCCATAATCCGCATGCACCATGCAACGGCCTCTTCGCAGATATTTATCCTTTTAGTTTCTCATATATATTGAGAAGAAGATTACAGTTGGGAAGAATCAAAAACTGTCAGTGAGTGGGTTTGATGACTTTTGTGAATTCCTGATAAAAAATTCCTCGCATTTTTTATTCCCTCACGTGACGAAGTGCATATGATAGATTTGTGCAAAATGGCCCTGTACCATCAAAAGATGAAGCTGTAGCATAATGCATCATGTTCATCATCCTTGCCTTGTTTGGCTCATTAACTTTAATTTTGTGGCAAAGCATTACATAGCTCATGTACACACGTGGTAAAGAACTCTTGCCTATAAACTCTTGCCTGCTTGTGAGACTGGAGAGAAATGAACCCAGTCAGTAGCCTTCTGCCAGTCTCGGTGTGCTGCACGATGTGGGAGTTACTTTTCGAGGAGTGAAGTGCAAGGAAAACTTTGAAAGTGGTCTCTCGGCTTTGTGCTCATAGTCTCCAAGCAATTTCTAAACACACCAACGACGACGTAGCGGTGTGAAATCCTTATTTGCTCAAACTATACCGTGTAATAGTAAAACCCGGGTGCAACTACCGGGTGCATGGCGGAGAAATAAATGGGAATTGTAACCCGGATGTAAAACGACTTTGTGTCAAGTACATGGACTTTCGTGCATTAAGTCAGTGCGTTACATGGTCTGCTCGGAGTATGATCGTAACGAAATCTTGCTCTCTATCTCGCTGAGGAAATGCAGAAAATCGTTCTGCGTAATTTATCGAGTCAAGTCTGATTTGAAACGCAAATGACGAAAAGACTGATTTTATTTTTTTGTCTCTCCTCTGGAAACGATCCAATTTAAATAAGATTCACTTTGGAGTGGCAAGAGGGAGAAAGTGAAAGTTGAAAGTGTCGGATTATAATAAATATTCTTAAAGTGGAGAAACGTGCCGAATTTCTTGCCTACACTCGATCGAATCAATTAAGGTTCTACTTACTTATATTCCATGAATTACGTAACTTTGTTTTGAGTGACTTTCTTGCAAATCAAACAACATATTTGAGCAGATCAGTTGAAGTGGCAGCTTATACATGCACAAAAGCAAATCATAACTTATAGCACACATTGTAAACTCAAATTCAATATTATTGTTTGTGAGATTAAACCTTAATGCAGTGGACACGATATTATTACTGGCAAAATGAGTCCATAGTCAAATCCCACATAATATTCATCTCATATGCTAATGGTTGTTTTGTGCTGGTATAATTTATCTGTCATCCTCCAACCATACCAGCATCAGCTTTATCATCATCAATGACGAGATCCATCAACATCAACCCCCATTCATTCATTGACTACGCGGACTGAGGAATGCCTCAGCTTTTGTACTCTGCTGAGTGAATCTCTCTGGGATTCGTCCTTGTAACCTAAACTCCATACAATTCAAGGGGATGCATGATAGTGTGCAATATGAGGCTACGAACGAATGATGTGAATTGTATTATAACTCTTTAAAACCACAACAGAACAGAAAGTGGTTTTAATTCGGCAATCTCCGTAATCTCCATTAAATTCTGCCCGAAGGAGGATGCTCGATAAATATGCATGTTGAATTGTCAACATAATTTTCCAATCAAGGATTTGTTGATTCTATTTATTCCTCTTTAGCGATGGGGATGTGATCCATGGGGAAAATTACACCGCTGTTGTTGTTGAAACGTCTTTTTATGAACAGTAAAGTTTTTATTTCAAAGTGAGAGGATTATTCATATTCAAATCGAACGACTGGCCAAATTACTTATTAACTGTTATTGATATCGCTACATCCGATTTACATTTGGTCTTCTCTTGTCTGTGGAAAGGTGACAGTTTACCAAACTTCGTGTCTCGAGTTTACCAAAAGTTGCGTGCTTGCAATACTTTGTCATCAGTGGAAATTAAATCAGTATCTAATCAGCACGCGTCCCTAATCTTTTCGTAATTAAAGATTATTTACTACATTTCAAGTAGAAATGGGTGATAATAATTATCCGCCGAATATTGTGTAGTACAAACACGACTTTGCTTATTGCATTGAGCAGCAGTATCACTAAATCGACGACACCGCTGTGTTTGTTATTAGAACCAATTGAAAATATTTCCTGGTTATATACACATACCAAGCTCAACATTGACGTGAGTGGGATAATTTTGGCGTTGCACACTGCTGTGTCGTGTGTTAGTGCAGATGTCAACGGGATGGATTCAATATTTTCTTACTTTCTCGTCTTATTGGGCTCAGTTTAAGTGAATACACTCTAATTACAGATATTCTTAATTAGTTTGGTGGTGGCAAAGTTTCGACGTATTGGACCTTGATTCATTATTTAGGACATAATGGTTTCATGAAAAGTCTACGAATCACTGCAACGGACTGGAAGATTAAATTTGCTGTAAAAACTTTTAACACGAAGGTGTGGTGGCATCATTCCATTTGACAATATGTGTGTTCTTGGGTTAAAAAATATCAGAGTGATAAAAAATTAATTACACAATCAAAAATTGTTAACTGCCAGCAAAAACTCAATTAAGGCTCAGCACTATTTAGCAAATGATTATATTCAAAGTGACACCGACAGCAGTATGTTTCCATTGTCAAAGTGCGTCGCATAAAGACGAAATAAATGATCATGGAGAAAATGGACGAGGAACAGTCTGAGAAAGACTTTGAGTCGAATCAGACAACTTCTTCCAGAATGCCAGTGGACGAAGATCGAATTTCTTCAATTTGGAGTGAGTGCTACTGCTGTACATACATAAAAATTGGTGGGGATTCGTTGCATGAGATTGTTCTACATACAATTGTGCTATTTATTGTTTGTGTTATTCTCATTACATAATATTTGTCAATAACGTATCAATTATACTTATGGCTTAATACTTCTTCTTCTATAAATAATTGTTCAGGCTTGAAAATAGTGTGACAACAATGGCTCAGTTTTATAATCTGTATTGCTGCAGTTTATCTCAATTTGGTGCTAGTGCATCTAATGAGGAACTGAAACAAGAAAACCGTAAAACGGAATCGTTGAGATCTTTGTAGAGTGACAAGATATTAATATTACCAAAAAATGGTGACATGTTATGCATAATTCCATGGACGTAATATGCAAGACCTAAGTAGGAGTGAGTGATTGCATAGACTATTTATGGAACTTGCCCAGTTTCTTTTGCCAAGATCAACTGCAAAGTTATCTTGTATTATATAACACCCACCTTGACATTTTGTGTTCCATTTAATTTCCTGATATTTGTAACCAACTCTATTATGCATATCATCTGGAGTTTGTCATAATGCACCAGTTTGCGGGTGAAAGAAATGATAACAACGCAGTTTATGTTTTTTTGCAGACGAGATGCTGGACAATGAAAACGACACTTTGCGCGAACGGGTTGGAGATTTGGAGAAGAAGGTGTACGAGTCGCGAGATGAGATTTTGTGCCTCCGAGCCACTCTGGCCGACGTTCTGCGAAGAATCACCAATCTCGAAGGGAGCAGAGGTACCTTAACTTTCCATTCATTTTTCGCTATATTTTCAGTAATTGCCGTAAGAATCCTTGTCAATTATCTGCAATCAAGCATCCGATAAGATAATTGGATTTGAGATTGGAACCCATCATCTTTTGTCGTAATCTAGCTAGCTCATTAAATTTCCATCCAACTTATTTCCTCCCCGATTCTGATTTGACAGCCTGGCCTTCACCTTCATTTAACCCTTTGAATAGCATTCCAGAATATTTAAATTACACATTGCATACGACGCAGTGGAGATTTTACTCAGTTTCATTTATTTTTTTGCAAAAAAATAATTGCATAGAATCGTTCCTCGCATAATTGCGTCGGCTACTGAGACCTGAGACCCAATTTGTTTTTAGAATAATTTTCAACATGGTGACCTCGATTTATTAAATATCAAGTCTATTAGCTGGACAAGCATTCTCCGCTTATGCACACCGGTCGGTGTGTTACATAATCTCGAGTCGATCAATATATGCATTTTGGGAGCATCTCTTCCACTGTCTCCCGTATTGCAGACAATTGGCGAACAACATACGTACCATGCATTTCTAACCCATGCACTTGCACACAGTTTAGAACTTACAGTTCCACACTGCATGTACTAATAAGTTGTCAAAATTATAATTTTCAATGCACAAAAGCATGCCGGTTATTAAGATGAAGCTATCGCGAATATCGGTAAAAGGATTCCCCAATTTTAATAAATTTGTACAGTTCCCAGACACAGTTGTCAAACACCTCTGCATTGGGATGACAAAGGACATTGGGTCCGATTATTGACCAACAATTTCAAAGGGAAAGTAGGCAAAAACACTTGTGTGTAATGGCATTTCTTAAGTAAATGATGGTGGTCTATTACTAACACGTACAACACTTCATAATAAATACGAGGCATTTATTATTCGCAGGTATACGCGAGGATGCTAATATGTCGGGATTAAATTAGCATTGAGCAAATTGAGTGGGTGCTAACACTGTTAACTGCACAATGCAAATGTGCAACAGAAAGATGTACATACATTCATCTCAAAGAAAATGGACTAACTAAGCGTTCCATTGTTTTCTGATTTGTGCTCTCAACCCACTTACTTTGATCTTAGGATGTAAATACGGCAGAATATAAAGAGCATCCTTATTCTTGATAAAAGTTGCATGTGCATTGCATTTCCTACCTGAATGAGCACGACCATACCTCACACGCACATTTAAATCTGCACAGGGATTAATTAAAAATCCATTTACTCCACTCATGACTCATGTTGGGGTATGTACATATATACATAGTTGATAGGTGCAGTTACACATGTATGCATCTAGCAGACGACAACCCATTTAATTAAAGCAAATTCAGATCAAAAGAGAAAACGCATATATTCGCAATTCGAGTTCAACAACGCACAAGTAAACAAATACATAACTCATCACTGCTGTTTATCTTGCACTCATTTGAAATTTTGGCGATATTGAAAGTCATGAAAATCCTGACCCAACGCAAATTGAAGAATTGTAAATATATTGTAGCCCGCAGAGAGTCGTGTGGCAAGAGCAAGGTTAAAAAGAGGGTTACACAGTGAGGAAGACATTAACCTTGTTAAATAGTAGACTTGCTTTTTTGAAAGATGTAATATATTCTTCGTGCCGTTTTTCCTATGTTCTCAAGTACATCACGAATAAATTTAAGTCGAGTGAATTGTTTGAAGTACTTAAGAAATTGCTACTTTGGATGCATGAAAGAATTATGTTTCCATTAAATTTCTCCCGACCACCGAATCAATCATCATCGTCCTAGAATGCCCGTGGCGATCTTATACCGTCAGAAATCATAAGATGGTCTTAAATTACATGCAAGCACAGCAGGCGTAAGTTCGATAAATTGATTAGTGTACTGCGAGGACAAAATGCGTACAATGGTCGAGCAGCCCATCTGGACAGTTTCACAACAAAAAGCTAGAAATAGAAGATAAAGAAATCATAACTTCGATTAGTAATTTGCCAGAAGGGAAGTTTTTCATTCAGCATATTTTTCATAATCAGAGTCGAGCATGCCACATTATGCGATGCATTCTCACGAACCAATCACATTACGAGCATGAATGATATGAAATGTGAGGTTAAGTCGAATGTTTGGCTATCAGATAATGGAGGAGCACAAGTTCATGTCTTGGATATTGGCAATTTAGATGGAGATTAAGATTGGCTTAAAAGTATCCGAGCCATTTAGAAGCAGAATGATGGTAGTCATGAAGTGGCTCATTTCGAAACAGCTCTGGAGACATTTCAGTTATTTCATTGAATGAAGCCCAAGATAGGACACATGATGATTGCTTCTTTTCTTGTCAGCAAACTCTGACCGTGCCATACATTTTATCTGGAGAATTATGTGTTTTGCAGACACATAGAAGTCTGTATATGCATTAAAAGTGCATTCCATACATTTATAGTTTCTTTCTATGTATGTCGACTCTACTAATATGCAAACATGGTTTGGCAAGTAAATGAATCATCTGTAGTCACATGCATATATGTAGGCTCTAGAGCGTTGAATTTCTCACTTAATTACATGTTGGCTTATATGAAATATGTAATTCCATCCAAGTGTATTTACTCTGGTATTGCAATGCACATAAATTAAACGTGCATGTGTCTGTATTTTGTTTCGCACATTCACAGCGTATGTAACATCAGACCACATTTAGCACAACCATTATAGTTATAGTATGAGCTAAAACGCTGAAACAGGAAAAAGTCATGCATAGAAGGTCTCTCATATTCCTGCAGTATTACGTTTCCGAACTGTTGGCTGTGATCTGTGATGGACACTCTTGTTACTTGCACATTCTGTGTCACAACAAACAGATTTCGTTCCAATCCATTTGTTATTGTACGTCCAACGAAAGCTTAGTGAATTTTTGGTGATGGACTAGTTAATGAATTCTACACTATTAAAGTAAATTGAGATGAGCCGTCATTTCGCCACCACGCAGACGGCGGTTTACGCCTTGTCGAGTGCGGAATGGGCATATCCTATAATTAAAAATAATTTATGTACAGGTCCAGGCGGCCCACAGCTGCAATTACATCACCAGCAACAGCACATTACGAATGGTGGTGGGAGCAGTCCGCATCATGCCCACTTCAAAGAACCACTAGGTCGACTTCGCGTCTACGCCACAAATTCCGACCCCAGTCGTGTGGATTGGCGGAGATCCGGACTCACCAACGGTCACGGGCAAAACCAGCATGGACCCAACTCTAATCTAAATAGGTACGTACGCAAATACGCGCATATTGTTATGCAAAGGAAGCAATAGTGACTAACTCTGTTCATGGGCATGGGTGTGCCTTCAAGTCCATGAAAAAATAAAGTAAAGTCAAATCAATTTCTCCTTATCCAGACCTAAGCATTAAATGTAGTATTTTAGTGGCAAGTTGTACGGTCATGCTACTAGTCAACAAGTTTACCTATATTGATTCAGAGTGGGGTTACTTCTCACAAAATATCCAAAACAATAAAGCTGCTGTCTAACTTTTATGAAACCTGCTAGTTCCGCATGTTAGCCGAGTAAGATAACAGAAAATATGTTTATTTTGCTATATTTTGACCGAAACCAATTATACCCTAATGCTCTTGATAAGATAATGATACTAAAAGAGATAATAACTCCATCCTCCCAACTATTTCGTAATAATGGAAGAAGCTATTACCCACACGAGTCTTTCTGCTAGATAATTTATGTCCATTTCATGGATAGATAATCGACGTATCTAGTATAATCATGGGCATCGGATACTTATGATTTATTGTCATCATGTTCTTGGTCATATTCTCCTTCCCACAATAGACGGATAAATCACCACCAGTCGACGGGCAGCCTCCATTCTGCGGATAGCCAAAGTTCCAACGGCCTCTCTCCGTCACCATCACCCTCCCCGCACAACAACAACCGGGCCACACCCTCTCCACGGAACGGAACGACCCCTTCCAGCCCAGGCCCAGCAGCAGTTGTTCCCCAGCAGCAAAGAAACGGAGGGGCCACACCCACGCCCAACGGCACCACTCCGTCCCCTCTGGCGAAACGGTGGAGCTCCACCAGCGACTTTCATAGCGGGAGCAATCCGTCCTTATTCTCACAAAACAGCGCGATGGCAGCCAGGTAGGTTTCCTTCAGTGCCGTTAATTAATCTATATGTACGCATTATGTATGAATTATGGCCTCACTTTGCGTGTGTAGTGCTCAAAAAAACGAAAACTGCATATTCTTCGCGACCTTGTTTGCTAGGTGGTTTTCCTTTGTTTAAGAGTCAAGCTAGCATTAACAACGACGTTTTGTGACGAGAGACACATTGTTAACTGTGTGATGAGAAAGAATTTTAAATTTTTCATGATGCTCCTTGAAAGAGCTTAACCCTGATCTTGATAATTTACATCCCACCACAAGAACGTAACACGGCTTTCTGTAGAAGTAGAATATTCATAGTCGAATGAACAGGAAATCCCTTTGTACGAATGGCACGACACACCAAGAGTTTGCGGTAATTGTTGTGTGAGTGATGTTCTCTTCAGTTATCAGAGGTAATTAAATAGTTTGTTGTATAATTTTTTTTATATAAAAGCGTCGCCAATTATTATTTGAACAATATGGCGATTCAAGGGGTTGATTTATTTAGTCACTGCAAACTTCAAATGTCACGTCTCCTCATGAACCGTAATGCCCGTGTTCTGTTGTAAATTAAATAAGTGTTTTTGAGGTGCAGGTCAAAGTCGTGCGAATTCTCTGATTTGCACAATAGCAGTTCATTCTCAATGTGCATAACGTCGATTTTCTTTTTGATATATTTTAAGTCTGATAAGAATTGTGGTATTTGCCGTTTCAAGCACAAATGATATTCTTGCATGTTCAAAGTCACTGTGGTTTTATTTACTATGAGCTTTAATTCAATCAGGATACAGCCCTTACGAAATCAAGAATTGAAATCTCAAATGTTGATTTTTCAAGGAATCTGAAGGAGGCTTGCAAAAACATGAGAATGCTAATAATTCTTCACATTTTGAAAGTATCACATTACTTACATGCAAAACAAGTGCGTGTTATTCCTGATTCTAAATTGAATGAAATTGTAGTTTTTTTGTGAGATCATTACAAAAACTCATGCACGTTGTGTACGTAACGTATGTATGTGTATGTGCTTGAAATAAACTTGAAATGAACCATGAATGAAAGATGACAGGAGCGGTTTTCACACACGTTGGTTTTAATGAAGTTGCCATCGCTCAATCAATCTTTAAGACTTTGAAAACGTGTTGATTATTTCTGCGATCTTTTTTTTTCTACGTGTTGTTGTGGGTGGGAAGAAACATGAAAATGTGCTCATAAAAGATTTATTAGTGCTGAGAAATTAGTAAGCATGAAATGAAATAAGACAGTATTAATTGCGGATTAAATCTGCTTGAATGAAACCACAAAATTGAGGTAATCCGCAGCCTAAAAAATATTTATAGCTTTGCTGCCAGATTGTTGATTGAGTATTCATCGTGAAAGAAATGGTTGTTGTGAAGCGAGGAAGGCGAGAAAAAGAAGCTGCTTCGTTTTCAAAGATGACAGGGCCGATTTGGAATTTGAGTTTGATTTGGTGTGCTAATTTTCTTTCAGAAATAATGTAACGGCACGATCACTTCTCAATTTGCATGTGAAGACTCCTCATGTGAGGCACGGGTATGAATTCGTTTCATTTTGTTTTAATCACTTTTTTTAAGCTTTTTTTGGGTTAATCTTTACTCTACACAAGCATCACTTCTTCGACTCTCAAGAATTTGGGCTTATGGTTCTTTGTAATTTATGTACATTTGTGTTTTCCTTGTCTCTGAGTAATAGCTGTATCTCAGATTCTTATTGCTTTGCTTACAATTTTTACGATACCGTTTGTCATTTGTCAACCGAGTTAATAACTACATGTCGTCGGAGCGGCTGTTGTGTGCTGCGCTGTGTATGAAATATTTGACGTGTAACGCTTCATAATTCTTCAACAGTTTCATAATTCAATTTGATGTTTGTTCAACGGTATCACACCTGTTTGTTTATTATCACACTCGGAGCGGGCAAGCGTCGTTCGTATGAATTACAATTAAGGCTGAGGATTACTTTAATAAATAAATAGTAGTCACTACTCTTGTTAAGAAATTGGGTCACTCTGTGCTTGGCTGCTTGGTGGGAATTTTTCGGTCACTCAGAGCTACACAGGCAGCAGCAAATATGGGAGAATGTATAATGAATATGTGTAATTAGGAGATGGTATGATTATGCAGTTGAAAAATTAATGCACTTATTTTATTTACTATCCAATACACAGCACCAAGGACGCCATGTTCAACGGGGAAGAAGGAACAATCCGAATTTTCATGAGGGGTCGTCCTGTGACATTGTAAGTTTTTGTGCTACACAGGCTTTTTGCCTTCTTGGGTGAAGTACGCATATTTACATTGCATAATCCAAACTAGTCAGAACTTCCACCGGTATTCGCTTAGTATATGATCATTCAAATTATGGTCAATTTTAGTAGTCACCAAATTAAGTAGAAACGCCATTGAATTCTAAAATATGTATATAAAAATATGTATGCTCCTTCCAGGTACCTTCCGAATGCCCTCATTGACAACTACAGCTTATCCCGAGTGGCCACCGCACCCCTGGCCAAACTGAGGTTGGAATGGGTGTAAGTAACATTTTATCAAATAAATCTTAATGGTTCAAATTGCCCCTTGTCAAGTTAAGACAAATTACGGCTGCAAGTGCATCAAGTTAGCAAGGAAATTCATTTGTACCAATTATGATAGTGCGCAAATTTTTTACGTGATGGATTTACGTGCAATTAGACGTCTTTCACTAACACAAGATTTTTATGAGAGAGTGCAAATCTGCCCAAAGGCGACGGCGAGATCTGTATGGGCAAATAGTTTACAATTCATGTTGAGCTGTCATCAAGTCCCAAGCTAACTAAATAGGCTTCTTTATTGAAGTCTCAAGTTCTTCATTTCATCCCAAATATTTCTAATGCATGTATATTGACAATTAATCACCATGTCACAAATAGATCAATTTCATAGGACTTGATAGATTAAGGCTTTAACAGACTGGGTTAAAGATTTACAGCAGAAATGCATATACATATTCTTCCTTAAAATATTTCTTAACTTGATTAATTTTTGTTTGGTTTGTGGTAATTCAATTTCCTTCAATATGTAGGAAAAACTGGGTCTCATTCCGTCACCAGACCGTGGATGCATGAATACATTATCTTTTGCCTATCTTTATCCCATTGCATTCAACCGCATGTACAGTTAGCTCGTTTGTTTAACGTCTTCCTAGTTTCTTTGGTATTGCCACCACAGGCTTTTCAATTCGAGTCAATCAGACGACGACGATGGTTGACAATAATTTCTTTTGTTGGTTCAATTCACACAACAACAGCAGTCGGTGATTGCATTCAAGGCAGGCAGATTTGGATTATTTGCTGCATTACTACGACAAAAGTTCCTTTGGGGCCAGCCCAATGCCATGAAATGATTTTGCTGCATTTGGTTGAATGAACTATGCATTTCGTTCGCAAAACTCTCTTTCTCTACTTTGTTTGTTGGAATTGCATTTTTATGGGTCCAATTGGATTCAGGGTATCCTCATCGTCCCATTTTTAGACAGATTTTGGGCGTGGTATTGACATTGCTGACGGGCTTGGAATAAGATCATGCTTCACCTTAATAATAAAGTGTCAATTTGATGAGCATCTCGTAATTTCAGAATTTATGTAGTTTACCTGATCCTCAATTTGGCATTCTACTATAATTGCAGATACGGGTATCGAGGCAGAGACTGTCGAAGCAATTTATACTATCTCCCTACTGGGGAGATGGTCTATTTCATTGCCGCAGTTGTGGTGCTGTACAATATTGAAGAGCAACAACAAAGGCATTATTTGGGACACAATGATGATGTGAAATGGTAAGTTTCTCATGTATCCTCATTCTCTTGCTGTCCCTGAAAGTCTGAAAATAAATAAGAAAAAAATTGTTCCTTCCGGTGGAAAAACACCTGAACCTTTTTAACAAGTTTAAGATATCTATATTAATCTTGGGGAAGAAATTTAGCTTATGTACGAAGAGATATTGGCCAAATCTAATCTTTCGACTTGCCAATTTTCCGTGAAATTGGCATTATGTAAATGTATGCAATTGGAAAATTTCTATTAATACATTTTTCATCATCATTTTTATGAGAGCAAAAACAACACGTTATTGCAGTTGCATAAAGTCCCATAGAAGACATCGACATATATTTATGTATGTCTTATGTATACATTTATGTTGAAAGTTCTTATGAGGACACGATTGCTAACACTTTTACGATGCATAATAAATCTTGAAATAAACTTGGAGCGATTTTACGGTATTTTCTTGGAACACAGCGAAAATAATACAAAACTAAATCCTAAACAAAAAGATAAAATAAACTGACATTTATTGTTTCATATTTAATTTTCAGCATGGCAATTCATCCGAACAAATTAATTGTCGCCACTGGACAGTGTGCAGGGCACGACCGAAGAGAAGGCAAAGTAAGTAAACACATTTCCCACGATCCCATCTGCAGTTCGTCGCCATTAAAATCTCACTGTGATTGATTCGACACGTGATGGAGAAATGTTTATCGATGAAATTATAATCCGCCCATTTCTGATTGATGCATTTTATTCCTGAATACAGGCCCATGTCCGAATTTGGAATTCTGTGAGTCTTCATACACTGCATGTCATCGGCTTGGGAGATTTCGAACGCTCCATTTGTTGTCTCTCGTTCTCCAAAGCTGTAAGTTACGTCGTTGCTCCTTCTTGTGATAAATAAACAAATGCACCACACGACTATGTACAAGCGAATTTTATCCGTGGTCACATGGTTTTCAATTGTTGCACGTCCAATGTCATGCCCCTTGAATTAATTCGCTTCTCATGAAAACGTACGGCAATTACAAACTTGTCTATTTATGGCAATCAAAAAATGTAAATTTAAATGAAAAATATGAGCAAAATAATCTAATCTGCAAAACAGAGAATGTTTTTTCCTAATATGGGGCGTTAAATTATATATCGTGCCATGTTACATTGATCATGGGTTGGAAATGACGCCAAATATTGTGATAAATGATTTTCTTCTATTTCAGGACGGAGGTGCTTTACTTTGTATCATTGACGAGTCAAACGAGCACAACATTTCTGTATGGGATTGGCAAAAGGGTGAAAAAGGTTTCAAGTTGGCAGAGAATAAGGTGAGTCTCACTCAAGAGAGTGGAAAACTAATTGGTTTTATGTGGGCTCAAGATTAATCGGCCATTCATCAAGTGACCACAAACATGAAATATACTTCACTTGCGACGGATAGGACAACTTTGAAATTAAATTGAGTGAAATTAATTCATGGTCGGACTGTATATTTATTTCTTTTAATTTTGCCAAATTAAAATCAAATTGTCAAAGTCTTGGATTGCAAATGTGATGATATTCCATTATTCATTTTTTTATTAATTATTTTGACCCGGTCATTGTATGTCGCAAGATTGAATATGGCAAATCAATGACGCCTTCTTTTGCTATTATAGTGTTCTGGAGACACTGTGGTAGCAATGGAATTTCATCCCTTGGATAAAAACACCATCATCTCTTGTGGAAAAGGACACATTTCTTTCTGGACTTTTGAGAATTGTTGTTTGTACAAAAAGTTGGGAATTTTTGATCATCGGGATAAACCAAAGTATGTGACCTGCCTGGCTTTTACCTCGACTGGGGACATTGTGAGTAATTCAGAAGCTCATATTGAATATGCATAGATACTTATATGTACATACTTCCTTGTACTTAAAGCATATTTTTTCTGGTACTAGGTTTCTGGGGACTCGAGCGGAAATCTGCTCGTCTGGGCACGTGGCACCAATGTGGTCGCGAAAGCAGTTCGAGGGGCCCACGAAGGACCCGTTTTCAGTATTTATGCCATGAAGAATGGAGAAATTCTTACGGGTGGGGGGAAGGACGGGCGAGTGGTGAGTCAGTCCTTTATCAATACCATACAAAACGCATGACAGGGTCATGTGCTTAAAGTCGAACTTAATGTCAATTTTCCCTCAGGTGCAATGGGACATTTTGTCCTCAAAAGTTGAAGTTGAGACTGTGGTAAGTCACTGCATTTTGAGAGAGCTCTATTTTCTTGGTACAAAATCATTTTTCGCATTCAATTTTGTTGAAAACAAATTGGATGCGTTTAACCACAACCGTAGTAGTAATCATACTAATACGAAGTCTGGTTGAAATTGTGGCAAACCGAAAGTAAATTCTGATTATGTCATACGTACCTGCCCAATCTTGTCGTCAGTAAACCAGAGACTGCCAATTGCGGTTTTGATCATTAAAACCACCACCAACAGAGACATAAAATCCCGTTTCTCAAAAGAAGAAAAATATTTTGAAAATTATACCAGCAAAGAGCACATTGAAATCATCTTACTGCTAAGTCCGTTCCTTCGGGCATCATTCGGACTGTGTAAATTTTACCTGATTAGTTTTTTTGCAATCCAGTAGCAATTTCTCATGCTCATGTCAAATTCTTTTCTTTCCCTTTTAAGGAACTGCATATTAGCTTAGTAAAAAATAGACATGAAACAGAAGCAGATTCAAATAAATAGAATCGCTGATATACCGACCATACTTCTCTGAATGCAATTCATCAATCTCATTATGTCTTTGTGCTCTTTTGTATTGCAGGACAAAATTACATTGAATTGAAGGGTACTGTTTTTGCTGCATTATTACTGTGCAGAAATTCATCATATCACTCCCACACGAGCATTTATGGCAATAAGTCCTGTCTGAACATGGTAGTTGACAGCAATCAAAGTTTGACGTATATTATGAGCCGCTAATGAAATGAAAATTAATACTTTCAAGCTGATCATTATTACTTATGGTTCTCTCTCTCATTGTAAAGTTACATAAGTAAAGAGGTAGCATTTGTGAGCAGTAATTACAGATACACGCATATTTTTGATATCACGAGTTCACAACAAAAGAGCTTGTTGCACATGTAACCAAAATTGGAAAGTGCAAAATATGTGAGATTCAAAACGATAACCGATATATTAATTCATCTGTTTGAGTAATATGTTGTACATATGCACATTCCGATTGATTTCCTCGTGGAATGTAATCTATGTAGTACTTTTGTCATATTTCTACCATTTCACATCTTTATAACTGGACATATGTAAGTACATGAAAATTATGATTGCAGATTCCCGAGCAATATGGTCCAGTACGGATAATTACTGAAGGAAGAGGAAGTCAACTGATTGTGGGGACAACGAAAAACTGCATTTTGGCTGGAAGTTTCCAACTCCCCTTCCAACAAATCGTGCAAGGGGTATGTACTTATGAATCAACAGTGACCAGAGTTGCAGAACCAGTCACTTTTGTACTCATTTTGTTTCTGAACTGACTTGGCCTTAGCATACGGACGAGTTATGGGGCATGGCAATCCACCCAGAGCAACAACAATTTATCACCGGGGGTCACGATAAGATGATCATTTTATGGGATTCGTTATCACACACATCCGTTTGGTCTGTGGATTTCGATGTGAGTGTTTTTAATAATTGTGGAAAATGATGAATATCATTCACTTAAAAGACGTGTTTTGTGTTACAGGAAGCAATTCAGTCAACTTGTTTTTCACCTGATGGGTCTGTAATTTTCATTTTTAATACTTTCATAATAAATGTAAACCTGCGGGTTAGACCTAAATAGAATTTTGTTAATATTCAAAAGAATTACCATGTCGTACATAGTTTAACCATTACATATGGAACTTATATAGGTCTGTGATCATTGTGGGGACTGCGTTGGGTCACTGGTTTGCTGTTTCTGCTGAGACGAGAGAAATTATCTCACATCATAACGATGGCTCTGAGCCAATACAGGTCAGTTTTTTATTGCATTACCCATTTCTTCTATAGGACATGATTCTATGGTCAGTTGTTTTGAAATAATATATTGTTTTCTGGAACGCAGGTTGTTCGATTCTCACCGGACGGAAAAATGCTGGCAATAGGGTCGCGCGACAATATTATTTACATTTACCAAGCCAGTGACAACTTCCATAAATATAACCGTATTGGTCGTTGCTCTGTAAGTTGTTAAATTTAGTGTCGGTTTTATAGCTTATATTTTACTAAATTTATGTTGCAGGGACATTCAAGTTTCATAACCCACTTTGACTGGTCTGGCGATAGTACATTTTTGCAGAGCAATTCAGGAGATTACGAAGTATTGTTTTGTAAGTCTTCCTAAAGTTCATTGTACGAAGTGAGTACTCAAATTTGTAGTAATTCCAAACTCCCTATATTATTTAGGGAACGCTTCGGTCTGTCGTCAAATTCCACAGAGTTCACAACTTAGGGATACCGAATGGGCGTCTGCGACTTGCACCTTGAGCCCGTTGACATTAGGGATATGGCCAGAAAGTGCGGACGGCACTGATGTCAACGCAGCAGACAGGTCGCACGATAAAAGGTGACAATTGTGTTTTAAATTAGTGTACGTATAAATATAAATGCCATACAAATAACAATTTTTTCACCCACAGATTACTGGCTACAGGGGATGATTTTGGAAAAGTAAAGCTGTTTTCCTATCCTGTTACCCAGCCAAAGGTACCATACAAATTATTGTATATACTAGATTTAAGAGTGGTGTTATTGATTATGCTCTAATTGTGTGTTTTAAAGTTATTTTTTTAATTATGTATTTTTTTATCTTTCAGTCTTTGTGCCACACTTATGGAGGTCACAGTAGTCACGTTACAAATGTACAGTTTCTTCAAGATGATACGCGACTCATCACTTGTGGTGGCAAAGATTCCAGCGTCATGCAATGGGTTATTTGTTAGATTAGTACATAAATATATGAAAAACTGTGTACATGACTTGACTTGGAATTAGATAGTATATTATATATAGTCCACCATTGTATTGATCAATATTTTAAATCTCGCACACCACGTACATTTTAAACTCGAAACTAGAATGTATAATAACGGGGTCCTTTATTGACTAAACATTTGGCGTTGGTGGGGAGCATTTCGTCTGTTAACACGTAGTAGTATTATTATGTCACTTATTTCATCCATCCTAATATTGAGTATTCTGAAGGAACACTCTTCAATTTAATTCAACATGAATTATTTAGCATGTAAACTATTGTAAACGTTACCAATATCTGAATAATATTTCGCCTTAAATAAGCAATTTCAGAAATTAGTGCGGATGGATGGATGGGTGGGTTGGTACTCCTAGATGAATAATACTTTGCGAGAGAGTTCAAATTTGCATAATCAAAAGTACAAGTTTTTTCATGTAACTTTTTGTGTACGAGATTTGACCCACAATTTGATTTTTTTATTTGGTTGAAAATATTTTCATTTTGTTAATTTCTTCTGAGCTAATGACTTTATAAGCATTGAATTCACTTTTTCTGATGAATTATGTATGTATATGGTTAATGTTTACTTTGGACATGCAGAACCGTAAAAAAATATTATAATCTAGTTTAGCAGTGGAAATCCTGAAGCTTGTCATGAAATAAAGTTCTATAACTGACTGTAAACCTCGTGTGGCCCATGGGGCCAAAGTCTTTATAAATATTATTGTCCCATTTTCATCTCATACTTGAATATTATTCACATTCAGAACTTAGAACTGCCTGCGAAAGAACTGTATTCATACATGCATCCATATATACATCGATCGATGTTGTTGCCATCTTAATGATGACATAACCTGACACTTGACCCGATAAATATTAGATAAATGCAATCCGGATACATGCGACACTATCACAATATTATTCTCTCTGGACTGTTCTGTCTGTCACTTTTAATCACTCTTCTGCAATGTGACGAATGGTTCAACAAGTAGCATACTAGTTTTAAGCCGGTTTTAAAATTTGCTGCATAATTGTTATTCATAGTACTTGTGTGACTAAAAAATGGACGTCAAGTAAGTGAATCTTTTAAAAATATATAACAATTTTGTTTTTAGAAACTTTAATTACATATTATTTTATAGTGAAACTACATCATTGATTGTAGTATCGAGTAATAAGGTTGCAAGGCATACTGCATTGGATTTAGAGGACACAAGTTCGGATTATAGGTTCAACAGCGGAAGGTGTGCTCTCTTGATTATTCTCAAATTATACAATAAAATAGACGTTAGGTATTTTTATAGAATAATAATTTTAATGGACAGAGTTCAATATACATCCATGGGGTCCGAAAGCAAATTTTTCGTCATCGTCACTGCAACTATTGCAGTAGTTTTATTTGTGATCATCATCGACATTAGCATCACGGCACTCAGGATTCCTGATTTGGTTTTCCGACACAACAACTCTCCCTGATGTGACGACGACAAAAGCCGGTCAAGCCACAATTTCCTGATTTAATCTATTATTAATACGACTGACTGAACAGCCATGAAGTGTATAAACAGTAGATTTTAACAGATGTATAAATCATAATATCTGAAATAAGATTACTTAAAAACTGGATCTACAGTATTGTAACGAAGAATAAAACTTTATACGAGAACTTAATTACAAACTCATATGTATAAATCCACATTATAACATCTATTTCCATAGGCTTTGAAGATATTTGGCTTGTTCACTTGCACTGGTGAGGATATCGTTTTCATCTAATACGTGGAGTAGCTTTCCACGGGTCATTTCCTTACCTTCTTCAAGGCCTAGCTGATAAGCAATGTTTTGCAGCTTTTTTACTTCTTCTACCAAACTCGATGAGGTTAAACTACCAAATTCTGGAATTTAGAGAAACCGCAAAAACCATTAATAAGTATGACAGTATTATCTGTCTGAATTATATTACAGGTATTTTATGGAATAAAGGAACTTACGATGGAGGAGGTTGATATCTTCGGGATCTAAACCCTGGGCCCATATTCCTAGTGGTTGCTCAGACTCTCCAGATTTTAGGGAGTTTTTAGCAATAATATGTTGGGCAGCTGTGGGTACTGTATCATCAGAAAATGGAACAGTTAAATTGCTTCGTCTTATGCACACCCAATGCATTCAACTGCGTATTATAATTATGTGTTTAATGATGGATAACATAAGTGAGTGCCTTACAATTTTGCGGCCATAAATCCGGTGACGATCTGTCTAGCCTCTCCACGCTTCGAAGTTGATCTTCCGTCGATATTTCTACTTCTGGATGTGCAGTGTGAGGTGGGCCCATTAAAGAGATATGATCCGTACTTATCATCCCACCGTCGACTACACCGGCCGCGATAATCTCTGAACTGTCGACATCCATTGTACCTTCAACCCCTGCAGACATGTCTTGCTCCTCTGCAATACCTGCAACTGCGGCCGCAGTCACTACAAAAATTAATAGAGTTTAAAAAGATTTGTTGTATATTTTTAGTTAAGTTTTATTAAGTTTTTACCAGAGTCAACATCACTACTCTGGCCTTGAACCTCTTCTGCTCCATCTCCCCCTTGCCCAAAAGTGTTGAGATCCGCTTCATAAATATACTCCGTTTCCATTTCTAAAAATGTTTTCAAAGCATTATTTTTTGTAAAATAAAAATTGTAACAAAATTAAGTTTTTTTTACCTTGCGTGTTATTGAAGTGTGGAGTGAGATTAGTAAATAAGAAATAAAGGCGCCATTGAGAGTGGTTCGAGGTGACGAGAGCCACAGCCAGCGCCACCCTCGGCCATCCCAAGACGGCGGATTTTAGACGGCATGCACCACCGGACTCACTCACTCTGTTGAAATTTCAGCACATCTCTTACATTTCTTTGATTTAGAATTGAAGAAATTTTAGGAAATTTCAAAAGGAAACAGTCGTAAAAATGGCTCCTCGCTACGAGATCGCCATTGGGTTGGAGAGAGGTCATAAAACCATCAGAAATAAGCAAACTCCACGACCTGTGGCAAATAAAGGGGTAAGTAGTCGAAATTTTGAATTGGATCCAGCCTGTACAATTTTACTTGCTATTTCACATAGGAAACTTCGATTTGTTATTTATACTACTTCTGCATTTTTTAATGGATTTTGTTCATAATGTATATGTTTGTTGATATTAACTTTGTCATGTTCTTGTATAAATTTACAGAAGCAAACTAAGCACAACAAGTTTGTTCGAGACATTATCAGAGAAGTTGTTGGTCACAGCCCTTACGAGAAGAGAGCTATGGAGTTGTTGAAAGTTTCAAAGGATAAGCGTGCCCTCAAGTTTTTGAAGAAGCGAGTAGGTTGTTAAATGTATAAGTGAAGTTAAAAATTGGTGTAATGTGTTCAATGTACTATATTATTTTGTGTTTTAACTTTCAGCTTGGCACCCACATCCGAGCCAAGAGGAAGCGTGAAGAACTTTCAAATACTTTGACCCAGATGAGAAAACAAGCTTCGGCGGCTAAATAATTCCGTTATTGTTGACTTATCTAATTTGTATTTTAATTACGGTAAAGCAATTGGGATTGACGTCCTAATAAATGTCATCTTAATCGGATTTATACGAATTTATGCAAACTTCAACTTATGCTATACGATTAATTATACTGCCATATCTTGTGCAATTTCTTGCGTTAATCATTATGAATGTGTATAATATGCTGTACAAGGTGCATAGCGGTCCGCAAGTCGTGACTTGGCGACAGCTGTTACACCGACTAGTCGCTAATTTTACGAACATTTTAAGTTTCGGTCAACTCATGCGCCTTCATCTATCAGCATCTTCCTCGAATCCAGAAGATGCATGGCTTATGCCAAGCACAAGCGATGCTTGACGTAGGTTTAATATCAGATGTCATATTAACATTATGCAACATTTAACAATGTCTGTCACTCTATGAATTAATTAAGCAGCACTAAAAAACAAGTTCCTCCAGTAAATCCATGCACTTGAGTCACATTTTGCCTCAAGTTCAACTTGTATAATAAAGCTGAAGCTATGTATATGGACGAGTTTTAGTAATCCAAATGAACCGAATGTCCTTGGTTCGGATATAGTCGTCTCTCGTTCTTATGGCATCGCATGAGCTTTTTTCCATGCAGTGTGACGGACACCACCACCAGATCGGTATTAAACAATTCAGTTTAATTGGAACCATTTAATAAAAATACCCTGTTTCTAAAAATTTAAACAACTTTTTAACAATGCATCGAGCACTATCCAAAGTTTCTCAGGTATGTGTCGCTTATTAAGCATATCAAAATCACGTAAACTTGATTGAGTGAGTTGTTGCGCAATAGTAACCATCAGGGTGAAATAAGACATGACCTTGACCCATACCTAGTTACATAATGCCTTCTTAATTGTGTCTTTCAGGTTCGGAAGGATGTCTTCCTCCCACGGTTTTATGCATCTGCTTCCACCCCGACTACCAAGCTCTTCATCAATGGAAAATTCGTCGAGTCCAAAACCAAGGAATGGATTGATTTGCACAACCCTGCGACGAACGAAGTGGTCACGAGGGTCCCTCAATCCACTCAAGCGGAAATGGAAGAAGCAGTTGCTGCAGCTAAGGAAGCGTTCAGATCGTGGTCGAAAACATCTATCCTGTCCAGACAACAAATTATGTTCAAATTCCAAAATATCATCAAGGACAACATGGTATGAACATGGAACATATATTCATTTATGAATTATCTTGTTCTAATCTGTTGGGTTTGAAACACAGAAATTGTTGGCAAAGAACATTACACTAGAACAGGGAAAGACTCTGATGGATGCGGAAGGAGATGTTCTCCGAGGACTTCGTAAGTGATTATTAAGTTCAAACGATATCAATCCGTTACTGCTAGTACAAATTACTAGATAAAATATGCGTATACCTGATAATTAACTACCTTTGCAGAGGTTGTTGAGCACTCTTGCAGTGTCACAAGTCTGCAATTGGGCGAATCACTGTCCAGCATTGCGAAGGACATGGATGCAATGTCATATCGTATTCCAATCGGCGTTTGTGCTGGTGGGTGATAATGATAATAATAATTAATCATAATAAAATAATGAGATATTTTTAATTAAATAATCTATTTTTAGGGATCACGCCATTCAATTTTCCAGCTATGATTCCACTATGGATGTTTCCATTGGCGTTGGTGTGCGGAAACACGTATGTTATCAAGCCATCCGAGAGGGACCCTGGTGCATGCATGATGCTGATGGAAATGTTTAATGAAGCCGGAGGTACACATCCATGCAAAAATGCAGATAATTCGTTTTTAGAATAAAAATCATTTAATGCACGTGTCCCTATCCTCCACCTTATCAATCACAATGCCTTGTCTCAACTTTTGTACACCTGCAGTCTTTTCTTGAATTAATCATATTATGCAACCTTTCAGCTCCAAAAGGAGTAGTCAACGTCATTCACGGTGCACATGATGCTGTAAATTTTATCTGTGATAACCCAGAAATTAAGGCAATTTCTTTTGTCGGATCGGATACTGCAGTACGTGCAATTTTTCTTGAACGTATAAACTACTAATAGTTTTAATATATACTTGATAACTCTGGTAAAAAATAATAGGGCAAATACATTTATGAAAGAGGGTCGAAAAATGGGAAACGAGTTCAGAGCAATATGGGAGCCAAAAATCATGGCGTCATAATGCCAGACGCCAACAAGGAACAGACTTTAAATCAGTTAGTCGGAGCCGCATTTGGTGCTGCAGGTAAGACCAATTATCCATTTAGTTGTAAATTCCACATGCAATATATTCATAATGCAGTACTTTAACACATCCAATCACTTTTAGGTCAACGATGTATGGCCTTGTCAACAGCGGTTTTCGTTGGTGAGTGCATATATGTAATAGATAGATCGGTAATTGTTAATTATATCATAGGTTAATAAATGCTTGTTAAATTTAAAATATTTAAGGTGAAGCTAAAAATTGGATTCCTGAGCTTGTAAGTTTTTTAGAAGCAGTTAACGTAAACTTTGGTTATGATCCATTATTTATAAAAGTTTGTTGGTAATAGGTGGAGAGAGCTAGGAAACTCAAGGTTAATGCTGGTTAGTGGATTAATTAATGAATGCTACTACTATCATAAATCAAAAGTTCTGTCGTTTCACGTCTCATTTTTCTTTACATATTTATTAATTTATTAGGTCACGAACCGGATGCTGACTTAGGTAAGTAACTCTCAAGTAAAGACTAAAATTACTGCTGCGTATTGTCTGTTAGTTGAACAGCTAATTGTTGTTCGTCTACATGCACATTTCAAATTATTTTTCTCTTTGAACTTTAGGCCCCGTGATTTCTCCACAATCCAAGAAACGAATTGAAGCCTTGATTCAATCCGGTATTAATGAGGGTGCAAAATGCTTGTTGGATGGCCGAAATATCACGGTGCCAAAATATGAGAAAGGAAATTTTGTAGGACCAACTGTACTTGCCGATGTTACCGTAAATGAGATAACAGAAAATCTGTCTTTCTATATTTCTTATAAGAAAATAATCATCACTTTTTTATTGTTTTAGCCTAAGATGCAATGCTATCAAGAAGAGATCTTTGGGCCTGTTTTGGTAACCCTGTCTGTGGACACGTTAGATGTGAGTGTTTTGTTAATTACTGTCAATATCATAAACGGGTTGCTTATTTAGAAGCAGAGATCAACCAGTATACACATTTTTATGAAAATTGCAATTTACAACTGCGAAATACTTCTTTAAAATCAAATCAATACTTCATAGGATGCTATCAACGTTATTAATAACAACCGATATGGCAATGGAACAGCCATTTTCACAACGAATGGAGCAACGGCAAGAAAATTCACACAGGATATTGACGTTGGCCAAGTTGGTGTGAATGTTCCAATTCCTGTTCCCTTACCAATGTTTTCATTTACGGGTTCCAGGTAAATTACATATGCGCACTCCCATACCATATTTAACTAATCATTCAAAATTTCGTTGAAATCAGGGGGAGCTTCTTGGGTGACAACAACTTTTATGGAAAAGCTGTAAGTGGATAAGCAAATGATTGTATGCACTGTGCTATGCAATAATTGTTGCATGACCTTTTTTAGGGGATAAATTTCTACACCCAACTGAAGACGGTGACCTCAATGTGGAGAGAACAGGATGCTACAGACTCCAAAGCTCATGTTGCAATGCCCGTGATGCGCTAATAAGCAATTGTGACAAATTATAATCTCTCAAGACAGCTATTTTTTTGACAGCCAACACAATCAATCATAGATTCAAATGCAAAATATTTTTCTGATCATCAAAATTCCTAATCCCATTATGAAGCAAATGTAAATTGTTTATTTTAGAATATAAAAAGGATTAAGAACTATTTTCTCTGAATTTGCGCTCATTTCATTTCTCATTTTGATTTCATGATTGCATGACACATACGCACATACATATCTCCGTAACGTCCAGTGTTGTCTTTGTTGCTTATGACAAGAATATTAATAGCATTCAGCTCGTGTGACCTTGCAATTTTAACGTTCTGTGTTAAACCAGTATGCAAATTTATAGTCTAAATTACTGTATTAGTATATTGTATTCAATATTGGAATACCCGTAACCGGCGTTTCATGTGCAGAACTGCAGAGGCGGCTGAGCGATTCAGTCAAATGAAGGGCTGAGGCTGAGGCGAGTGAATCACACAAATCGCAAATTTTCGCACATCGTGTCATCGTGTGTTGATTGAATAATGAGCATAATACAAATTGTATTTTATTTTTTCATCTGCACTAATTGTAGATAATGTTGCGCAAGTTGCTGCATGTGATATATATTTAGGCTGATCTCTAGCTATCGAACATCAATTTTGGAATTGTGAATCGTGTGCTACATAGTCACTTCAAGTTCAAGTTCAAGACTTCAACACAATAGTTTGCTATCCAATCCAAGATTCGATTCTCAAAAAAACAAGAACTTGGGACAATCTAAAGCTGAAGGTATGTCTATATACGACGGGAAAATCGATATGCATGGAATAACTTAAAATGGAAAATCTTTCCTTAGACAATGGGGGTTTTGACTCGTCTGGTAAATGGGGTCAAGCGACTACATCTTAACTATAACATGATCACATCTCTCTACATGATGGAACCAATGGAACGTACGGTTGTCAGTAAGTCATGATGCCATATGTCATTAATAATGTACAATCATATGAAGTAGATGTATGTTAACAATTAAGTAAGTTAATATTTAAATTTTATTATGTACAGACTGTATCGTAATTCTGGTGTTGTCCCTGATGATGTACTCTTCATGGGTCTACCTCCCCCACTACACGTTAAAACTTCTTGTCTTTTCGGGAATCTTGTCTCGAGGGTATGACAACTCAATCCTGGATGAGGTCGAGGACAATTCCATTCACACTTGATATCAACCTCATATGATTATTTTGATTCCAAAAAATTGTACATTCTCTAGGTTTAAACGTACGAAAATAAGTGTTATCCAAATCAAATAATTATAACTCTTAATATTCGTACATACAAGTTAAAACAAACGTATTAATAAAACAGAAGCTCGTCCACACAAAAACACATGATGCATAATAAAATAATAATACTACCGGATCAATATCTACTTTTAATGCTTAAATTTTAATTTTTTATCCACCCCCACGCCCCAATTCGTGGGGGTGTATTGAATGAGGGTGGAATTATCGATGCCGATTCTTAAATCTGCTTCTGCTGTTGACAGACAACAAAAATTCTGTATATGTATTTAACTGACAAAACCAACGATATCCATAAATACTTAATTGGAAGAACTTGCAAAAGGACCCAAAAAACTTAGCAAGACGGCATTTCGGAAGTTCATCATACCTGTACATCTTTAACAGATGCCTTCGAAAACATCTTTGCAACTCGTAGACGACGCCACTTTAGCTGCATTTGACAGGGAGTATCCGGGCAAGAGGGTAATCTCAAGTCTTGAGCCTGGGGATGAAGTCAAAAGGAAGAAGGGGGAAAGGGAGGCAAGGGGAAGGGAGCTGCCAAATCGAAATCTAAAACGACGGCTGGTGGTGGTAGCAAGGGTGCCAAAGAAAACGCTTCCAGTAAGCCAAAGACTAAAGCCAAGAATAGTAAATAATTTTGTAATAAGTAATAATGCCCGATAACCAAACTTCATTGTCTGTTAGTAAAATAACAATCAATTGGTAACTTTTACTCCCTTTACTGGTACCTCTTCGACATCATTAATATAAAATTGTAAAAAATAATCGGCTAATAAGAGCAATCAATTATGACATAATAAGTTAAGGCCCTACTTGATTAGTGTGATTATCAAAACTAGAATAATTCATAGCGAACAAATTGTTAAATATACATCAATCCAATGTGAAAATTCTCGCAGCAATATCATTTAGCATCCAATTAACTCCTTCCAACAAATTAGAGCCGGTCACAGCACTGCACCAAACAATTTGCCAGTGATGGGTTTGAATTTCATTCAGAGAAAGTGCATCTCTTATCTCCTCAGCACTAAGAGCGCCTGGGAGGTCACACTTGTTTGCAAAAACAAGTAAAGTCGCTCCAGATAATCTCTACGAATCCAAATGACAAGAATTAGTCTTCTGACTCTCATTTACATAAATGCAATATGTATTTACCTCTTCCTTCAATAAACTATGCAGTTCAGCTTTACAATCTTCTAGTCGAATTTTATCAGCGCTGTCGACCACCCACACGAGTCCGTCTGTGCTCTCAAAGTAATTTCGCCAGTATGACCTAGAGAACAAATTAAGCAATTGGCAATATAATTACGCCAGCATCTTGGATTTAGCATTTAACTGACCTCAAACTCTTCTGTCCCCCAACGTCCCAAATGTTTAGCTGAAAACTAAAAATAAAAATGCTCCAATTCACTTGAAATTTGAAAATCATTTTCACGGTATAGCTTTTAATCCGCAATTACACATTAATTACCCGTTGTGCTCCAAAGTCTTAATGTTAAATCCTAACGTGGGAGAAATTGTATTGATGTCTTCACCGTTGAACTTTTTCCAAATTGTAGTTTTTCCTGCGTTATCCAAACCTCTGGTACAACAAAAAAGATATTGTTTTACCGAATGCATAATTATTAGAAAATAACAAGTAAAATTAAGGGAGAAATGCAGAAGAAGTCACTCACAGCATTAAGACACGGACTTCCTTCTCCTTTTGCTTCAACTTTCGAAGTATTTTCAAAAGCACCATTTTTGGATTTCGACTAGCACAATAAATTTAAAAAACAACAGGTGAATTTTTCTCGAAAATCATTTTGAGCAGCCGAGTTGGCGGTGTGTTGGCCAGCAGACCGCCAAGTGGAACTTGAAAACTTGAGGTAAAATAAAATAAAAATATTTATTCACGGAAAAATAATGAGTGCATATAAATAAATAAAACAACGTGTATTGGTTTGGTTATCATCAAATATATAATTTGAATGTCACAAGAATTTACGTGAAGTGACGGTTGACGGTGCCAAATAAAACAATATTATAATAAAAATACTAATTCGAGATGTCGACGGGAACCGGGTTTGGTTTGGAGGAGATCGGGATACCTGGACGGGATTATCTTCGTGAAGCCCTGACTAATTGTTCCGACCCACTCAAAGCAATCGAGGAATTTCAGGTTGGTTTGTATTGCGAGTATTAGGTCAATGCCAATTCGACATCGATTCGGTAGTAATTTTTTGTTATATTTTGTAGTCTGAAAATGAAATTCTACTGCCGTCCCTTCGACCCATGCTCCCTTTGCTAGATTTACATGGAACATCAAGGCTGGACTTTCATGTAGCCGTCATGGAGGTACTCAAATTTCTTGTAAATTTAATTAGGCTTGTATGTGAGTATCATATCTAAAATGTCTGTCCTCGTTTAACAGGAATTGAGAGACACCTTGATAAAGAAGATTAATGAAATTGGTACGAAATGGGAGCCAAAGGAAAAGGACAAAAAATTGAAGGAACTTTTGAGTAAAAGCTTTCCAGTCATCAAAATTAAGCCTCTACGACCAGTGGTAAGAATTATGACTCAAGTCACAATCACTGATTGGTTGGTGTTAATGTTGTTGATTTGCAGGTTCTTTCAATTTTAAAGAACATGACCACAATTAACGACAAATATTTAGACGTTATTCTCAACGATAAAGATTTATATGAGCAATGCGACACAGAGGTAAAGAGACAGATTTGGAAGGATAACCAAACGTTGTACGGGGATCAAGTCACTCCTCTTTTTACGCAATACACAAAGGAGAAAGAGCAATGTTTATTCAGTTATGAGAACAAAGTCAATTTGTTTTTTACTCATTCGCCAAAGGTATTAACGTATAGCAGAACATTTATAAATGCATTTTTGTGATACAATAAAATGTAAAAAATATTGTTCTTTGCAATAGATTCGAAGACAAGGGGAAGTTGTAAAGAAGCTGACGCACATGATTGGTAACAATGTCAAATTGTATGACATGGTTCTACAGTTTTTGAGAACACTATTCGTGCGTACAAAGAATGTTCATTATTGTTCTCTCCGTGCGGAACTACTCATGGCACTTCACGATGCTGAAGTTCAAGTAAGTTTTTTGCGAGAATTGTGTAGCAATCTTATTTATTTCGCCTTGTTTTATAAGTACTAAAAATGTTGTGTTTTAGGAGGTTATGTCTGTTGACCCGTGCCACAAATTTACGTGGTGTATGGATGCTTGTATCAGGGAGAAGAATATGGATGCGAAACGTTCCAGGGAGTTGCAGGGTTTTCTGGATAGCATCAAAAAGGGAGAAGATAAGCTTCTTGGAGACTTGTCTGTCATTCTTTGTGATCCATTTGCCATCCACTTTTTGGCAACGGTAAATCTCAAATGCTTATTTTATTATGACAATAAATAACTAAGAAAAATCAAATTTAAAACCCGTGTATTTCAATATTATTTTTCAGACTTCAATGAAAGTTATGCAGGTAATTTTACTTTAATCTCATCGTACTTTATGTTAATTATTGTAAATATACATATTGGCAATTGATATGTTTGTGCATATTTTTCTATTCATAGACCATTATGATAAATGAAAGTTATCCCCGAGAAAACCATGTTTTAATCCTACTGCTTCGTATGCTGTCTTTGGGACTAAGCGCCATTGACATCTTGACTACTCAGCACTTTAAGGAGCCCAAATTTGATTCTCAAATAGTTACCAAATTCCTTCCTGCACTGTTGTCGCTCATGGTGGATGATCAAGTCAGAAACTTGAATGCCAAACTACCTCCTGACGAGCGTGAATCCGCCATCGCAATTATTGAGCATTCGGGTACGTGCCCTGTGTTGTTGTTATCGGTAAATTGCTTAATATGTACACATGTATCAATAGCATCCATTACATTTGTTTTAGGGCCTCCACCGGATGCATTCCAGGCGTATGTCAATGATTCTGGAGTTGCGGCTACTTTGGCGATGTACTACACCTTACAACTAGCTCGTCAAAAGGATAAGGTCGGTTTGATGCGGGTATTGGGTTGCTTATCCACTTCTTATAGAAGTCATTCGTATGACGATCCTTATCTACATTCACTGGTAAGAGGATAATAAATTATGTCATAAACTTTACCAAGCGCAAGTGACAGTAGTGACACACGACTTGTAATAATAAATTATTGCCTGTTGTAGATTTCTCTACTAATCGGAATCGAAGATGAGTTTGCTGCTGAAGATTTCTGTACAGTTGTTTTTGACGAATTTTTATGTCCTGGACTTCCTCAAGAAAATGTGACGAAACATCTCCTTCGGCTGGTCTACAACGTGTGTCATAAACTGGGGACAACTCGAATGGAAACCGTTCTGAAAACATTGCAACCTTCATCTATGCAAACTGAATCCCTTCGCGTCGCATTTTCAGCGCTTGAAGAAAAAATTAATGCTATCGAACAAGCTACTACCAATAAACCCCCAGCTTCTCCACATTAATCTGTGTATTTTAACTTATTTAACTTAGCTTAAACTTAACTTTTTTATCGTCTTTGCATATAACATAATGAGAGTGTATGTAATAAAATTACTTTTGTTCAAATGACTTTGAACCCAAGAGAAGTAGAATAATTGAACTTTGAATAGATTTATTAAAAATGTAGCCTCAAAATCCTTATACAAAATGACGGAATTAAGCACATTGAACTCTGGCAACTACACGTATTGTCCAACAGTCAACAGTTGCATCCACACGGCATAAACGTTATATGTAAATGTAGCTACATATTATTATTTAACTAAAGGAACATCCCAATTTTTCAGGTTTACTGATTTATACTAACAGTATATAAATACAAGCATGCAGGATATTTACTTTCACTTTGACTCCATTTTGAATATATTGAGATTATTGCATTTTGTTTCGATGTCATCAGTGAAATTGAATTTTCACAGGCACACTTTGTTTTCGGAACCGTATAAAAATTGGTAGTCTAGTTCGAAAAAATGAGGGAGGTTGGATCCGAGGTGGGGGTAAGCGATCTCGAGGAGGCAAGAATGCCGGGGGGTGAAAATCATCAATTTCAGATGTTGTTTCAGACTGTATGGCCTGATCCTGTCTCTTCCTCTGGGCGATTTTCTTGTGCTGGTCCTTCATGATGTAGTAAAAGTTCATGGGGTCGTCCTCGGCCAATTCGTCATTCGCCATCTCTTCAGGATCTTGCCTGTTTCCCCGGATAATGTACTTGGAGTAATCCTCGGAATCATGAAATACGGGGTCTGATGAAGTGACACCGTCTTCTTCACTCTCCTTCCTCTTTCGCTTCCTGTGTGACGTTGAGCATACCAAAATTTTAGAGTTGATAAATTGGAACTACTTTTACTTATTGGTTGAGATGAACATGAATTTGACTGGAACTGAAACAAATGCAAATGGATGTGTACCTTTTACTCTTCTTTTTTCTGCACTTGCGTGTTTTGCACTCGTCTTCGGCAAAGAGATCCTTCATATATTCACCAATTCCAAGCATTTGCACAAATTCTCCAATTGCATTCATTGTATCGATACTGCTTGGACTCTGATTTTGACTAATCATTGTGGTGGATATCTCCTTGCCAGGGACGTTGGATGTCGACAGCACTGCTCAGGTGTATACCAATTGAATATGCAGATGCTGGATGGACAAGGAAATTGGGACTACCGACTTACCTGTTCTAAAACTGTTTGCGATTAGTGAGGACATCAGCCCTCTCGCAAGATAGGAACCAATCATGTAATTGAACAACATTCCAGAAAGAAGTAACCCAGAAGTTGTGCTCAGAACAGAAAGCAAAACTAAGATCACATAAACTAGGAACTTTCCACCAAAGGGTTTCATTTTCACGCCAACTGTAAACTTATTTTAGGAACTACACGGAACTGTACAGAAACTATAAGTAGAAAATATGTATCTGAAACTGTGATGCACTGATAATGCTACTTACTCAACGTAAGAAAAGAAATCGGGCCAATTTTGAACAATTTCTACAGGGAAATATGAGGATTAGAAACCCTCCTCATTAGCTCTCATGCACTGGCAGTGATGATGAGGCTTCAAGAGAAATGAGAATCTCTTGGTCAATCTCAGTTAAGGTAAATAAATTGATGCATGCCATTTTATGATTTGCTACCTGACGAACTGGTAAAATGTAGCAGATCAGTCGTAACATTTGTAAATCTTAGATAGATGAACGTCTTGCTAAATGAGTGACACGATACAACACAACAGGCATTAAACAACTAGGTGAAAATGTGAAGTATCTGTATTAGTCCAACATTATTAGCTGTAAAAAAAGTCCAAGTCCAAGTTTTTACAAAAATCAACTTGGATGATGAGCGAGGGTCGAGGCACCGTCGCTGTCGTTGCACAGGGCAGGGCACGGTTCATTGTCATTTTTAATAATATACTATAAAAATGGTACCTTTGAGTTAAGATCTTTGGAATGAGTTTGCTCGTTCAACATTTTATGACTTGTTGGAAGAAGAATTATTTTAACAAATAGACGGAAATTATTAAAGAATGCAACCAGGCAGTTAACACTTACTTTACTTATCATCGGCCTGGGTATCATTAACACTCAATAAATTCATACACATGTACGTGCATGAATTTTGGCAGTATGTAAATTTGATGTCCAACATTTACTTCCCTGCATGTCAAACACACAAAAAATGTAAAACTAAACGAAAGCGAATTTTTGATTTCCTCGTGGCAGTACATAATTACCATTGGTGGTATTTTTCTGACATGCCATTGATTTACCACTTCAGTTTGAATCAGATATAGTACCACCACGATTTATACAAATTGTCATGTTTTCTATTCATTGCACCGCAACACGCAAATTGCGCCAACCAGTTTTATGGGAAAAACTGATTTCATATTGGCATTCACCTGAATATCTTGACCTGAAAATTTGCGCCCAGGCGCAAGTCCTCAGATGCAATTACAACAGTTTTTTTTTGTCAACCTGGTCCATCAACTTGTTACACGAAGCTGCTTACATACATATGTACAGATCTGTTTGTTTAAGGTCACTCAGATTCTTTATATGAACAACGAAGAAGCTACAGCCAAATGAAATGTATAATTAGCATTTTTACATTTCCACAAAGTCCAACAATCATAGCATCCATTTTGACGAAGTATGAAGCCTAATAAGGAAGGATTGGTTTACTGTAAATGTGCATGCAGCTGCCAATTTCACCCTAAACATCTAGTTCAACCTGAAACCCTAAGCTACTTTCAAGCATTTATAATTTAAAACTTTAACTTTTGTATATTCGTGTAATAAAAATGATTTTTATTGTATCATCTTATTTGGAGATGATGAATTTCAATTTAACAATCAAGATCAAGAGCAGATTTCTACTCCAAACAAAAAATTAAGGTGCGCAACAAAAATTCAATTGCATTAAAAAAAAAGTATGCACACCTTATTAATTTTTTGCAGGCCCAGTCCCACAAACCAGGCAAACATGAAAGCGCAAGTGGTTATACTTAACAAGTTAGCAAGTAACGAGTGCCATTTCAACCAAACGCAGTTGCAATGCAAGAACGAGCATAAGCTATCGATTTGTGTTGTAATACATTAGACCTTTACTTTATTATTCATGCTTTGAATTGACACAAAGTAGTAATCATAATTCTATTAACAGATATGTACATGCATGCATTAAGATTGACTAGTAAAAAATAGTTCCAAAGTCTCGGTCTCTTATCAAAAGGATCCTTCGCAGTAAACGGCGTCCTTCGTGTTGGCTTGGACCCACCTGGAAGCCGACGCTACTCGTGAATAAACCCCAGGAATTCGCGTCTCACCGCATTGCGGAGGTCCGAAAGATACAACTCCGATCTGAAAATGGATTAAAGGACAATCACAACCACAACTTTTATCTCTCTGTCTCCGAGGATGAGACTTTATTGCCTTCAAAATTAGACTTATGTACTTGTGTGTATGCTTGTGAGCCTGAGTCTTTCAAAAATAGAGCTCCGCCGGAATCCCCTTGACAGGAATCCTTTCCTGGAAGCCATGCACATAACATTGCAGAGGTAATTCTGGTTCCGTAGTTGTACAAGTATTCCCTCTGACACAAGGCATTTGTCACTACTTTGATCTAATGAATTTCAACAACCTTATATATTACTGGCTAATGCTTAATAAATATGTCCCTAAATATGCATGTAAACACATATGTAGCTGTACAGAATACGAACCTCAACCTCACGCAAATTGTCCGGAGGGTTGTCCCCATATTTTATCGAACCCCATCCGGCTACGATCGCCATTTTATCTGTAAAAGGAGATCCTCGTTGCGTGAGGCAGATTGGCGAAATCTTGTCAGAAAACGTTACCTAATAAAAGCCGGATATTATGTAAACCAAGAGAAAATTCGAGAATCGTAATGTTTTAAAGTATGTATCCTCAATCGTGTTGTATACTTTATGCTTTAGTTTTATCAATCCAATGTCGTATTCTTCAATGTTGGGTTTATACCTAAAATGTAATAAGCGGAAATATTATTAAACAAAATAATACCAGAATTGGTGTATTCCTTCCTCTTACAAAGGATGTGTCTTTAAGTCTGCAATTTCGAATAGTTGCGACTTATCAGTTTTTGTGGGTATTCCATTTGTTCCCATAAGTATCCTAATATTGGATATTCCTCTGCGACGCATTGTCCGCTGACAATGTGCAGCCGTTATCAGATACCTGCGTAAATTTAGGAGAATAATTAATGTTCTGTTTGCTTATTCTCACAATACACTAATTTTACCATCTCTAAATGCATAAAACTCACCTATCATTTATTAAACTGGCACCACAAAACCAAAACGGAGAATTTCCACCAACCTAAATAACACACCGGTTGAAAACACGTCATGTGGCCTTTGCATTATTAAATAGTACATATGTAGAAATGCCAATTGTACTCACATAGACAATTGCTGCAACCTAAATTAAAGTTAATCTTCTTTAAATGCAAAATACTTTCATTGTATAAAGTGGAAAGTACCCAAGGCCATGCATTTTCTTTGGAAAGTATTCCTCCAGTAATTCTCACTAAAGAATTGTGAGCCGTCTTATCAATGCCACATTTGCAAGTATTGGTGGACTTAAACCCAGAATTCGCGTTTTTGTCTCGTCTGAATAAAACCATTTGGGATTAACTTCTTAAGCCCACCCAGATAATGACCTCAATGACATTCCTTATGAAAAATGCATACATTGTACGTACATATTTTGACTCTGCAGATTCATTGGCTCTTCTGAACTGCTGCTCACATTGTTGACATTATTGTTGTAGGCGTTGTTGTTAACTGGTCCTGGAAATTGTAATACGGGAGTTGCGGAACCAACCCCTACCAAAGGTTTGCTTGACACCACGGGACCGTTAAACATGATTGGGTTGTTGGTGGAGAAAACAGGTCGTCCCCACGACGCCTGACTATTTTGCCACGGACCACCCAGGTCAGGGCGATACTGAAACTGTAATTGAACTACATTTGGATAAAATTGTTGTCTGTTCGTCACATTATTGTCACTTGTCACTTCAAACTGGATTTGATTAGTTAACTTAAGAAATAGGACAAATATAAAACTTGATACTTCCAACATTTTAAAAAACTTATCTAGAACTTTGTAGCAGAAACTCTCGGTCAACTCTCGTTAGTCACACCATTTACACAAAGATGATTTGTGTGCATGAGTTTTTTCGGCGTTTCTAGTTTCGCATATAGTGTGAAATAGGCTTATGAAGGAAGTGCATGTATTTAACCTGGAATCAATATCAGTAACCTTGTCCTTCCTCAGTGACAAAAATTGAAGCTCATTGTCATTACCAGAGTTTGAGGGGTTTAGTAAAATATGGAAACGGAGTTGCAGGAAATAAAAAATAATTTCATACAGCCACCAGAATGCATAAAGGTTTATAATCATGCAATCTGGGCAATAGTACTGCTCCTGCAGTCCTGCTCATTGCTTCGTATTTAATGAGGGGTGTAAATTGGCTTAATTGATGAACGCTTTTGTCCAAACTTTCAGGGAAACGGACAATGCAAACTGTCACACTGACGAATATGGTCGTTCATGTCCAAGTATACGTATTTATATGTATGTAGCTATGTAAAGATGATGGCCAAGCCTCGATCTATGCATATCCGTATTTTCTCCTCACTTCCGGTGAGACACATTGGTGAGCATACTGTACGTGCTGATGCCGTAATATCAAATGTGGTCATACATACAAAGTCCCAGTGGCCAAGTCCAAGCACGGTAGCTGACAAGGTCGCCAGATATGAGTGAATAAAATAGAGATACGCTTATCCGTTATACTGGGTAATAATTTATTAGATTACCGGATTTATCAGCTACACGCGGTATTTTCCACTTTTTACAATGAAAGTATCTTACGCTTAGAGAATATTATCTCAAAGTTAATTTGGGCAAGTCATTGAAAATTATTTTACTTCAATTTAAACAATAATCCTTCTTTTCTTCGTGCATGTAAACTTTAACTTTGTGACTTATGCTGCATCCACAAGGGACAAAACATTGGATGACTTTGTGGATTTTAGGAATTGTGTTTTTTTATTCATCATTAAAACAATGAGATGAAGAACTCAATCTTTAACAATGCCGTCAAGCAGAGCATTATATTCCTTCCTTGCCATTGAAGTTTGAGTAAGCAAACCCACTGCACAAGTGATGTGTTACATTACATATTTCAGCTGAATTTCGAAAATGGGCACTCGAATTACATTTCAATCTTGGTTATATGTAGAGCATTGTTTGCGATTATCCACACATACCCAACGAACTTAATGCATTATCAAACTTTATCTCCGCTGGTTTCAGCACAAAAAGCTGCAAAAAGAAAGAAGCATTTATCTGGCTGGCTTCAAATTTTAATTGCCCCACCCGTCAAACTTTTGACAAATTAAGAGACAGAAAATGTTACATAGATTTGCACATACATATTATTTTCATTTAACAAACTGAGATGGTTATTATGCATTATTAACTGCACTGCACATACATATTTAAATTTGAATGAGTACATTACTTGAGCAGTTTCGCTGGAAGTAAATATTTGGACTGAATATCTGTACCATAACTAATACTAATAATTTTCATACCCAAAACACAACACACAGAGAACTCGGTTGCGTAAATAAATGTGTAATTTGCTAAGCAGGACTGAGATTTAGGATCCTTCTTCCTTGAAGAAAGCCTTTCACGTACATACCTACACGTTGGATGGATTAAAGGAAAGGGTAAAGTTTGTTCTGGTAGCGTCTCGTCTTCATCTCTTAGGAGTAGCATCCCAAAGCAAAATAAAGCAGCTAATGACAATTTAAATCCACTTTGTAACTTATTTTACCGTTCTTGTTATACTATCACAAATCCAATGTGAGTGTCGAATTTAGATTTTTTGATGGTTTTAGTTTATCCAACAAGCCAAAGGAACGACGAGTAATGATCTTGCACCGTCATGCCATGCCAGATGGCTGCTTCGTGGGAAATCTCTTTACAGACTTTACACTTTTGCACCAAAGGAACAAGTCTGACTGACTTCAATTATTTGACAATCAGGATCTGTCATAATATTTGACTGGGCTTTATGCACTTGCATGTCCTGGGCGCTTATTTACATTTCATGACTCGATCCATTCAATTTTTACACTTAATTACCTCAAAACTTTGCAAAGTAGTATCGTTTTCAGCTTCAATGGACTTGACATTCGCTTACGACGCACAGCTCGTACTACTGATTCAAAAGTTACGAAAACAAAATCTGACAACATTGAAAAGAGTGTATGGTCACACGCATAAAATTAATGCATTTTACTAATGAAACTGCTCTTTTAATTACAAAAATTCCCAGCCGCATCGAAAGTCCATTTCACCACCTACAACACGTCCCCTTCTTATTGCCAGAAAAATACGGACGAAAAAGATCATCTAATGTAGTTTCATACAAAACACACCTCGTCCGGTTGTTGATGCGCATATCATTCCTAGGCCAACAAAGTCATAAAATAAAGGCAACTTCTGAACAAGACGGGACTCTCACCTGAGGACGAGTGAGGAACGAACGAGAGGGAGGGGAGAACACCTGGGAAGAGGAATTCGGATCGGAAGTAGCAATCTAACGGTCTTCAATGAGGATCATTAAGGGTTCTTCTAATTATTACGTGTGTGCATATGTTCAATTATGGAGGCAACAAGGCAACCCTAATAAGTTCCCTCATCACTATATACACTTTCCCGTAGTTACTTTTATTATGTATGCAGTTTGATGTACAATAATAGTAATACTCATCGGAAGTTATTCACTTCCACAACTTTGCATCCTACTTCAGGATGGAGCTGGTATTACCTGGATCTAGTTCACTCGATGTACATGCGATATTTCGTCCATGTATACTGTTGCTCCTTCCGGAATTCATAAAACTTTGACACCAAGCATAAGAGCAGTGCCTTACTTGGCCATACAAACTATTATCCCACGCCATCACTTCGTATATATTATGGAAAGCGATAATCAGTACGTTATTTGAACAAATTATTGTAATTTTGGTTACAATTTTGTGGAAACCCCTTTACACATCGACTATTAAGTATTCATAGTGTATCAGGGTTCCTGGAACTGGTAATAATTGGAGGAAACAAGTTAAATATTTTAAAAGTATGTACGTGTGAAACATGTCATTTCATCCACAACTTTACAAGATGTTCCAAGAATCTCATTAAGAGAATCATAGCCGACTTTTTCATTTTGTGATGTATTTATCTACTTAATAATAATGAAGATGAATTCACCGATCATCCACCCACAGCCGAGCTGCGTCCATGCTACGAACCATAGTGTGTACAACAAATATCTAATAATGACTTTGAAAAGAAGATGTCAATACAAAAATCATCTTCTTCGAATACCAATATGACCATTATCTACACACACAGCTTTGAAAAGGAATAAAGACGCAAATAAAGTCATTTGTATTTGTATCAAAAACACGTAAGAAAGAAAAGCAATGCGGTTTTTTGTCGAGTGTGAATAAGGTAATTTGCATGTAGTCAAGTCATGTGGAGAAATTGTGTTTTCCAATTTTGATTCGAATGGTTGGTTTAAATCCGTCCTAAACAGAGGCAGAAGTGTGCACCACTGTGAGAGAGCTTATTAATGACATTTATTTACGGTTTGGTGGTGTCATGTCCCCCGCAGCTTGTAATAAGGACGCATATTTAGTCGTCGTATCAGTACCAGCCTTTCTCGTACATAATGAGGAAGGAGCATTACCACCGGAACTATTGAAGTTTGCACGAATAAGTGGCGTCTCACAGGTCTCACTATCCCACTTTTGATGCTGTTAATGATGTGTGTCAAACCAAACATGAATGAATAAATTAAGAAAATTCCACATTTCTTTCACATTATGAACCAGCAGAAATATTTCTCGCCCATGTTCAATACTAACAAACCAACAGCAAAGTGAAATCATGGTGAAATCCCGCACATATGAAATTCAGAAGTAAATTGTGAGGCAAAAAATCAAAATTAAATTCATTTCATTGTGGATGAATGGGAATGAATGTGTTTATTACAAGTCCATTAAAATGATGAGTTTGTTTCTCTACAAGCAGAATGTGTCCTACTCAGATTATGGGTTTGTTATCCCGACTTTGAAAATTTGCTGGCATCAAAATGCAAATTTTGTATGCTTGATGGGAAAGGAAAAGAGGTAAATGAAAGAATCAAGTTTAAGGATTCTTCCCAACCTGCGTAAAAAATGGAGATGCTACTAATCGGCATCAATTCATGAATGGGTGAGACTGTGGTGACCACGTAGACGTTTGCATGACCACCGTTGCACCCAAGCGAAGAAAACATGTGGGAAACAGTCATGGCTGTGTGTGCAATGAAATATCTACGCAGGAACATGAAATTATCAAATTAGAGGATGTGCTGATGTCGTCGTTATAGCTGGGACTCATTAGAGTGGATCAAATGGTAAAGTAAAGTCGCTGACATGCCACACTGATTTTTATGTAAATCTAGAGTTTCTTAAGGCAATGCAAATATTTGAAAATGTATCCCATTCAGCAAATTTCTAGAAATGGTTAGGATTTCAGCCCGGTCGAATTAATCCAATCCATCGAGATTGGAAGAGGGATGAAAAAACAACAAATAACTGGAACACAAGAGATACCTACTTCATGTCATCTTGTAAAAAAAGGTAATAATTTTTGCAGTGAAAATTACAGGTTTTGATTAACTACATACATATTTGCTGGCTGGAATGAATTTGTAATGTATCAAACGTACGCTGGAATGCTATCCAAGTATTCTGTTCAAAGATGTGTGAGCTCCATTTTTGACTCAAATCTCGCAACAAGTTACACTAATTTTTTCTTGCATATTTCGTAATGCCATTAAAACATTGCACTAAAAATAAGCAGCAAAGATCGCATCCTTCCCAGTGACCTAGTAATACTTTGCCAATACTCAACCCCACGGGTATTTGACAGTAAATTGAATACGTCAATTGCCAATTTGGCCCATGTCGTCCAAATTAGTAAATTTTATGGGGGAACGAGCCATGCAAATTTGCCACTCTTGTATCAACATTAAAACTCTATAAATGGTTGCAATGAACTTGGTCGTCCAAAGTCAAGAGAGACATTACAAAGAGGCTGAGATGAGATGAGGATCTCGGCTGGTGGCTGTGCTCTATTTTAAAACGGGCATCACCACGCAGAGAGATATGGAGCCTGACGTTGGGGGAGGGATGAATGTTTTACCTGCCGTAAAATACCTGTTGTGGTGCAGTTGGCAGTGGCCAAGTCTCACTTGCATCCGACTTTTATTACGACTTCTGCTGCAAGTGATGAGCACGTAAAAGTAAAAGAAAGGCTTGAGCCAAGTAGTCCGTCGTCCGTCCGTGTTCATGTGTGTGTACCTTCATTGCAAGAAGTAGCCTCGGTGCGTGGTGGTTGATTTCGAGACTCCTGAACTCACCTGAAATTATCATCCACTTTTCAACCGATCCCTTCTGAAGCACCACGCTCTCTCGTCTCACTTGCGGTGTTCCGAACACGCCGGTCTCGTTTCCAAAAATCCATCCAATTCGAAATGATCAACAAGATACAGTTTTTCAGTTGAGTATTTGATCGGAGAAATTGTGCAATATCGAGAAACGGTTTTAAAAAAGTAGCAATAAGCTGTTCAGTGATATTTAAGCAAGAAATACAAGTGTCCATTAAGGTTGTGAAATATATTTCATAAAATTTGAGACTTTTTGGAAATAAATTAGTGACAATTATCGATTTTATTGTTGGAGGCCAAGTGAGACGTACATAGGGAACGTGTACGTGATCCACCAGTCTCACATTTCCCTGTATATCAGAAACTAAGCTTTTGCTTTCCCCATTACTCTCTCTCCTCACCTCACTTTATCAATTTCGCCTCAAAACAAATTATTTCGTCGACACGAAATGAATATCCATTACCAACAACCGTTTTATCAAGAGGACTTTTCCTCCCACAATTATTACTACGACCAGAACCAGCATCCCCATTTGTCCTCCCCTGTCCCCAACTACCATCCGAATGCTCAATACATAAATTCCCCTGGGGACTCTGTCGCCGAAGACGCCGCCTACCTTCCACCCACATATTGGTCGCCAGATGAGGACGACAAGAGTTTGAGCAGCAATCCCAGTTCCGTTGGAGAAGCATTTATTCGACCTGGACATTCCTACCCGGGACACGGTTTCAGTCCGGAAAGTGTTGTGCACAACCACATTAAGAATGAAATCATGGCCACTTCATGTTTACAACCAGTGAGTGGCAGTAATGGGTGCGGGGTGGCTGGGGGAGGTGGTGGTGGGGTGGTCACCAGCAAAAAGAACAGCAAAGGACAACAGCAGAACGTCGTAGGCGCCATCCCCTCGAAGCGGAAGGGCGTCGGTGGGCGGAGGAAGAGTGAAAAGCCTCCCCCACCCGTCGTTCTCAAGAAAAGGAGATTGGCAGCCAATGCGAGGTAGTCACCATTTAATGCAATTTATTCCATTCCATACGCTTTCTCTGACTTTCTCTCACCTCTGCGATAAATACGTAGTCGTGCATTGTCGTGCTATTTGGAAGCGTTAATTTGATTAGATAATGGTGACCCCATTTTCTCACACTTGTCATTTCTGACGAGTGAAATACATCTGTGGGCAGACGTTGATTAGCAATCTGGACCATATGCAACTTGTCAACGACCCAACGACCAGCCTAGGTTAGTTTCTCCTGGTGAGGAGTGAGATTACGAGTCCAGACAAAAGTCTTAGGCAGAATTAATAACACTGACCCGGCCGGTGTGTGTGTGGAATTGCATGCGAAATGCAAGCCTCAAATTGGTCCGTGATAAATAAGCAATTATTTAGTACATATAATACATCAATTAAAGGTTGCTTAATATTCTGTTCAGGTAAACCCAGTCAGTCACATAGCCAGACAAGTAGATAAATGAATATTATAGTTTTCATGAGAATCAACACCACCACGTATTAAGAGGCCTCTCATTTCTCATTCGCAGACAGACAGAGAGTTTAACTCAAATTTATTCCTGATTTCATAAAAATTTATTTTCACGTTGCAATTACCTGCAGATGCATATTTACTAAAACGCAACCTTTAATTATGTTATATCTATTTATTTATGCTCACAATACCCGAAACTGCATAAGACGTAACAGCACGTTGAAAAGTGATGATACACAGCCCGAGCAATTAAGAATTTGCAGATGGTAATTACATAAAATTTGACGGATTGGCCCACCCTAACATCCAATCTGGACAGTCTGTCTGTAAATTGGTTGGCTTTGATATCTTATTTCACTTATAGATACATGGATAGTCAACGGATCGAAATTCGTCCATACCACTATTAGAGCAGCAGCAGAAGCACGCAGTACATACATATATCTGAGAAAATTCTTAAAAAACTGGTCGAAATAACATTAACGACAATAATCCAAGCCAAATGTTTAGCAATGTCTGTCAATCGAACCTGATAAACCTAACCCCACAAGCAAATAATATATGTATTTAGTACTGCAACGTGTAATCTAATAATATAGCCATCAGATACGTATATACACACGCGTGCTACTCTTAATAAAAATAGTTTCGTGATTCTCGCGGGTCAACTTGCAAATTATATATTCCGCCCCCATTTAATTGTGCAAGGAAAAATATACAAATGATTCCCTGATGCGAGTTGGTTTACATATCGTGCGAATCTTGGAAACAGAACTGGTTTGGTGCGAACGTCTCTAGTTATCTATCATTGATTGGTGATAATTGATGGAATATTCAATTATTGCACAATAATAACTCATTATTTTACCAGTTGGTACATGCATTCATACCTGAAATAGTCAGCAGGTTTAATTACAGGCTTTAAGCATAAAACCCTTTTTTGTTATTAAGAAGCATATTATTAAGAATTTCATAAATCCGATTAATTGATCTGAAAATTTATTAAATTACGATCCCTTAATGAGTGTCCTAATACATTAATTTTGTTAATTTAGGGAGAGAAGGAGAATGGACGGGCTAAATGACGCTTTCGAAAAATTGGTAAATTATACATTTTAATAATTTAAATCTTACTGCAATTTGTTTTAAAAAATCCCTCAAATGCTTGACAAAATGTTTACAATTCATCATAGAAATGTTGTTTTATTTTGCTTAGAGGGATGTCATCCCGTCGCTTGGGTCGGATCACAAACTTTCGAAATACGAGACTTTACAAATGGCTCAAACATACATCAATGCACTAAGGGCAAGACTGACCGAGGAGTCGGGAAGCGAATGAGTGAGACCTGACAATACTCCATCCATCCATCCAACAGAGATTTAATAAAATTACAGCTTTAAGCAAGGTTTAGTAATTTATTTATTTTTATCAAAGTCTAATTTTAAGGTTGACGAAACACACAACCAACAACCGCATCATGTCTCACTTTATGTTTTCTTTTCGACAAAGACATGTTCGCTTGTTTGTGAAAGTACACAAGTTAAAATTTTGCTTAATACATATGTAATATTCGGCATTAATTATCTTTAAGATTTATACATAGTTTTACAATTTGTAAATGATTGTAAAGTATTTCCTACATACATACATGATAATTTCGACAAATGTCCATTGTATTATTAAAATGAACAAATAAAATGCCATGTTAACTATGTTTGGGGAAAATGAGATTCGTGTGTTGCTTCATGGATAACTTTCATGTTAAAATTTTGCAAAATTTATGAAATCCATCATCCGTTAGTAATATGTTTAACCGTTGACTTTGAGCATCAGACGAAGGAAAGCGGAAGGAAATTCAGTGTCATCATCCCTTCGGTTTTTTCACAACTGTTACTCAAGGGTCGGTCATCGTTGTGAAGGATGAGCAGCCCCAATAATACTTGCAGCCAAATAGCAACAGACACGCACACACTGGGATCCGAATTACGTATGCAGAGGCTGAATTTTATTACAACTCTAGCCAAATAGCTTACCTTGTATGGAGCAATTTTTACAAAGGGACACGCGACTCGTAGGGAAAGCAAACACTGCTCGTACTTAATTTATTTACGTGCAGGCAGTAGTTGACTTGGGTTCCTGCAATTCTTCCACTAAAAAAATAGAGATTTTATCGCAACCTGAAGCGAGTCCGGCTGCTGCTGCCGGTACGTCGGTCGTTGGTACGAAGTGTGCAGATGAGTCGGAAAGGCAGTCCTTCCATAAAAAATATGATTCAAGTACCCATCAAATACAGACGTTATATTTAGTTTTTATACAACCAGATATGTAGAATATCTGTAAGTAATCTTACAGTTTGATTATACTTATAGTTGGATAATATACATATGAATCTGTCCAAAATGTATAAAGTCGGACTCAAAGGGTTAAGGTCATTAGAGTAGGATTACATAAAAATCTGTCTAATAAAAAACTATTCAAACTTTCTCAAACTCTCTCTCGGCTTTTAATGGAGATCAATATTTATCGTGTTGTGGAAGGTCAGACAGTAAAAATCCAATTGATCTCCCCGTCAGAGTTAACAATGGAGCAGATAATAGATCCGTCAATCCTATTTCCATGTCATGTCTGCTGTCTACTTGGTACACATGAGATTTTGATAGTGATGTGTTAAGACACTTGCCTCGGTCGGAAGATGTGTTCGAGAGATGTTGAGATGATAAAGATCAATCAAGGGAATAAGCCCAATGTTTATTTTCATCTCGATATGAAACAAGATGAGATTGTTTAATAATACAGCTAAGGCCAATATTATACCTCGTTTGAAAGCAATAAAATAATTTCACTCGGTTATTAAATTAGTCTGAGGCAGAGAGGGAAAGGACTCCTTGAATATGAATTCTCAACAAGGTAATTATGGGGATTTCGAGTCATAATCACTTTGTTGATTGGGGCGAGAGAGATGTACGTACATACAAAATGTTAGTCAGGGGTCCATATTCAATGAGTCAAATATTGTTAGAGTTCATTCAGAATTTAAAGGTTTCTCTGGATTGTGATATCTCCTTATTAAATTCACCTGCCTCCACACTTTACTCGGTTCACTTTAGTTCACAGAGTTTTGTTTCAAAGTCTCAGAGTATTATAAGTGAAAATGAAGCCTTTCGCATAGAAAGTAAGCAGGGTTTTGAGGGATTCAAAGTGGTTCATGTTTGTTGGATATTCGTCCAAAGATTGAAAATTTACCTTTATTAAACGAATCGAGTTTGACTATCTTTTTTTGTTCCCACAACAAGAGAGGAAATTGAAAAATTGAAACTCTTTTATTTTCCGAATTATGATAAACCAAAAAGATGATTTCTGACGGACAAATTACCTGTCATTCTCAAATAATATTATGGACAAAAGAAGAAGCTGTAGAAGAGTTTCACCTGGATGGAATAATGGTATTCCACTTAAATACCACAGCCATTACAAATACAAGTGCTTGTTTGGTTCTCAAAGAAGGGATTTCAACTCATTTCTTGAGCCGGACAAAGTGAAAGACGAAGGTGTAATATCGTCCATCCATCTCAATCTCACACCTTTCTTCGAGCTCTCCTGCACCACTCTTGAGACTGTAGTGGAGAGACATTACAGGCTCAAAGCTACGTGCTATTCCCCCCAATTGACAACCACATAGACTCGAAACCACGATAAAACCACTCTTATATTACTTATTATACACTCTTCTTTGGTTACATTTATCACGAATAATTTGAAGGTTGTAGCAGCCGCAAAATGGCAAACAATGTGTAGCTTTTTCAACCTCTGTTTTGTGGTTTGCGACGATTTACAATTATCATTGTTGTTATTATTATTATGACGATAATGGAATAAAGCAACATTATTTTGTGTCTTGAATTTTAAAAATATATAAACGAAAAAGTTTCTATATTGCATCTGTAAAATTATATACTATTTTTTAAAAAGGAGTAGAAAATAATAAAATGGAATAGGTTGGTCTTGAGTCTCCTCGCTTTGTCAATTGAGTCCCTGCATGCATTTATCCAATTTCCGTCCCATTGTGAGACACTAATTGAGTTAAATCGGTGGATTTGACTTGACTAGAGCATCAAAGGCTTGTACCTCCTCTGGGGCTGCCTACCGTGTGAAACAATGGGCTGTAACCACCACCAAGAGTTTGTGTGGCACTAAGAGAAAAAACTGAAAAAGTAAAGAGATCGTGATTTACAGAATTTTGTGTTTTATTCCTTGTGCACCTCCTTCCACGGATAAAGTCGCACCGGAGCTTTCAACAGGGGTAAAAATGTACATGTATGCAAGGATGAGACTCAATTCATAGTGAGCGAGTACAACACGGTCTTAGGTAAGATTTCTTATGGTGAAGTAAACTTGACCCCCTGTAATTGTGCCCAGTCTTCAACACCTCCGTCGTCCGACAGACAGAGTCGTTCATGCAGGTAAAATACTTCTCGTCTCTGCCTTTTACGAGGAATACGAGGAACTGTCGAGTCATCCCAACTGGTTTTCAGTGTAACTAACACTAATTGATGAAACCTCATTGTTGCAGATAGGCAATAAGTTGTTAAACATTGACAGGAGTTGCTCCTGGAATAACCATCCAAAATGAGTCGGATAATTCAGCTTGTAGACTTGACTCTGCGCCACACATTCTTTTGGTGTCGTATTGTTTTCCCATTTTATTTTGATGGTGGCAGTTCATTTCAAAGAGATGTACATTTCTGCAATTGATTTAATGAAACAATGCCTGCAACAATAAACGTTTTAAACTAAATTTTCGAAAAAAAAACTTTCAACTTGAGATTTTCCTATCAAGGATTATGTACTAGTAAAATCTAATCTTAAAATAATTGGCATCGTTCAAGCCCAATTCGACCCGTGGCTGTAATGATAATAACAGTGACAAGGCTTCATATTGTGTTTGCGTGCTACTGGAAAGCTCTATCCGAATTTCAGCCAATTTGAGATTTTTAAAATTTGATTGGATTTCTAAACTGTTGCAACAGCAAGGGTCACGCGACAGCATCTCGAACGACTAGGACGAGCACTGGCTAGAATTAAAACATGGGCTTGAAAGGGAAAAGCAGCACTTATCCCTTTGATTGCAGCATCAGTACCAATTTATCGATATCTTTGAGAAGCCTAGAGCCCTTGATCTTCAGATTTGAAGTGGTCGTCTTTCACAAGTCGCTCTTTTATGGAGTTTAAAAGTCAACTGCGAAAGTAAGGTTTTATAGGAGGAACTTCAATCAATGTTTCGTAATTCAGCCAAAGTTGAGTACCATCGCAATCACTAAACATGCAAAACAATTTAACCATTTGCATCTACGTCTACCCTGTATTTTGGAGGTGTCAAGAAATTTCTTTATGATATTGGATCATCATTTGTCCCAAAATTGGTCGATTTTGTGCTAGAAACGAGCACTTAAGATTAGCTTTGCTGCTGAAATTTAAGATATGTACGTAGCATGTCGAATAAGCACACTTGGAGAAGCAATTAATTTGAGATTATCCAAATTCAGTTTAAATTTCTACCCATACTCCGAGAATATGCACAAACTTGGAAACAGTGCATGGGGTACCTGTTGCTTTTCGTGAAGTCGCCCAAATTGCACGTCCAATACTCGTGAAACGTTTAAATGCTTGGGAATTGTACTTTTCTAAATGCAGCAATTGATTTATTTTACCAATTCTCAAAATTGTTCCAGCAACCCACCATTTTTTATCCGATTGTGCTCTATAATCTTTTTAATGAAGTGTGTCCGTTTGTGTAATGGGAGCGAGAGCAAAGATAAACCATTTTATTACCAACTATGTTACCAACTAGTTTTGATATCATTACTGCCAGCCAGCGCTCTTCAGAAGAAGACAACCACGAGAATAAGCAGCAACGCTCCAATTTCTTGGATATCGATATGAAGAAAAAAGGTGCATCCTTATTGCAGTTCAGACGACTGGCATTTTTCTCGTTAAACCAATACGATGGTCTCCTCGAGTTCGGCTCATTGCGATCTGCACGCAAGATTCCTCAAAGCAGACTTCATCCATTGTATGTGAAAGTTTCGGAAATTGTAGAAGAAATGGGCAAAATGTTGAACAAAAAGCTATGGTTTATACACTCCAAAAATTGCTGCGTTTCCTCCTCGTTTGGGAAGACAAAAAATATAAAGTACAAATTACTTGAATACCTTTTCAACCAATATTACATACTCCACCACTTTCCACCGGTGGTTATGTACTCGTAAGTAATCGATACAAATGAAATGTGGTCAAAAAGGTATGTGCATCATTATTGTTTTTGAGAAAGTCATTGGAGGCGTCTGGACTGGATCAGTCTTTTTTAATTGTCCATTACATAGAATTGCTTGATATGTAGCTTCTCTCCCACAGCTAGAGTATGTTACAGCAGAAGTAAAATAGTTTGGCATTTCTGTCAAGGGTAAATATTGAGAAATATTAATAAAGTAGTGTGCAAGTAAAGATTCTTTAGGTCTCACATGTTTGCTATGAGTATTCACAGTTGGCTTAATCATAATTAATGAAAAATTTAAATTTCGGGATTATTTATTCAATGCTAAAAACATGTTGAATTGATCATTAATTTCGGATTATGTAATTGTAGGTACTGTCAGGTACAGAAATGACTTGAATTTCAAACTTTTCTTACGCAATGTACTGCAACAATTCAACGTGCATACATACAAGTT